ATATTCATTGCATGAAAAATTTTCATTTCGTATTTATAAAAATTGCCATTTTGAGTGTAATATGAATTCTTTGAACCCTGCAACTACCAACTCACGTTATTAGGGAATGTTTTGTTCCTCGGAAGGAGCTCCCGATAACGCAAAAAATGATCTTTTGTTGGTGAAACATCTGGGGAGTGTCGTGAGTAACGTAAGACTTCATAATTCAATTCAGCTAGCTTTACCATGACCTAATTTAAAGTCATATTGGAAGAGTATTCGAAACTATTCCTTTGATACCGCATTGTCTACTTACGTGGAACAGTTGAACAATCACAATAAGAATTCAACAATCGAAAGGGAAGGACATTAATGGTATAACTTCTGACTAACACAATAAACTATTTAAATCTATTTGAATATCGACAATGTCATACGGTACAACCTAATACATATAAGTAGAGTATTAATCATAGGAAATATTCAATTATTCTCCGATGTTGAAGTCTCTGAAGATTCTTATCAGAATATATCTTCCGTGAATAGGCGAATACATTTATCATTTTTCGGAGATACTGTCAACTCTTCCACTCTATTTAACGTGTCACTCTTACGAGCGTCTCGCGCCAGGTTTCTGGGTTTCCCCGATCGTTGTAAGTTACGCGCCCATCCCTGAGTCCTTGTCCCCTCCATCTGAATTCATTTTTATCGGCTTATTTTTCCCCGTCGATTCGAACGAATTCGACCGACTGAAAATAAGCTCTCGCTTTCGCGGACGGTGAAAACTGAAACTTCACGGAGATTTCGTGTCGCAGGTCTTGTCACAATCTCAGACTGTTTCATTATATGTCTGTTAGACCACGCTATTTTCTTTCGTGAATTCGTTTTTACACTTGTATAATTACAGTTATTACATGCAGTCAATATCGTTTACTAACCTTTCTGCTGCCTCGAATTATACCGTGACTCACGTATTTGTTCATCCACTTTACAAATTATAATTTAGTGTATAAAATTTTATGTAATTTCGATTTATTTATATTCATGATTTTTACTTCTATCATGCTTTTCGTGGCCACCAGTCGTCACCCTAAATTAGCAATTGCGACCACAAATGAACACTTTTGAATAATACATCAATACCACCGACGACCACTCATCACAATTAATATCCACTGGTGCGAAAATTTCTCCACAACGAGCACAGCTGTTTCTCACGGATGAACACTTACTGTATCATCCAGAAGATCGCTTAGTAGCCACCAATAACTATGTCCGGTCACCCTTGACCAGAAAAGTCATTCCAGAAATCATAAAGCGTCGCAGGAATAAAAAATCTCTCGACAAGTAAAGTACCCGCAGCACGATGAATCATTCGGGTTCTACAGAAATGCAATCGCGAAGAGGGAAATATCTTAAAGGCAAAAGTTCCTATGTAGTCGTACGTAATGTCCACTCCGTACAAGTACGATGACGTCGCGACCTACATACCTACAGGTTGATCCATCCCGGCCCGAAGACGACAGTCGATATTTTATCGAACGGCATCTCCGATCGAGAAAACAACGGAATTTTTATGTAGAAGCATTCCGCTTCACTAAGCCTGGATCCATCCCGTTTCACGACGATCTTAGCTCCGAACGATATCTCCTTCGCCCGTGAACGAACAATAACCCGAAGAATCTCAAGCCTTTTTCAACCCCCCCACCCCCCTCAGGGATCGATACACGAGGGGTGCACAGAAGAACGAGCGAGTGACGTACGAAAGAAAGAGGCAAGTGGAGAAAGGTGGCGTTTGAAAAGCGGAAGCGATCTATCTTCCACGCTGGAGAATCGGCTGATTAATCGATGGGCTGGCTCGGATTAATTCGTGCCCCTCTCCCCTCCCCCTCGCTTAGAACAGACGAAATAAATCGCGAAGAATTATCGGACGTCAGCGATTCCCAGAGAGCGAGATTGGTAAATGGACCGAGAAATCGGCCTATCAGACGAAAGAATTGATTTGTATCGGGATGTCTATTTATTTAACAGACGAATACCCACAAATATTTGAATTATTTTGTTTTCTTTATTTAATTGAGGGGTCCAGTACAAGAGGGAAAAAGAACGAAAATCCAACATACGAAAATAACAGTAATCTCTCAAAACAGAATAATCTTTACCCTTTTCGCCTCACACGTTTACTACATCGTAAATCTTTCATCTCGGCAGTCCAAACATTTACCTAGGCACCACTGACCCTCGTGGTACAACGTCCGGGTCACCGGTGACCCGACGTCGAACACAGCCAATTCTTTCCGGCATAAACGATACGGGTAAATATCTACGAGATCTTGTGATCGGGTCACAACTGACCCGACCACCGGTCTCAACGGTCCCCGTGCCCTGTCGGTGATCCAAAGGCGATTCGCGTAAATCTTCAAGTAATCAAGATTTCCCCGCAACGGTAACGTACAGACTCCTCTCGATTATCGTCCCGAACTCGGGACCGCGCCAGGACAATAATCATATAGGGAGAACTACTTCAGACCCTCGTAAATTCGTTTTTTTCCCGAAGCCCGAGCCTCGGCAACAAAAGCGAAGGAGCAACAAAATATAAGCTTGACAGGTCCCACACCTTCCCCAATAGTGGGGATAATGCCTGGACAATAATCGTGTAGAACAAGCCAGACGATAATCGAGAAGAGTCTGTACGAGGCCTCCTTGTGAAATCGTCGTTTTATTAGCCCCCGCCATATAGTTATATTCTCGCCTTTCAATTTTAGCATGGAAGCTCACCTCGACCGGCGGTCGTAACGCACAATTTTATTGTAATTGTAATTTATGGTCGACCGCTTGTGAACGGTGTATCTTCTACGACGCGCAGGGCTCGTGTTACCCGTTCTCTCTCTCTCTCTCTCTCTCTCTCTCTCTCTCTCTCTCTCTCTGTCTCTTCCCCTCTCGACTCTATCTTTCGCCGTCGCGTACATACGAACCAGGGGAAATTTGGAACGTTTCGGAAACGACCACGCGAGGCGGGATAGAAGAAACGCGAGAACACACACGGAAATAACTTGACGCGACGGTGTGTGCATAGTGAGAGAGGAAAGTTCGACAAAGCGACGCGGTCGCGAGGAGTTTTACGTGCAACACGGGGAGGGGGGTGGCGGTATGTTTTCGAACGCGCGACGAGTATTACGTCCCCGAGTGTCCCGCGAAATACTTTCGGAAGGAATCCAGGCCAGAAAAAAGTTGCATCGGTCCGCGGTGTCGTTCGCTTTTTTGCATCGCGCGGCGGCCTCCAGACCGGAACGGAAGATTCCGCGCGGACGCGGTACACGCAGCAAACTCTTTTCGATGGTACGTAAACCACTTTTGAGCGAAAATATATACAGGGTGTTCGCGATAATTTGTACCATCGTTTTTTTCGTAAACGGTAAACATTAGAAAAACACCGAAGAGGAGGTAGTGTAGTATATTTTACTGGTAATATGGTAGCGTATCTAAAATTTTTGTATTCTTAATATTTTTCTAGAAACAAAGGTAACCTTAATTTTTTTAAATGGAATGTTACATATTTCTTTACATCATATGAAAGCGGGCATTAAGACGAGTTCAACCATGTAGTATACTATGGTCTTCAGGGTTTCATGCAAGGGCAGAAATAAAAGAAAGAAATTTAACATTCATAATTGATGAGTAATGGACACCAGTGGCCACTCTTAATTGATTAGTATTGGCCACCAGTGCGGTCATGTTTATTGACTATAGATAATGATCACTGATTACTCTTGCAGGATTAAAAACGACCACCGATGGTCATTTGTAACTGACCATAGTGACCGTAACTGGTTAGCTTTAGTTCAGTGACCAGAGACGGTCACGCTGAATCGACCATCAATGAAGTGTCATCAGGGGTTAGTTCTTGGACTACGGGCACCTATTGACCACTAATAGTTGTATCTTGTCACATCTGATCAGTGTTGATGACAAATGACCACTGTTAGCTATCATTATCCATGCTCGTTAGTGATTACGCCACTTCAATTATTTGATATCCTACACCTTTAAATACTGTCTTTACTTCTAATCCTGTGCGTATTATTCTTAATTCCTTACTTCTTGTTATACAACATTTTTTATGTATAATGTAACCATAAAGTGATTGTGTATAATATTAATCTAGATAAAGACTTGTAAAAATAAAATTAAATTGCAGCAGCAGTTCCTTAACATTCTATTACTAAAGAAATTTTGCGACGGTCAGGCCTGAAGACCTCGAAGACATATTCGAGCCTTTTAAATACGTCACAACTGAACTTCGAAGGACCTTCATATGACTAATCCGTTTGAAAACTTACGACAGAGACGGAGAGATAGAAGAAAAAGGACGCGCACGGCCGTTCGTCATTAATTTTCAATACATCCGAAATACTTTCTAAATTACTCGTTAGAACAGTATCCACGTGATCTTTAACCACACATTCTTTCACGTACTGATACGTGATCTATAACCGAAATTAAAGTTCTAACAGGTGATGCATAATTGGAGTTAACGCAACTACTACGTGATCCAAAAAATCAAATCAACATATGTATTACTCCGCCAGATATAATTGGTTTAAATATATTACTACGTGATTCAAGACTTAAGTCAATGTCACAGTTTAAGCTGTCATACTACTATCTTAACCGATTCACAGTTCACAAAGTACGGCAATTTTCAGTTGACAGCTTCCAGCTACGTGACTATTCATTCATAACTGAACGTATAATTCTACTCAGCCGAAGTTGCACATTCAAACACTGACACTCTAATAATCTCCCACAGTGATTGACACAAATCAACAAAAAGGCACCCAGAAAGAAACATGTTTTCTTACAAGTAAAACATGTTTCTTTCAGTTTCACCTCGCATACAAAAGTACACATAAAAAACATAACAAACTAACGCATCATTTCAACCTACTTCGTTCTATTCCACTGTCAAATGATTAATCTCTCATCCGACTAACGTACTGCAAAACTGTCACGGTACTTACAGTTTGGTGAGATTCACAGCGGTGGTAAGAACAGCGAGATCGAGCGGGTCCAGGATGGATAGAAAGCCCGCGCCGCGGCAGATAACCTCCCGTCCGTCGGCGGTGACGTTGCAGGCGTCCGGTCCGTGCAAGGATCCGGGCTGCTGCTCATCGGCAGAGCAAATCCGGCATAGAAACATCGCGAGGACGACAGTGGCAGCGGTGTACTGTGTGCACATGCCGGCCAGCTTGATCTTAGCTTCTCGCCTTCCGCCGGAGTCGCCGCGCCCAGGACAGGTAAGGTTTATTCACTTCACCGCATTATATATCAGTGGCAGGATCAAGACATTCGTGGCCTCCTCGACGGGCCGAACGAAACGTCCCACGGCACAACACACGATTCGTTTTCTCTCCAAAGACGCGCACACACACACACACGCACAGAAACTTACACGGGTTGGAGAAACCACGGTGGTGTGTCTCGAGAGCTTGCAAAGCTCGCGGCGAATCAAAGAAACGCGCGCGCACACCTCACCCTTCGAAACTAACCTTCGACCGACCAAACCGCACGCCACGGCTTACGTTTACCGACTGACAACCCGGCTCTACGTGCGTAACTGCACTGATTTTCCCTCTCGCCCGCCCCCCCTCCTCCCCCCACCGTTTGCTATCGCAGCCCCGAGCCAATCGACTTTCTCCGTGTACCGATGCGCCGTCGGTAATAGACTCGCGGCCCTGTGATCGGCACACCGCGAGGGGGACGCATCCTGCCGTATATAGAGATCGAATCATCAATCTTGTGTTGCTTTTTTATCTCATTTGTCACATGATTTCAAGTGTCTTCGCGATGGCGGCCGGTCTCTGTCCGACCAATGAACGGAGAAACCGGCGGCTGGCCGGCCCAGGTGTTGCTTTGCAATGACGTGTGTTGACCGATACTTGTGTTTATACTCTCGTGACCGTCGTTTAGGATACCTGCGTGGGTTCGTGTTCAATGCCTGTCAATGAATTCTGTTATTGGGACTGAATAACGTGTGAGTGTTGCACATACTTTTACAAGGCTATTTGTGCTGAATACACCTACACACTTTTCCTTCTTTGATTGTAATGAGAGTAAACAAAGGTCCTGTCAAGGTCATAACGTTTGTTTTATATAGTAGCATCTGTTTTTTTGTCTCGTGGTAGTATAGCTATCGAGATGAGTTCAATGACTTGTTTTACTTTGAATTCGATATAACTTTGAACACGGGAAAGAAGTGTAATAATTTTTATTAACTGTTTGCTTTCGAAGATCTCGATCGTGGTATCGACAAGAATTTTTCATAAAATTTGGACGACCTCCTTACGGTGCCATTTTGTTTTAGGTTTTGTATATTTGTTGAAAAGATTTTCTCCCGTGTAAATGAGTAACTTCGACCACAAATCGGGGAATGATGCAACCTTGACTAAAAAATGGGGTGATAAAAAAGCAAATAATATTGTGCAAAAACAATGACATTAAACGAACTTTCGAGATGACTTCGGAGTTTTTTTTGTTTTTATCTATTTTTCATATAATTTAGATGTTTTTAACAAATTAATATTGTTATTGCAATCGACAAATTAGTATGAAGTACTGCCCTAGTGTCAATTTAATGGAATCACGTTACAATTTATTGAAAGAGACATATAGTTTATTTACAACACCACTGCTATATCAATTGTTCTATAAATGTAAATAACAAGTTATCCTTTGAATATGCTGTTAAACACAACATTTATACGACATCTCATCAGGTGAAATTTTTAAAAGACATATATTCTGTATGCAAAATATTAAATTTGATTTATTTGTAGTATTCTAATACTGAAGGCATTTGAGTACTTCATCGAAGGGTGACGGACTTATCGTGTACCTGCTGAAATAAAGTAAGGGAGATGCTTATCAACAGATAAGATAATATATGTACTGTTAAATTATAGTACATATATCATACTATACGAAATAACAAATAGATAAACCCCTGGATCGAGTCGTAAATGATATCTGATATACCTAAATCAAATAAAGATTCAATTTAATCTCAAATAAATCTCATTCCATACGAGTGATTCAAAAAATCTCCCGAATTTACACGATAAACATTTATTTTCATATGGTCTAACAGTCGAAATAATTGTTCACCCCACTTCTACAACCCTACGCAGTCGCTAACCAAAATAAGAGTTCTCCTTTCTTAAGAAACTCAATGATACAATAGAAACATTCCTCTGAATCGATTTTGTAATTGAAAATTGATATTGCTGATGTTTACAAGTAATACTTAATTTTTTGTACGTTGTATATAACTATATATATGTACATATGAATATGATCGAGTACATCAGTGGCGTCATCTACGATAAATCGTTCAAGCTACTAGACATTAGTACCATATAAATAACGCAAGATGGCGCCGTAAATCAATTCAGTATCTCGTTAAAAAAATAAAAAATTCATTAAAAACATGCTCTGTCAAAACTAACAAATTATTTATTCACGTCTTATAAATCTATATTAAACTAGGAAATTGCCGCTTGTTATTTTGTCCGGCAGCAATTATGTACATTTCTAAAAAATGTAACCCCTGAAGATAAGTCTTACCATCTAGCGAGGGAAGTATAGAATTAATTGGTGAAGAGTTTGGACAATTTTACCATAGATGGCACCATGAATCTTTTCCACTATAATTAACTACATGTATAGGACAGCACAGTTCAAATAACTGGCATAGGACGAGTATATACATATAACCACATAAATATTTCACAATTTTTATAACATTCTGTATGTACAAATGTATATTAGGTTCATAAAAATATACTACTGTATGCTATTTTCTACCAAAAAAATACTCCAATCTAATTTTCACCTACTTAAACACGATATTCCAACACATAGTGCCAAAAACCCTTTTTATATTCAAAGGAGACTGATTCACGACGTTCACAGTTAAATGGCCATCACAGTCACATCAGTAAGCGGTTAAAAAGCAGTAATGTCACGACTAATGTCAAATCTACCTTGATTCCAGAAAACAAGCATTAAAATTGGTATTTAAGGGGTGAGCACTAAGTAAGACACGGGAAACGAAGCTGACACATTTTATTCTCGAACAATGGTCCGATGATCGGTACGATTACACAATCCTCGAACGAGTCAACGATATGTTATAAAATTCGAAAACTGCAGAAACTGTTGATATTGCAACGAACAAGATTATTATTCTTGTCCAAGGACGGCGTATACGGTTTTCGTGACGTTCTTGCTCATATTTTACCGTTTTTATCGAGACAGTTAAGCTGTAGTATTTTCTCGATATAAGCTTTTTTCGTTTAATCAAATCAATGGTATTTATTTCCAAAAAAATTTAATGCAATAATACCGAAAAATGGTGAATGGTAATGAATGCATGGTGCCAATATCAAATGGAGATCACATCGAGAAAACACTATACCTGATAGCAGAAATATAGCGACTTCGTGAAAAACAATAGAATATGCGAAATTTAATAATTAGAAGTAAGAAAAAAAACGTAATTCTCATTTTTCAGTAGCTCAGAAATGGCATATTTGTTCCACTAAGTGTACAGGGAATTACGATCAAGATACAGAAAGAGAGATCGGTAAAATTTTCCCTGAATTTTATTTTGCACTTCGACCCCAGGTCGCTAACGAGACACCCATTAAAATCCAACTTTTGATTTGGTCGCGAGATTAAAATACTTCGTAAATTCATTCCCCCATCAAAGAGCTATGTAGTTATAACGCCATCTTCCTAAATTTTTGATTAATTAGATCGCAGTGAACGCACTGTCTTATAGAATACTTCGAACACTTGAACTTTTAACAGACCGAAGCTCATAATTCCTTGTGTGATCGTTACAGCTACGATAATGTTTTCGATCCACGGTGAGACGCGACGTAATATTGGTTACGTGTCGTTCGCAACAGAATGAACGATCAATTCGGAAGCCCGTCGCAGTGTAACTCCTGTAAACCCTTAATTACAATTTGTTTCCGTATAACTACCTATTAATTGAGCCTAGAGAATCGTTACGATCCTTTCAACTGTCGTTCTCCTTGAATTCTCGAGTCTTAATCAAACTTGGTCCATGAAACTACGAATCCGTCTGTCTATCGCTCTCTTATACGATACATGTTCTTACATCATTCTTTTTTTCTATAATTATCGAATCTCTATTGATTCGCGTAACGAACTTTCTCGGTGTATATATTACGATATATCGAGTTTAAAACTCACGGCGATGACGAGATGTGCTCGTGTGCTTCTTGAGTCTTGACAGAGGTCGTTCGAGTGAATTGATCCGTGACTGTCGCAAGGTACAGTTGAGTTTCAGAGGGCCTATGAAACCGAAGATTTTTGTTTACTTTAATGCTTTCTTGAAATAATACAATAAGTGTCTGGTACCAGTAATTGACCTTCACTATATACAGTTCGAAACAGGGAAAACCATGACGTCATCGATTGCTATTTGCGTCAAGCACGAGAATCCTTCAGTTCTCTGTTTTGCTACTACGTCCTTAACTTGTAAGTGGAATAAGATTGTTCCAGGTAAACTCAGTTGATGGCTCATATTTTGAAATACTATAATACTCAATCGACCTCTGTCCGTACTCTATTCAACCACAGCTTTCAATGTCGTCATCCACCCCCATTATCTTTAATCGTTGCCTAGATCGAATCAATCCCGCGGTTCGTTCGATCAGCCCTGAGATAGAAATGTGTCAGTGAGCCGGTTGGAAAGGGGTTAGCGAGCTAAGTGTCAACCCGGACAATAAGAAGCCGGCAAAGAAAAGAAAGAAAGAAGAAAGGAATGCGCGTCATCGCGTGAGAAACGCTTCGAACGATGGCGTTGGGATACGGTAATCGCAAATGGTCAACCAAATTCACTAATCTTAGCCAAGTAAAATCGTAATACACGGCAACATAATACATCGTAAATGGGGTTACATCGGGTAGCACAAGTGAAGATCAAGCGGAAGTTGTCGGTTTTGGTTCCCTGAGGGGCGGCTCGTGCGTGTGTTAGGAACCAAATGAAACTAAATCGATTATAAGCTCTCATTTCGACCATCCGTGGATCCAATCTCCCGTCTGGGTAAGAAAGCTGATCAAAGACTATTATTCCGTATTTATGATAAACGCTTCGACAATAAAGACACAATGTAGAAACCTCAAACTTTAAAATATACGATATAAAATCAAAATTTTTAATACTAAGGTTAAAAATTTGGTTCGTAATGTATGATTTACATACTTTTTTTTAATTTTTATTTTCGTTGTATTGTAAGTGCAATGTTCGTAAATCGCACGAGGTGTAGTCAACATGGCTGACCAGATAATGTACAAGGGGGTTAACCAATATGGCCGACCCGATACTAAACCAGAGATTTATCCAGTATATTAACCCATACAAATTTATCACTTCTTGAATTCAGAAACTAACATTTTTCATATATTACAGTAAGAACAACTTTAAATAATTCAAGGTTATTAAACGTAGAAACCATCACCGTTATATCATTAAACCATCTAATTGCTGTGTTCCTAATTCCCTGATGATGAGATGAATGTGAATTCTGATTCTCACTGCTAGTCTGTGCAGATACTCCTTACCAACTTTCTTCTCTAAAGTGGACACCGATCTACGGATGGTCAATCGACGCGATGACTTGTCAAAATTGCCTAAACGACATGCACACACGTTCTGTAACAACGTCGACGTATAACTCGCGTAAATACTTATCGCACTATCCCTTACAAATAGATACAAGTTTCAGAGTTCCAGCCTCACCACGCTTAAGCTTCTATACATACAATATTACGTGTACATCTTCTTTCTATATATATATATACATAAAAAGAAACAAAAAAAAATTAGGATACGAAAGGAAGAAACCACTCCATCCTGTATCAACGTTCAATCGCCGATCTACATACCGACGAGGAACAAGGGAATCACATAATGATACATAAACGGGGGAAGCAATAAGTTAATTCTAATTCTGTAAACTCTAAATGTGAAGTACAACAAGGTGTCGCGATAACACGGTCGAGACGTTAAAAAAAATAGATCAAAGTTAAACGACGCTCAAGTTTAAAAAAAAAAAAAATGGGAACGCGATCGTAAAATGCCTTTTTTTCATTATTTCAATCGAAGTGCCGCGAACGCAATTTTGAAGCTATCCGCGGTACGGGACCAGCACAAATCGTTTTTTTTTTTCGTCATGTTTTCATTGCGACTGTAATCCTCTGAGGCCCCATCTCGAGATTTCAGCTCGTTAATTAATATTGTATATTTATATATCTAATAATACTTATAAATTTCTTAATATAAAATCATTTACAAAAGAGAATCTTAATTAGTTATTGCTTTCTCCAATACCCTATTTACAATTCCATCAGCGTCGACAATGTTGAACCTCAGCGGATTAGAATCTTGGTTCAGTGTGGAACTAGTTATTTCATATTTATTGGGTAATCCCATAGATAACGTTTAAGCAAATTTTAATCAACTGTGTGTCAATCGCATACTGAGTCACATTAATGTATAATTTTTGTTACAAAAATGACAACTTTAAGAAGTTTTTTATAGCGAGCATTTACGGTTCTTATTAAAGATTCTGCTGAATGGGTCTGTATAATCCAATATACAAATACACGTAAATCTGACGCCAATTTCACAATAAAGAGGAGGTAAGATGTTTTTATGGGATTACCCAATACGTTCTTTCGACGGTTGTCCTTATCGTATACGCTTTATCGGTTACATTAGAACACGTGATCGTACGAAGTACGCATTCTTAGCTTCTTAGGAACGTAGAAAAGATCCCCCAGGTGAATTCGTTTTCATACACGCGACCGCGAGGACTCGACTGACTTTCGGTCGCCACCTTAAAAACAGTGTTCGATTCGATCGGAACGAACTGAAGTGACCGTATTCGTTGAAGCCGAGAGAATAAATTTTTTAGATAAAAAAAAAGAAAGAACAGGAGTCTTGAATCGTGCAAGATAACAGCCGGAAATGAAAAATGGAGCTACGGAAGGACCTCTATGGAAGAACTCTCGAATTTGTGCTCAGCCTGTACTACTTTGGAAGCCTGGAGACCGTCGATAGGAAAATACACGGTAGAGGAAGAAATTCGTGCTAACTACTAGTATCGTGAAAAAAAAAAAATAAACGGGAAGCCTTGGATGTGTTAGAATTTCGTTTTTGCAGGCGAAACTTTGCCTCCGGATGGTTCGACGCAGGGATGAGCGACCCTATTTAAGTGGGACACATCCGTGAATCAAAAATAGGAAGAACGACAGTGCCTTGAGTGGAATTAATGTCAGCGAATGAACAGCTCCATCGCTGATCACATAGGCCGAGTACTGTCATGGAAAAATACGAATGGTGCGTCTTCGGGAGTTCACGAATAGCTACTCAGCTTCGGATTTTTAGAGAGACTACCTCGATACAGGTTCAAAAGGAAACCCAATAGGATAAACTTAGGATATTTAGATTCGATACTTCAGGAAGACATTAGAATACCGAAAAAAATGTCATCGATACAAAAGTGTAGCCAATTGAGATTCTTTCGGTTTAGAGAGAATTTTAAGGAAAAAACTACTAAAATTTGAACACCTGCTGATATCTGCTGGTGTTGCTCTGGGTATAAAGTTTCTCATTAATTCACATTGTTATTAGAAACATGTTGCTAATGGACGACACAGCTCTAGTAACTACATACGGTACTGAGAGACTCAAAAGCTGATTCTCTAATCAGACAGGGTAAACTCAAGAAAGACACTGGGGGGGGGGGGGCAGAGAGCTGGTTTTAGCTTCGAGTAGAATTGGTCGCCCATCCCTGAGCCAAGATATTGTCCTTAACTGAATAATTTCGGCATCGTGGAGCTTAACAATCTAACTACCTAGGTCGGACGTCGCTTTGATGGTGTCACGGCGAACCCGTTACTCGTTGGTTCGCGGATCAAAGTGAAGATTTGGCAAAATGGGAGCACACCGGGGCACCAAAAAACATCCTACGCGACAGTAGCCGAGTGGAACATGTTCACTGATAGAAGTCTAGCTCGTTTCGTATTGGTCCTGGGGTTCATTTCAACCCGGTCTATCTCACTAACATTCATTTTTATCACGATACAATTACTATCTCGTTCGATTTGCCCGATACTGGCGCACCCTCGTGACAGCAACATGATTATTCTCTTAGCTTGATAATGTACAATCTTTTATGAATATAGACTCCCTTTCACCTTGTATAATACGTTAATACACAGCTCGCAAACGCCCGGCATGGATGACGATATATTACAAGAAGATACACATGGTCAGACTTCATCGTTACAAGTTACCCTTTCAGATTCAGATCACACGAAGCAACTTCTTAACCTGTACGATACAAAGAATATTTCTAAAGTTCGTGGAAGAATAACAGACTCTCTGAATGGACCATACCATTCAACACAGATCCCCCAAGATTTCACGACGAATACATACAATTGAAGCTCCTTCGAGCATAACGATCAATAAATTAAGGCATAACTGCTTTTGTAATACAGGCCCAAGGAGACTTCACCCAAGATCTCCTTATCTTCCCGTTACCCAAACACCTCTCTATCACCCACCAACCACCTCTATATCACCCAATCTGTGAAACGAGCACACGATGCGCCAATGATCAACCACATCCTGATCCACAGGAGCAACCGTATCCTGAATGTTCCACCCGGCCATAGGTATACATATTTCTCTCTATCAAGTATATATATATATATATATATATATATATATATATATATATCCGCGTCCTTTGTGTACATGTATGTACATATCCGGCCAGTGTTCTAATCGCTAAATCATTGATTAACCGGTTCTCGAAGATTAATTGTTAAGTGCACATCGCGGTTTTTTTTTCTTTACCAACTAATCGTAAAGAGTTAGCGTTAAGTAAAAGGAATAAACGATGCCACGATTAATGTTATGACTAGCATGGCGACGGGCATCACGTGACCTTGGCCTTGTTCTTTCGGAAAGGCGGGAACTGGGGAAACTTCCGGCGTCTCCGTTTCAGCTCGTCGTTATCCGTGGTGGAGTTCGAGTCGGTGGACAACGTTTCGTCGTCCACGGACATCACTGTCGGCAGATCCCTCGGCAGTTCTCTAAGCATTTTCTTATGGCCGCCGGTCGTTGTCGTCGATGTGGTCGTTGTTGACGTTTGCTGACCACCTTTCTGATGTCCCGACCTCTCTGGAATCGACGAGTCCAACGAGTTCTCCGAATAGGATATCTTCGACAGGAATGCTGAGTTAGCTTTGTCCTCTAAGGTCATGAGCATATTGGTGTCCTGACTGTAGGAGCGTACTATTCCTGTCTTCTCTTTGCTGCACGCCTTGGCAATGTCCTCTGGACCCTCGCCCATGGTGAAGTGCACCACATTACTCTCGGGCGGTGTGTCCTTGCCTGTTTCGCTGCTGGACGAGTCCGGAGGCATCGATGACTCCTTCCATATCAGGCTGTCCAAGTTACCTGTGGGGCAGGATAAAGATATCGTCAATGGGAAGGACACTCTTTTTACTGGAATGTGCAACTGTAGGCGTATCTGAATCAAGGGTATCCACGCTACTTGTGTACAGAAATATAAATTGAAAGATTCAACTGTAATAGGCCTGTTGTTAAAAATTTGAACATTATTTAATATATACTTGAGATTGTAGAAAGTTACGAAATCATAGTGACACGAAGAGGAATACTTGACAAAGATGGCTAGATTGTTGACATTCATTGTAATGGATGTAAAGGCAGTTTATGCTTTCTTTTTTTTCGCAGTGTGGAGTTGTCGACATGGAGAAAATTGCTAGGTGAAGTTAGTACGATAGGTGGATCTAGTGTATCCTTGAGCTATTGTATGTTAATCGATTGATGCCTATATACAAGTGGTGACAATAAAGTTTCGAGAATAATTGTGTTCCCGTCGAAGTAGACGTAACTGTTCACATTAATATATATCTTTGTGTCAATATACGTTTTATATAATACATTTTTATCGGTTTAATTGAACAATAATAATCACGCGCATTTCTTGTTGCGCGCGAAGTTACGTGGGAGACGGATGCGGAAGAACGAGATACGAATGTTCATATCTGTTTCCGCGTGTTTACGATATATCTTTGTTAGTTATTTTCAGCTTATCAAAGAAACTTCAATTTTTGTATTTTTTTTTTCAGTCCATTTATGGAAACGTGTATTAAAAACAGGAACTGAAGGACAACTGAAGTTTAATTCGCTTGAAGAGGTACGTTCATGTCTGGTTTAAATTTAGTGTTCCTTTAAGAGATTTCTGTATTGCATAGTTTTCCAGAAATATATACACGAATGAATAAAACCAAGATGGCGGATACGCCGATATTGAAACAGTCATTTTGAGGACTGAATAACATTAATTTTCAATTTTCATTTATAGTATATGTTTCCATAAATGAGCAAAAAGAAATTTACAATTTTAGTTTGTGTTATTTTAAAATTTTTAATTGTTAGTAGAAGTTTTTAGGTTCTCCTCTCTCCTCAACGACATGCTTAATCAGTATGGATGTCTATAAAGATATGTGCATTCATAAATAAATAAAGATTGATCATTAAGATGCTGCATGCTCATTTGAAGATCAGTTTTTACTAGAACTAAAATGATCAAGGAGTCAGCATGCAAGCATAGATTCCATACTTTACCGGAAAACGTGGCACGACCCTCTGTTTCGTGCGGGAAGCGCAGAATTCTCAAAAAATTTTACAATCTCTGTCCCGTTTGCACTTTTGCGTCGACCAGTTTATTATTTTGCCGATGTTTAAAAAAAATAGTACAATTATTTTATCTAAAGAAAATACTTCATGATTTCTGTTAAAACAATTAAAGGAAATTATTCACAAATTATTAATTCAAAGAATCCAATTAGAAAGATCAGTTCTGCAAATTCAGATTCAATAACATGATAGAAAATTACAAAGTTCCAAGAGTGTCGACTACGTGAAGTTAAAAGAAATATGTTCGATGTCACGGCAGTGTAATTTATTGGTATTTCCATGGAGGGGACGAAAATTGCACGCTTCTAATCGATCTTAGATCTAGAGAAGAGACATTATATCCACGGCTTAGGTCATTCAAAACAAGGCTCAATGGTTTCTTCGTTTCTCGCATGCTGCTTGATTTATTAACTGCGAATTATAAATTGTACAGAATCAGGGTAGGGGAGGAGGGGGTAACATGTTTTAACATCAGAGTGTACACAGCACTGTTACTCAAACGTGTGGGTACAAACATCGAACGGGAGAAGAAATTCCAAGACCTCTGCATAAATATGATAAAAATTCATAAAAATTACTTTCATCGAAGTTGAAAATGTACTATAGAAAAAGTAATCTGATGTACACAATTTACGGGTTTTCGTTTCGTTGTTATTGTACGTATAATCTTTATAAATTACAAGAGACTTAGCCAATATGGCTGACCAATCCCTTAATCAGATTAACCAATATGGCTGACCAGACAGAACGCAAAAAGTTTAACTACGTATATTTTATAACCGTACATTAAATTTTAAATTTAAAGGAATCATTTGATATTTCTTCTTTGATTTCCTTTTTATACCATGTTTCAACGACTCCGTGATTGACTTCCGGTGTACCCAAACTCTTGATCAACAACGCGTCACTCATCGCCGTTGGCATGCTCTAGCCACGGCAGAAGACTCGTTCCGATTGCTACACAGGATTGAACAACGCTCGAGAATGTTGCAGCTCAGTAAAAATCGCGGTCGAATACAGTCGAAGCTAATTTTAATTGACCCTAATATTAAACGTGACGCGCGCCTTAACGGCGTATCCTCCGAGAAATAGAATTCGTTTCTTGGCATGACCCATTAAAGGCGGGTAGAAGATCTCGTAAGATCAGGAAGTAGAAATTGTTAATTTGTGTACATTCGCTTAATGTTGACAATGGATTTGTAGAAATATAATAATAGAGAATTTAGTTTAATTAGAGTAGAAATATAATTTTAAATGAAAGTACACAATCACATAGATGAACTGATAATATACAAATGGAGAGTATTGACCTTGGAAACACCAAAAGTCTCCGCCGAATAATTGTACGTTGATATACTTTCGTTTAAAATTATCTTCGAAATCCATTCGATTCAGATTTCTGTTCGAATCAGTCTATATGAGACATGACACCTCCAGAATCAGATGCGCGGCCACCATCCTCCAATTAAGATCGAATTCCGATGCTCGGCTCGCTTTAATTCGAACTATTAATAAAGAGCGCGTTGTGCAACGGTTTTTCGCTGGTCTGGCGAAATGAAGCACGAGTCTTCCTGAGAACGAAAAGGAACGCTTGGCTTGACCATTCGATTTGACGGAAAATATCAACAATCCAGTTCACCCTCTTACTCGTAGTCATGTAGCTACGTATTTACAATTATAAAACAGAATGTTACTGCCCTCTTAAAATTCATATGTTTGAAAATATACTTTAGTAGATTTAAGTTAAGGTCTTTTAGTTAAAACCAATTACTTTGGTAGAAAGTGCTCAAAATGATCATATTCGGCCCGAATGCAAGTCATGCAAGACCTTGAGACAGTGTTTCTCAATCTTTCAATAATTATATATTTTCGAAAAAAAAAAAAAAAGGAATTACCAAGCGTCCTAAACAAACAATATAATAGAATTAGTTGTTCCACCTTACTTAGTCATTAAGGGTTACTGGAGTACAAAATTGGCAAAAGCTCGAGAACAAGGTCAAATAGGACACATGTTTATACGAACTTTTTTTTTAATTTATAACCTACATGTTATGAAACACCTCGTCTAAAATTTCTTAGTCTTAGATGTATATAATTCCCCGCAATGAATGGTACAAAAAATAAGAAAGTGATTCTGCTTATAAAAAGAAATCGAAAATATAAAATAACTTTTTTTTTGTAGGGAGCAACAAGAATTATAATTCAAAGGTCATCTTGGCACTTTATCGATTTTTTAGTACTAATTCTATGGACCGAAAAAGCTAAATATAAATGAGTCCTATGATTTATCCACATCGGTTCTGGAATTTACGGAACGAATTATTTTAATACTAATCCAGATTCAACAATCTAGATATGAAATATGAAATTCACGGGAAATCGAAATCTTAGTACACGACGTAAGTTAAATCTTAGTCAGGCTGATAATAGAACAGATTAATAAAATTTGATTCTATGATGCTAAAATACTTTGCTTGTGTCGGCTCAGATCTTTATTAATTTAACAATAAATTTCGAAACACAAAGAAAAGGTATAGAACATTCCTAGTTAGCATACAATATCCAATACAATAACATCTTTTGTAAAAATATCACATTATCAAAACCACTTGATCTCCATGTGTCAATGCCTTCTCACACTGTTACTGTAAAACTTCCTCATTCATGCTATACATTGTAAAAATATGAATTATAAAAATATGTCATGTTTTCCTTTGAACTGTAACTAGTCTAACTCCTTACACTTTATATAAGTACATGGTTGCAAAAAAACAACACAGTTTGTCAGTGTAATCATGTTACTACTTGTTAAATTGTATGTGATATACAAACTTACACATTAACAATAAGTTAAAAGATTTGTCACCGTTTTCAAAGTAAACAGAATCCTTCGGAGGACTCGACAAATCTCAGAGTTAGGAAAGGGGAACATTCCAGCTTTAATCCTCCCTTTTCCTGCACACATCGCGATAAATTTGATTCAAAGACTGTCAAGTCTTCTAATTCTACAGATAATGCCGTACAAAGTATTAATTAAGTTTTATCCACGCACCAATATTCTTTGTAAATATTTCTCTAAAAGCATATATTTCTGATCACAAATACTGAATTTATGTCACACATTACTGTGATGGTACTCTTTTCTGATATATAAGTCAAAATATAATTTATTTTCTATATTAATGTATAACTATTTTAATTGTCTGTGGTCTCTAAAAATTGAAAGTTATTGCAACAGTTATTTTATGATAGCTAAATTGACACTTTCCATGACTCTAAACGATTACTATTAAACCTTCAGGAAAAATTTACAATGTATGTAAACGTTTATAATGTATTAAGAAATTTGAATTATATTACTTCTTTAATCTTTTGATTTCTTCTTCTTTTCCTAAAATCAAATAATAACAGATAACATAGCAAAACAAATGTTTGTATCACAATAATTATTGTAACTCTCGAGCAAACAATTCAAACAACGTGAAAAGATAAGTATGTACATATCTCCATTTTGCAGGACTTTGCAAAATCAGAATTATTCTGTTGAAGCATAATATACAAGTCCATTAATAATTATAATCTTAAAAAAATAATTGAAACACAACAACAATTGCAATATAATTTTGCAATAACATTTTTGTTAAACTCAACAACATGGAAATATTTCTATACATTCGAAGAATCTATAATCAACATATATCAATTATTATTATTTGAAAGTATATAATAAATTACCTTATTAAGAAGATTTCTTGAAGGACTCAAATTTTACTTTATATACATTTGTTTATACAGGATTTTTAATTTAATTAATTCGTAAATAAATCATTTTATTGGTAGTCGTCGTAAGAACTTTTGCTTAGAATGCTCATACAAACGTTACAATAAAATACAAGTTTTACTGTAATGTGTGACATAATCTATCTGCATCTCCAGTATCATTAGCACCTTCCACAGATATTTTTAAGTTCTTCACAGGAGTAACAAACACGGCATGAAATTTACGTCAACGATTAAAACTGCATACACATTTATGGAAGAACAACTTTCATTCATTGTGCGTTATAGAAATGTAAGGCAACATGGGAACTTTCTTTTATAATGCAAATTCATATTTCACTCAAAACTTGAGTCGAAAAATAGTTTCAGAAAACTTCGTACCTCCATGCAAATTTGTTGTAAACTGATTGGAAATATTTCAAATAATTACCATAAAACATTCCCCGTTCAGTCTGTCTCAGAATACCTATCACCATCTAATTTGTATGAGCGGCTACATCGTACGGGAGTCGATTAATGGACATTAATTTCACAAAAAGAAACCCAAATTACTACCAGGAAGACAAACAAGTTAGTAAATTATCGTTCACGAAGGCATCATCCATGTGAAAGAAAATGGAAGGTACACGGGCGCATAAGTGTCATATAAAGTTACAATAGTATATACAAATTGAGCATTGTTATATCAATCTAAATTCTCGTGGAAGTCCGTTTCCGGCTTACCTGCGCCACCGCACGTGGAGGGTGAGTACACTGAGCTTGCTTCGTCATCTAAGTCATCTTGGCTACTGAGTCGACCTACAAGCATCAATTATAGACAATTATTCACATTAATTTCGCATGACCGAGCCGAAGTGCTCTAATAAAGCTTGATGGGAACCTTATTCTATCAAACTAGTATTGTGAAACGAAGTTCTTTCTTTAAAAACGATACCAAGGTACTTGAAAATCACATAGAAATTGCTAGCATAAAATTCCAAAGTAGTAAGAAAACATGAAAGTTTTTTTTTTACATTCTTATAAATTAATATTAGCGAAAAAATTCAGTTAAACTACAATATTATCTATTCAGTCTTAAGTAAAAAGTTAAAGCCTCTAAATATATTGGTCAAAATTTCGAAGTCTCGTCTTTAATAATTTTATACTTAAATACCTCTTAGTCCAAGACCTCTGCCGTTTGGTGTTCCTCTGTAGAGAACAGTTTCTAAATAGGTTAAACCATTATTATTGACTATATTAAAACCGCAAAGGAGTTCGATTTGCTTCCAACGATGCACGCGTTCCTGTAGTTCCGCGGTGACTTCGTTCAGTGAGGTCCTCGCTTCAACAATACTTTTATCAACTTCGTCAATCGACTTTCCGTGAGTCGAAACGAAGGCTCCTACTAAGCTCGATCGTTTTTTTCGTAATTTTTCACACTGGCAAACAGAAAAACAATAACAATAAGTATTTCTGTTATAAAAACTTTAAATGAAAATTAAAATCATGTATCTTACTGCTTCCCGTGCTTGTTGCAATTGCTTTTCCGCTGCTATCTTCTTCTTTATATACCCTTTGTTTTCGATTTCGTGAGTTAATTGTAACCAGTGTTGTAGTCCTGGTGGCGGAGACCAACATCTGTCTTCAAGTTCACCCTCCGCGCGTTGTAACTCAACTTTTAACATCTGTAAAAGGTAAAATTAATTAAATCTTTCAAGTGATTTGTTGTAATTCTAATAATAAAGGACTGCGTAATATTTACTTCAATTTCTGCTTTTAACTGAGACACTTCAAGATCCGAATACGATGCATGCAATCCCATACTTTCATCTTGCAGGCGTTTCTCCAAGTTCTGTTTTTCTGTTGTGGCACTTTCTTGTTCCAATCGCGCTCTCTCTAGTTCTTTCTGTAGATCATAATATATAACGATAATAATTATCTCGATCAATGTGCTGAACAACAGATGGAAAAAGATAACACATACTTGTAAGTCTTCGAGTGCCAATTCAGCTTTGTGTAAACTTTCCATGTCCTTCATCATTCTATGAAGGTGTTTCTGCGAGTTCTTCTTCTGTTGATAAGCATACCAGCATCCAATAAGTGCTCCAAATAACAGTGTTATCAATATCAAGTCTTTGATACTGTGACCAGTGTCTACAACACAGAACATCATTTTTATCAAAAGAAGAGCCATTGATTGGAAGAACATTCTTGAATAACTCTTTACCTTTTGGTGGTCCGAAGAGAACTACATCCATAGCTTTTAAGGCAATCTTTTGTTTATGTATGGGATCCTTGATCCCCAAAACATTACTTACATAATGCATATTGTTCACAGCCAGCCTGTGAATTAAACACGTTTACGTTAAATTCTCTATAATACGAGACTACAAACACTACATACTTCATAAAATGCTTACCTTGGAAGTGTAGCACCGGTCACACGATGTTGTATAAAAGTAGGAACATATTGAGGAAGCTCTACATTAGAAGACAGCCACTCAGACGTTTGCTCTATAGTCCAATTGTGGACCTAAGAAAAAAAGTAGTTGTTGAAGTAACTTTCAACTACTAGATAACTGAGATAATAAAAAGACCATGTTGTTGACATTACCTCTGACCTTAACCAGGCTTCCCAAAGTTCTCTAACACTGATGTGCATATCATCGTTATGATGAAAAGCCCTCTGTCTTCTTTCATATCCAGCTTCATATTGTAATTCTTCCCTTAAAAACTATAGAAAACGTATAATTTCTTTTATTGTTTTGCATGTGATAGAAATTATAAAACAACAACAATTATACTTACATCATCTGACTCTGAAAGGTCCACATTCCCATTGGCATCGTCATCTAGTTGACTGTGGAGTGATTTGATAGCTTCTAAACCTAGTCGATCATGAGAAGCCATTGTAAGACAAGCTAGGTCATCGTTACAAGTATCGGAACCTGTAATAAATTAAATAGCCTACGTTTGATTGTATGTGTTTATGATTACATTGAATCTGTTATCACAGGTGCCCTCCAAGTGAGATTGCATTTCTTCTAGTCAAATTTGCACAACAAGCTTTTCACCCAATCGCATTAATGCGGTCGCGCGTTGTTAATATGAATGTTAATTAGTAAAAATTGTATTATTATCGAATGAACAAGAGACTGATCCTTAATTGTATCACTTTTCTTTTTTATCATAAACACATTTGTTTCCACTTACCACCAATGAACAAAACATTAAATTAGAACAAAACTTACTTCAAACAGACAAAGGAAACATCTTGGGTTTCTACTCTTGCTAAAAGCAAATGTTGTATACAACTTCACACAAAAATAAGGGAAAACAATGGTACCCAAATACTTCTTTCTGAAACTCAGCATTATCACCTCTATAAAATAGAATTATCTGCAGTAGGAAAGGTACATAGTAAAGCTCTTTTAAAGGTTTCAACATCGGGTCCACTTTGGAACTGTTACAGGTAATTTATATTCTTTCATTATTGTTTCTGATAAATTAGAAATGATTCAAATTACATCGTGTTTGGTCTGATTTTAATCAGAAAAATCTCACCAATATGTTGATAAAACTTTCTTTAACAAAGAACCAAGATCAAAAGGTTTAATCGTTGCATTATTGTTGTGTCGCCGATACTGCAGGCATTTAAATCTTTGTTGGTTGCCTCAACGCTCAGTCCATCTTTCTTTTTCGCTCGTTATCCTTTTCTGCGGCCGAACCAAGTGTACGGAACACTGAACGTTTACAAAGCCAACGGATCGTATTTAACTGGTTCTAAAACCAGTTTTTTGGTACTCTTAAAGGAACAGTATCACATTTTCGCACCTCATTCATTCAGCAGCTCGTCTTTGTATTTTGCCGGCCAACGACGATCACAGAAAAGGTCAACGAATGAAACTGAAGTTAATTATATCGTGTTTGGTCTCATTTTAACCAGAAAATTCTCACTAATATTTTCGTACAATGTTCATTGACAAAGAACCAGTAATAAAAATGTTTTATGGCAATATCAGTGTTGTTTCACGGATATACAAGCTTTTAATCGTTTTTTGACTTTCAAACTTTTAGTCGTCGGCTCGTGAAAAAGGAGCTTCTGGTTTGTTACATTATTTACTTGACTGGTTCCAAGAGGGACTCCTCAGTAGTGGGGAGAAAGCAAAAACTATAAAGGGTCCAATTTGGCGGAGAAATTAAGGAGGCATTACTGTACTTCTATTTGAAACTCAGCATTAACACTACTATAAAATATAATTATTTTCAGTAGAAAAGATATAGCGTGATTATAAACTTGATTGCAAGTTCAAATGCTCATGTTCGAAAAATACAAGGTCTGAGGAATCCCAGACCTTGCTTGGGATAGTACTATATAGACTCTTTTAATTCAATGCATTTTCTGCTTGAAACTGATATCAATGACTACTCTGAGACAGAAAGAAACTCGATCATTGTACATCTTAATTAAAGCTTCTAGTTTTTCTGTTATACTCGAGTTTAAGAGTTTTAGCCAATTGGAATCATTTTAACTACAGCAAATCCAAATATCAAATTACAGGGCAACTAAAGCATATCACAATAAAGTCCAGCGTGTGTTACACACTATCGGGCGATGACTGTCTGCAGAAACTGCTGTCTACAGCCGGCGATTTTCGGCACACACAGCTGCCTACGGCCGGTGTCATCACTATTCGTTTTTGGGAAAAATATTACAAAACTATGATTACATATTTCTAATTATATATAATGTTAAATACTTTTAATAAAGTTTAGAAAGTTTATGTCGCGTCAGTGTTTGCGAAAACTTCGCTACAAACAGACCGTCCATAATTCCGGAACATCTATTTTTAGACGATCGGCCGTTTACGAAAATGTTCACAATTAATTTTAGTCGACCGCTCGATAGTGCGTTAAAAAGTGAATAAACGTAGTAGTAGGGATTATCTCTAAACTTCTTGTATCAATTTGGTGTTACCAAGGGTCTACTATACAACCAAACCACATCCTTTCCACTGAGTATACACAAACATGAATGCAAAGCAAGGAAGTTAATGACAAGATGATTGCATTGGACAACTGGTGAAGAGATGACAGAAGGTATGCGAAGCAAGTGACGTTGGCACGATGGGCATCAAGAACACCAGGAAGAGATTAGAAGGAAGTTTACCAGCTTCTTGGGCCACGGCCTGGGCCAGTCCATCGGTGAGGGTGGTGGAGAATGCTGTGATTTTGGAATGTGAGCTTCCGGAGGATCCGGATTGGAAGTTCGGGCTCGCGTCTAGAGCTCCGCCGCTGGCCTGAACCGCGATGCAACACCAACACAACAAGTGCAGCCCGAACAGTACAATCACATCGGTGATCACGGATGCTCGCATTTTAAGGTTAGGTTACACCTTGACACCGACACCTCGCGCCCCCCCGTCCGCGCAGTTGCTTGCCAGCCGAATGAAGCTGAATACTCTTGGCCCGTTGTCACCTTTGACGTAGACCCGCAATAGTGAATACACTCAAGGTTACAGTGAACAGGACCGGGGTGGAAATACGAATTGACGAGTGCATAACACGCTGCGACCGAACCACCGTGTCACAGCGGCCCCATAACTATGTCGCAAACGGTCGTCACTGGCTCCGTCAACGTTGACACGTCGGTCAACGGCCGGGAGATCGGTTTTTCACGAACGGATCAGTCGATTTATTAATTAAGTACACTGCTCGGTCCGAATCGGGTTTTTCCTATCAAGGCCACTGCCCACGAACAAAGTTCCGGAAAATAATTAATTTAGATTGGAAACAACATTGGTGCGACTTTCCGCGTGCAAACCAGTGAACATTCACAATTGGTCGGGCGCAACGGCCTATCCATCCTCCTATTGGCCGAGCGTTGCACTTGTCACGTCGACATTGTCAGCACCAATGCAGCGCGAAAATCATTTATTCCTTTTAATTTCATAGATTTCTTGATTACATTTGAAATAGTATTTCATTCGTGGTTACTTTCACGTTGATTTAATTCACACGTTTTCAATGAAATACCTACTTTAGCTTGCGAGACTGATAGTTCTCGGTAAAACGGGTATTAGTATCTTTTATATTGTAGGAATGGTATTAATACCCGATCATCTATTTTGACGTGCATATCCATATTTAACATTATGAAACAGCAATATCGTGTCTTTTTATGACCAACTTTATGTCTTGCGTAATACAGATACCCTCTTTATAGAAGTGTCTTTACAGGGGGCGCATTATTTTTATACTTATGTGGTGCATGAAATCCAATAACAAATGAAATAAACTTTCCTTTGGTCTTGATTCTTGTATAATAATAGTCTACGAAAATATAAGTTTATACAAACGTCCACTGTCTAACGATTGATCATTCAAACTGAAATATTTTGTAATAAGAATTCTCATGCTTATTCAACGTATAATTAAAAAAGTACTTAATCTTCAATTTCTTACTCGAAAATTTTTTAACAGGGCAACAAATTTATCCATGTCTGACTAAGGTTTCAATTCGGGTTGGCCAGCAGTTTCGATTCCCGATTTGTTGTACGCTTTCTTGCCAAGTATCTACTGCGCACTGAAAACACTAAAAATGTTCAAAATTCCTTAAGACACCGTTCGATTCAGCTGAACCAGTGATTTAATGATAATAGTGTTCGCAGTAATGTGATAAACAATTTCTGTATTTAAAGATTCTCTATTATCGAAGCATCCAATCTGATTTGAAACACGCTCGAAGATTGTGGTTCATAAGGACATACAGTGCGAGAAGAATATCGATCGTGTCTATTAGAAAGTTTATTATTAAATAGTACCGATTACGTGATTCTTTGAGTCTACTGGACGTCCGTTTTCCCAAACATAATTGTTTTTAAAAATCATTGATGAACGTGAACTCGAAAAGGTTCTGTGTTCGCGCGTAGGAACTACACACCTAAAAATGTTTTGACACTACTGTAAACCGATGTCGCATTCGTTTCACGATCAACCGATTCCTGATTGATTTTCGTGCGTTTCGGCACAGGTTTTCAAGCGATTTTCCTGGAAAATAATGACATGGACGTTGTGACACACGAGATACACTTTTGTCGTGATCAGTCCAGGATGTTCCTATCATCGATCAATTTGTTGTCTGTTCTGACTTCTGGCCAGTTCCAAGACTCGAAACACATAAGGAGAGTGGCCTCGTGAAAGTCTCATTCCATTTGTTTATTGAAAATATCATTATGGAAAGTAATACGAAGAGTGACGAGTGCGAGATACAAGGGCCTAGTACCGTGGCTAGAAAAGAGGAGAATGCAACATCTGAAAGTGTACCAATTTGCACTGATGCAAAGGTGTCCACAGACCCTAAAAACACTCAAGCTCGTGTTCTCAGGGGCACTAAAAAAATGAAATTAGATTCTGGTGACACTAATAATCCAGAAAAAAAAGGTTTATGCTTTTTTCATTTTTGGATCACATTTTTTATGGCGTCATTGAGGCATACATGTGATAAATATACACTTGAAATTTTGTTTTACAGTCATTTTTGTTTTAAACAAATTTTTTGTAACTTCTTTTATAAAAGATGAAAAGAATAAAGGAATTAAACAATGGACCAAATATGATCGTTTAATAAATTTCTTGTGTCACATATCAAGCATGTGTGGCTTAAAAAATATATATTCAGATTTCAATGTGTATTACAATATAAAATAAATATGTGCATAAATAATCAAGTGATCATTACTCTATAATTTCTGAAATACAATTGTTTTTATTTAGATACCAAGGAGGAAGAAAATAATGGAGAAGTAAAAGTGAGGTCTTTAAAAAGATCTTGTGAATTATGGTCTTTGGAAGACAAGAATACCTTCTTCAAAGCTTTAAATGAATATGGAAAAGACTTTGATGCTCTTCAGAGTTATTTCTTATCTCAGGGGAAGAAGAAAGGTCTGCCAGACATTATGATAAAAAATAAAGAACAAATTAGGCATTTTTACTATAGAACATGGCTGAAAATCTCAAAACACTTAAAATTTTCAGAAGGTAATTATTGTGATGTAATGTTATCTCTAGAAATCAATAATAAATAGAATATTCTGTTAACAGATGTGAAGAAAACATCTCAGGAATTGTACGGCTTAATTAATTATGGCGAACTTAGGAGAAAATTACCTAGGATACATGAGAAAGTGCACTTGAAATTAAATGAACTTGTCTATCTGGGTACAACACAAGTTAGGCTTAGAGGGAAAACTATGAGAATTAAGACTCCTATATGTAGAGCATTAAGGAAATTGAATCAGTTAGAAGGTATATTGAAAACATTAAGCAAGGAGTGTGATGTTTCAACGTATTTCTAATTATTTTTACATTCTTATAGATTGGCAAGAAGAAGTCAAGCTGCCGTCTCGAATAACAATTGAATTAAGACCACGTAATAATATAGCATGGTGGCAGGTGCAGGCATCATCCATGAACCCAAGAGTAAGGACTTTGTTACCTATACAGAGACGATTATCCAGCTTATTAATATTTTTACAACAAAGATGGAGATCTGCAAAATACAATACAGTATCCTTGCTTCAAAGTGTATTATCCGTGTTATGATATTTCCATGACTACTTGCTAAGAAAGATCCTATACACATACTGTAGTCCTCCAATATAGAGATCCCTATCGTGAATGGAATAAAAGACACCAGACTGTTGCGTGTGGCACCACCAGAAGGTTGCAAAGTTACCCTGCCAATGGTGAATCTTGGCGAATATCTTACCAGCAACAGTGTCAGTTTAGATTCGTACGAAAAACGTCTAGGACTGAAAAGTTCTAGGACGAACTTGTTAGGATCGATGCAGTACTTGAAAGGTGTTGGGAAGAAAGGGATCAAGAAGAACAAGATGGACAAAAAATGTGCCAATCAATCGGAAGACAATTGCATATTGCCAGACAACAACAGCGACGTGGATGTGATAGAGTCTGGTAGTAATGTTTCAGAGAAATTGTCGATAATTAATATTGTAGAAAAGCCGTCCGTGGAACAACAGCAAACTGAACCGAACAGATTCCCTGGAAGGGAAACAATTGAGAGGATTCGAAAAGGCTGGAACATTGAAGAAGCAAACACTATCACTGTAGGAGACCTCTTTCTAATGGTATACACCTTACTTCAGACTGTATTGAACATAAATACACTGAAAGTCCTAACTGTTTCTCTTAGTCATTAGAAACACATTATTCCTAATTTTCGAAGTTTTCTAGTTTGGTCGTGAGTCGAAAGTTAGTGTCGAATATTGGTGGGACTGGCATCCAGGAGAACAACAGGCTGGAGAACCTGCGTCCGTTACTCCACGGGATGACAGTTTGTGCCTGACTTTGCAAAAGTTATTGTCGATAGCAAAGCACAGTTATGGGACAAGCAAAGTGAAATATCATTCTAATATTTTATGTTTGACAGTCCTGTGATCAAAAACTAATTATTACTTATTTTTAGGTGTATGAAAATACCTCGGGAAGCAATGAAACAGTAATTTCATCCCGTATGCTTTCAACAAAAGAGTCGACCTTCAGGAGACCACTGGTTCCACAAACTTATCATAAAATCAGTACACCCGACGCTTTTAAAACACAATTAGATGTGAGTTATGAAATAGATTTGTGGAAAATAATATTTTTTAATAACATCGTTGTATTCCACGGAATATAGAAGTTCAAAATGCGCTTCTGTAAGAGAGGAAGAACTGTAAGACAAAAGAATCTCGTTGTACAAAGGGTGTTACCAATAATATCTGCGTCAAGTAATTCAGCAGAAGACATAACACCTCAGGAGACAAGCAAAGTAGATGATTCGCCTTTAAATAACACCGAGGAGCAAAGCGATAAACCGCCGTCGATACACATAAATGGGACGCCAGAGAAAAACTTTTTGGATGAACTCGAAGTGGCGAGAGATTTAAAACCGACGAATTCGATCATAACTAGCGCTACACAGATTCTTAAAGAAGGAGAGCACCAATGGTTGAATAGCGAAGTAAATTTCTATTTTTGAAATAAAAATTAAAAAACGTACGATTTATTCTGTTATGAAACTGACAAAAATTGAATTATAGGTAGCCGATTTTTCGTTAAGCAGTTTTCTGGGACAGCTTGAATCTCCCATAAAACTTTCACAAAGAAGCCAAAATGGTGATCATATGGAAGACATTCGGCCATCATCAGATGTAAATATTACTGATTTATTTAATCACTTGTTGCATTCATACACTTCAATGTATTAATTCGATATTAATTTTTTAGGTTGTCTCACATATGCAGTGCCTCATGGGAGAAAGTAGCGTGGATTATATGGCAAAATTTGCGAATCTCGCATCGCAAATGGCCTCTGATGACAGTAAAAAATAAGAATCGAAATAATTAATTAATTTTGTATAAATGTTATCGAGATGTCTATTTTAAATTGTGTAAATTTAATCGTGTGTTGAGTTGGAGTGTATAACAATATTTGGATTGATTTATATACATACATATATCTCTTTGATATTCGATTTACCGATCGTGTGACAAGTTAGCGGAAGGCTTATAGGATAGATGATAAATGATGGATAAGTGGTTGAAATATACATTGATTTTTTTTGCAATGCATAATTTATATATACATATATGTATACACAGAATCCCGTTAAATTTGTTAAAATATTATTCTGCATCAATTTCGTTTTCTTTCGTAACAAACAATTTACAAAAGACGTAATGTGTGTAATTGTAATTAACGCTTCGTTGTTAAGTGCTTAAGTAACATTATTTTAGAAAATACCTTACAGTACCATTATTGAACCATCATTGAATTGATTTCCCGAACAAATTTAAGTCATCGATATTATATATGTTTAATCACTTGTGAATACTTATAAATATTTCATTTAGTGTTTATTAAAAAAGATTTATGGGAAGCATCACAAATATACAACAAGAATATGCATAGTTGCTGATATTTCTCATCCTTATTGGATCCACGGAGATGACGCATGGTTGTGTATGGAATTATTTAGGCAACTTCTTGTGTATAACGGATGGTATTGCGTTGCAGTCCCATGTAACTAATTATGTGTGTTGAAAGAGGTAACAATGAATTCCCGGGTTAGAGTTTTCCTTCACGGGAAAAGAACGGAGAAATTCCGTCGTTTATGGAAATCGTTTTTCATTTCTTGGAAGGTGTAATTTTATCAACGTAACCCTTCTAACTGCACGGGTACGCTATCCACAATAAAAGGAAAATACAAAATGGATGCAGAATGCGTACGTATTAAAACTTTTTCAGAACGTATTGTACTGTTAAAAATAATCTATTCAAATTGTCAAACATACCTTAATGTTTCGGAATCACAAAAAAAAAAAATGTTCCATAACTAGAATGAATTTAGCACAGAATTACGAGCAACACGAATTGTGAGTCAAGACTGTTTAATATGACTCGGCAATGCAAAAAGAAAACCTTCCTCTGACGGTAATCTGGGAAAGAACGCTCATTATAATTCTACTACCACCATTACGAAATCCGTTCTGAAAATATTCAGTTAAACTTGAAAGATGGATCGAATCTGGTCCTATCGATATTTCCAGCTGAAATTAGATATGTTTAAGAAAATTGCAAGCACGCCCTTGGAATGCGCGGGGAACGATAATGAGCGGAACATCCCAAAGATACTTGCGTTCTTGGAAACTGATCCTACGATCTTTTCGACGGCATGTTGCGAAACAGACGTTGTAAATGATTCATAGTGCCCGCGTCCACGTGATCTCGTGCGCACGCACCCATCACGTATTTGTTATTTGCAGATGTGATTTTCCTCAGACGTACTCGGACGTAAGCAGATACCTTTTGCGATGAACTGGTTCTGGTCATCAGATCGATCACAGAGACCATTGACAAATTATTATCACGATTAACTTGGGAATTTTATCTATTTATAGCACACATGACCATATACAACTATTGAATGAATATGAATTCATGGATACGAGTTGTAAATTAGTATACCATGATCAATAATAGAACCTAAATGTTCAATCTGTCTGGTTTACTTTATTTGTAATTTTAAAAACTAGAATAAAATTTCTACATTTTTAATAAATCTTTTTGAAGCTAGTAGTTTTCTAAATCTAAAAACATATGTTGTGAATTCGATAATATTCATATTAGAAACACGTTGAAGCAGTTACTCGCATTTGCCCGTGGGCAAGATCGGATAATTCATCTCCTCAAGAGTTGTAACACACACACGGAAGAGCATTTTTGGTCGATGAACGTTCCAGGTTAACAGGTTAACAAATAGAAGGCCAAGAAGATGTTTTGAATTTAAACTGTGTCAACACTTTAGTTAAAAAGAAATAATTGATATACATGTTTATATACTTAAAAATACTTCATTTTCGACAAATGCCTCAGATGGTCAAATATATTATCCAGATAAAAAAGCTTCGAAATATTGTTTCCGAAATGGAAGATCGATGATTCGAATAATCCGCGGGTTTGTTAACATTCGGTTAATAAAATGGCACCCGTGAACGATTAATTTTGGTTAAATACCTTTACTACTAGTTCCCACTAAAAAAATCGTGAACCTGTTTGACAGTCAGAAGTGACCTTTCTCGTTTCGAAACGCATTCGATTACCCACACACACACGTCTCGGAACACGACCGCCGTATATATACACAGCAAAATCTCCGACGTACCTGCTGCAAAAACAGAATCAACGCTTAGTTCTTCATTTTCGTTGCCCCTTTCATTCCTTCTGCGTTTGGCCTTTTCAAGGAAATCACGAGGACTCATTGATGTACCCTTCTTTATGTTTACCAAGCGTACGTGTTGCCCGAACGATATCGCGCTGTTGCACACATGGGGATTGAATGAAACTGTTATAATTCGAAGTTACTTTTGAAATAACAAAAGTAACCATTTGCAGTGTTATATTTCCGTGTCAACGAAACAGTTACACAGTGTTGTCTGTTCGTTGAGAGGTTTTTCCAACAAATTCTAAATAAGTGAGAAAAACTTTGTCGTAACAGACCGTATTCGCCATTTACATTTCCCACTTCTTAGAATTACAACAGATTGACATGCGCATCGTTATCGTTCCGAGCATCAATATGTATACACTTTGTGCAACAGTAATATTTTTACGTTTTCCACGTGTGTATAATCGTAATGAGAACGTCTTTTTTTTTTATTAACAAAAACATTACTGAATTCGTTTAACGGTGCAGTTATGCACACTTAAAAACATGTATATTAAAAAAAAAGTGGTGATGACCTTGAAATCTGACCTTTTGTATCAGGAAAGCAAATTTGACAAAAATGTAGGCTGCATAAAGTATTTCAACTTTGTTTAATAACATTCTATTGTGCTTGAAAAAGTTTAGAAAATATTATTCGATCGATGTGCGTTACCTTGAATGCTAGACCAATGTTAACTGCAGGTTGTCTTAGACCGTGGTAAATTTAAAACAGGAATTATTAATGAGTCAACCCAATATTTACCGGCGATGCATGAGTGACCCGCTTACCGGCGCCGCGAAATTTGCATAGGTTATAAAGTTTATTCGTATTGTCAATTATGTTCCGCGCGTCGCGAAGTAATTTGCTGATTGTATTCGGATAAGGAAATACAGAATTAAAAGAGGCGGCGGTGTTTCGCTGCAAATTGAAGACGATCACGTGCCAGACAGCATTTATAATTTTATGTTTATAATTCCGCGGAACAGGATTGACGCGGTGCATTATAATTCCGAATGATACCCGTATGAAGGTTAACCGAATGAATTTCTTTATTCCGAAAAATTGCACCAAACTGTTTTATAACCTTCGATCGATTGTAATTTATCGTTTAAACTATTTTTTGCATACTGAGTAGAAAGACAATAGAAAAATTGCAGTTTAAAATGTCGTATCTCTTCTAAGGTTGTATCATTGATTGTGAAACACCCTCCATGTTCAAGGCAACAAGACCACCGAAAATATCTCCAATGTTTTTAATACTACGGGGAAATGGTTGAGGATAAAAGTTCAGAGTTTAAAGGAGCCTACGTTACGGTTGACAGAAAAATTAAGGTCAAGGTCATATTTCCAAAGATTTCAAGGTCATCGATGTGTTATGTAAATGAAACTGTATATTTTTAGCTGGCTTATCTTGCAATAAACCGCAAGTGAATTTTATGACCTTTAAATGACCTTGAAACGAATATATTCTACTGAATTCTCACGTTTAAATTGTATTTCTGTTGTCGCTGTTAAATGATTCGCGAATAGAAACGGGGTATAAAGATTCAAACCATTCAACGTAACGACTGCAAACTTCATCTTGCATTGTCGTGAATGTTCAACATTCTCGATTTCATAATAAAATGAAATAATATCTTTTTACAGAGAGTTCCTTCGTGTCTTCTATTTTCAGTTCATACAAGAATGAAAAGAAACTAGACTGAGATTCAGGTGCATACAATACAACGTGTATATGGATGAAACGGAACGGATAAAATGAAATACAGCGAATCAAGTGTAATTTATAGGATTCAGGATTAATTTAAAATAATTTCCATGCGCGGCATCTTTTCGCATTTCTGTCACGATAACTTGTAACTTACTGGGAAGTAGAGGAAACCGAGATACGTACAAACCATATCCAAGGCGACGTGTGGCTAGAGATGAAGAGACATTATAATCTTCCTTTTGGTTTCCGGTAGCGCGTCGTAGCGCCGGAAACGAAGGCACCGCCAACGACGAGGACATGACTTATGAATTGTATCAAAACGATACGTATAAAAAGTCACGAATAATTTTTCATTATTGTGTTTCTACACTTCTAGATCGATACCGATTTTTTTAATAGAACGGACAGATTAAGTTACTTGGTTCCATTCACATTCTTTATCTTAGTAACGTGTAAAATAGTACCAATAGTAATAATATTTACTACAGCAACGTTGAATGCAACAAATAAAAGAAAGAAACAATTTTTATAAACAGAATCCAGTGTACAAAGTAGATGCAAATGACAAGGTTCAGTATGACTGGTGTTATGAAATCTGCTCCCAGTCTTAACTCTAGCCTAAATCTGACTAAAACAACGCACGATTTAAGAAGTATACTGCAGGTCCGAAAAAAATCCACCCTCGGATTTTCATGAAATTCGGCAAAATTGTCTCAGATATTTCCAAATGAACATATGTAAAACGGTTTTTGGGCACGATTGAAACTTAACTGAGATAACGTTAAAATAATGGGGTAATTATTCATTGTCGTAACAGATATGTTAATATTACGATAACAACATGAAAAGCATGTTTTGTATCGCATTGTGTGGGTGGGTCGTACGTATAATAATTGGTTTGGATCTGCTTTAGAAAACATTACTGCAGTATCACGAGACAATGTACGTCACAACTTCAGCTGCAAGGTGAACGGGTCGTTCTACGATATTTCGTGTGTTTATTGTATAAAGTTATATTTATTATTTTAGTGTTAATACGGGTAATTTTCAATTACTCCTAAAAACCTCTTACGTATGTTAATTTGGTAATATTTGGAACGATTTACCAATTCTGATGAAAATTAGACGACGGACCTTGTCGGAACTACATCCAAGAAATACATTACGACGAAACAAAAATTAGACTGAAATTACAATTTCTATACCTATCAATATTATTGTCATCTAAAACTTCGACTTTAATAGTTACAAAATCGTGTAAGAGTTTATCCATTGGTGCATTTACCCCAATTGCTTCATTAAATATATGTAGGTAGATTTTGGTATGGAGTACTTCCTGTTGGTGGACTCGATTCATGCGGTTTTCTATCGCACCTGCCAGTAAATCGAGGGGCTCAGTGTTATGTCGGACGATAGGGGCGTACTGTTTACGTAAAAATTTGCAACGAGAAGAAGGGGGGTAATTGAAATTCAACCCGAGAGACGGCCCTGCGTCCTTGACGCGTTCGTACCTGAACGCGGTCGAGAAAATTCTGTTTGTTATTTTGAATGGGACTTCATTATAATTTTTATGAGAGCGCAATGATGAATCATTGCGCTCGCCTGCGATCCATGGGCCCCGAAAAAACACGACGAATTACGGGCGGGAAAACAGGTTCGAAAGTGGTCCGGGAATTTTTTCGATTCCCATTCCCTCGACGGAATTACGAACCGTGAACTACGTATTTCGACTTTTGCTACTCGATTTCGGCGAAATCACCCGAAACACGGTAGCTTTCCGGTCAATTAATGATCGAACAAACGACAAAAAGTTAATCACCACGAATCCTCGTGACGACGCGTCGCGTCGCATTCAAATAACAAGTCCATTTTTTCATTTTTTCCTTTCTTCTGCAATTATCGATTCGTTCCCGGAATGGAAACACTTTTTTTCTCTCCTTCCTCTCGATATTTCGAAATTCTGGCCGGTTTAATCAGGGAACTGATACAAAATCAAAGCCCCGATGAGGTCGATGGCGATTGCAGTTCCCTGAATTGGCTATTAGTAATCCCGACGTGTCTCTTGCGGATTGCGGTCACGATAAAGACCGAGTCCCTCCTGAGACGCGATGAAGAAGAAAAAAAACGGAGAATAAAATGATATATCGTAAAATAAAATGAAGATCATGGTACCACTGACGTGTTTACACTCCGATATCGAGACATCTTGGCGCACTATAAATAAACGAGCGCATAGGCGTAGCCGATGGGACGGACTCTTTTGTGTACAGTAAATCCTCGATGAGTTTTCGAAGGCTCCTTTTTGATGTCGTTTAGGACAGTGATAGAGCTTGGAATTCTGAAGTCAATGATATTTCTTTCAGCCGTATATGGCCGTTCGTTTATGAAATACTTAATGTTCAGTGCAGAGGAGCCTTCGAACACTCATTGAGGATTTAGTGTATTTAAAGAAACTTTAATTTAATGCAATTTAGCAAAAAAATAAAGCTTCTCAAAAATCAAATTGTCGGGTTGGTAGAAATGGTTTCTCGAGGGTTTTAAGACACAATGGGAATTGAAGTTTTATCCTTCGTGATTTGTATTCGAGCGCGAAGACCAGCTAAATGGCGGTTGAGGGTGGAATATTTTGCTTATTACGAAGCCGCCTGGAACACGCAAAACGAGTCTCGTATTATGAAGGTAACAACATTCCAGGAAAATTCGGGACGCGAAACGACCGTCAATGCACGCCCTTTTTTTTCATCGTACTTTTCACTCGGTTATTATGTTTTATTAATAGAACTCGCGCAGAAAAGAAGTAAAATCGAAAATTGTTGAGATACGCGTTTACATCTTTGCAGTTCGAAGATTAAGAAATTTAATCTGCTGTGAGTGGAAAAACTTGAACACTTCCGAATAAATTACTAAGTTCGTTAATTGAAGAAAGTGGTTCAGGCAAGTTTCAAGTTTTATGAAAACAAAATTAATTCCTATTGAACAGGTAAACATGTACCTATTTATACAACTGTTTATTCGAATCAATTGTTCGACCCTCAGGGTATGGACCGTCGTAGTCGGTGGTCGGGCTAATCGTGACCCATAACAAGGTCTCACAGACGATATTCACTTCGTCATTGCATGACGGGTCATCGGTGATAGGAACCTAAGGGGTTAACACTAGAATACAACTTTTGGACGCTACATCTTTTACTTGGTTTTAACTATTACGTGAGCTTTGAACCCGTTGAAAATAATCCTACCTATTACTTAATATTAAAGAATGTATCGAAATTTATTAAGAGTTGAATATTGTAAAATAACATGTAAATCTATCGAGAATTATTTATTATGTATGTGATTGTAGTACACTGAATACGTTTCCTTAACTAAGTGACGTTATTTTACTAATTGCTGCAAGCGTCTTGATTTGATAAAAATTTCATAAATTTGGATAGAACTGTAATGTGTACGAACCTTGTTGACTCGGAAAACTCACCATTGTAGTAAACGTGTCATTCATTATGAGTAAGTTATTAGACTCATTGAGAGTGTAATAAACGATACGGTTGATCCGTTTTTAATGTCTGTCGACTCGGTAAATTTTACTCCAGCAATCTCGCGCACCGATAATATCTCGCTATTACCGTTTAAATTCTGTATAGTAATGTATCATAGATACTTATACCAATGTACGTTAACCCTTTCGGTCCCACTATTGCCATATGCCTACGTGCTTTAAATTACGAAATAAAATGTTATTATCATGGATTTTTTCATATCTGTGACTATATAACAGTTTCTTCCAGTCTTATATAGACGACGTGGCATAAATTTACATGTGCTAATTATATACAATAACTTCGTGTAATATACACACAAAAATCGAAATATTTCGATGGTAATTTTTAAATACATCAGGAAGGAAATGGTTAATCGAACACGGTGAACGGCTGCACGCGGTTCTCCAAAATATTTTCAATTCTCACCTCTCGCCGTTCTGGATCACGGAGAACCGCCGCCAATGGACGGTACCCGCAATTATTGCGTCAGCAATTGCGAGCCGCGCAGCCGGTGATTGGCCGGTTCCGAAGAGCGGGAAATCCCCGTTGAAACCTGCTCCTTCCGCGCTCTTGTCTGTCCCCCTTGGGCGCGCGACGACGGCCGCGGTTCTCCCGGCGACTGACGTCTTTTGCGTCACGGCGAGCTGCCGACCCCGCGAGAGCTTTGTCGGAGACATTCCGACGGCCGGGTGATCAGTATCGCGCTACGCGACACACCAGTCGCGACGTCGCCGCATTCGGAAACGGTTCTTCCCCCTCTGTTGTCGTTACACGCCCGATGGGACCATAGTGTGTGATGCGATATTCAGTTTCCTGACGCGCGTTGTTGTTGTGATACGTCCCCTAGGTGACACATAGCGCGTGGAACGTCGAGGTGTTCCCAAAAATCTGCGTTCGGGGGTTTGACGATTTGGTTCCTCGTGCGTGAAATCGAAAAGATGGATCCTTTTGATACTTACGACAGGAGCGATTTGCCGGAGGTGAGTCGCCAGTTTAACTTTTGTGCGCGCGCGGGGACTTTGCCATGTACTCACGTTTGTCGAACAGTTTATGGTATCGATATTGATAGAACAGTTAGATCATTCGAAGCATTCGAACGTAACAAATAATTAAGTAGTACTATAATAATATAAATAATATATAAGAAAGAGTAGTATTTAGAGTACTGACGTTAATCAGTTGTCTGTGGTACTCGAGGTACTCACAATGATCGAATGGTTTGTGGTACCAAATGTGTATACCTGTATAGGTTGGTTGAGTACAATACTCTGAGAGTGTACTTTGAGAATTGTATATTTGTGGTATGCAGAGTACTTATAGAATACATACTCGTGCAGATCAAATGTATATGGTACTCAGGATACGTATGTAGATGAAATAATTGCGGTGCCCAGGTTACTCATGTATATCATGAAATTTCAGTATACGCTGTATTTAAATACATTGCATAGTGTCAGTATTCAGGATACTCAGATCAACTAATTTTGATACTAGAAGTACTCAGAGATATCACTTAACTGTGGTACTCGACAAACTTAGAAATCTTGAATACTTCAAATAGTATCGGTATTGGAGTATTCAAACAGATCGAGTAAACAAGATACTCCAAATACAGGAATGAAGCCCACAATCCCAGAATGTACAGTATTTAAATGAATCAAATTGCAGTACTCGTATCAGTTCCTATGTTATTTATTATTGTCCTTTAATTATGAGCTTTACGTGGCAACTATTGCTGGACCATTAGCGACAAATTTGAATTGTGTTTCTTTTATATTGAGGGTAGTTAGATTTTGTAGTAGAGGTTAGTATCTTTTAGATAATGTATTTTTTTATATGGTCTTACAATGTCAGGACGTTGTCTGCGTTAACAATCAGTTTTCATTTATTTTTTTTAAACAATCGATCGTTAATTCGTTATTACAGTGGTTAAAGTACGGTGGATCAGTTTTCTTTAGTAGGTATTCATGGATTATTTTTGAGTAGCCAATTCTAAATCCTGTCACGGTCTTTTGTTTAGATACATGACAATTAGAAATAATTTCTCAAAATCGAAAGTAATTCAGAAAGAAACTTACTTTTCACGGTACACATCGGTGTTTCAATGAAATTTCTGAAACATGAAATACATTGTACGTTTTCTACTCTTTCATCGCGAGTCTCGTGGATGTGCACTTTGGCACGAGTTAAGTGTTGTATCTTCGTTGTTTATTTACTTACATTTAGCGTAGTTGTTTCGCTTGGCAAACATTAGACAGGCCGTGTAATAATTTACTTCAAGCGTTACACGTGCTACTGACGAGAGATTTTCCTTTATACGCGTCACGTGTACGTGTCGCGACTGTTACTTTTTTAAACAGGCATCGCGAGGAATCCGATGGTGTTTCAATGAAACTAACGTATAATAATTCACGATAGACGGAAACCAGTCGGAACGCGACTTTTCTACCTGTTCTCTGGCTTTCACGAAGAAACTTACCATTTTCGTACGGCGTTACATGCTCGGATAATCACTAGCACAAAGTACAAGCTGTCTAAAGATAAATTCGAATGACAGAAAAATAAATGTCTCGTACCAGTACACTCGTAAACAGACGCATAAAATATTAAGTGTATTCGAAATGCATACATATTTACATAGGACGTTGGAATTGACAGTCGTCTTTTTTCCGTTTTTTTTTTTTTTATTCAGCAATGCGGCGTTGCGTCAAAACCTTGTCAGTATTTAAAGAAATATTAGAATATGCCGATGAAATGTATGCTGACAATGTGTACTGTACATACACTCGAAGGTAAAACGTGAAAACATTTAATGCGGTAACATTAATAAACACGAAGGCAACAAAACCGTTGATTGTGTGCAAGGCAAGGCTCGTTCTGCACGCTAGGGGACTTCGTTGTAAATCGCTTGAGGGGGGGCTTGTTGGGATAAGAAATAACGCTCGCGAGAAACGGCGTGCCGGCGGTTATTTATCGACAATCGACGATACCTGTGCCCATGTGGATATTCCACTCGTTCTCACAATCACGGCGTAAATACATATGTCTCTCTGTTGCACGCGTGCAACCGACTCCGAGAGAAACACCGTCGTCGACGCTCTCGTTTCTTTTCCCCCTTCGACGCGATAAAAGAAGCGAGACGATCGTTTTATTAAAGAGATCGGGCAAGGTCGTTCACGCGCGAACTCGCGACTTCGTTTCGGATTTGTTTGTCACGCGATACGTTTCGGTTGCAGGTGTACCCGTCGTTCACCAATCTTAACGATGACGACGATCACTTTTTACTGGACATGGACTCTCTGGTGACAAGAAAAAGCAATGCCCTAACGACACGCAGTTACGAACAACCACGGAAAAAGTGTAACTTCGGTAATATTTCAAATACATTTCTATATTAGAGTATTTGTTAACCATATTCGAAACACTACACTCGGGTAGTACTTTGTTTGTAATTTGATCACTGTGTTGTTCTGCACCACGGTTTGCTGTAGTGTGTGTATACTGAAGACTCTTTAGTATAGCTGATTTGAGTACTCGAGAAGGAACAGAGTGCCATGTATCATTAGGTATACGCGGAAACATTGGGTCGAAGTATGTATTTGACAGGTGGATTTTTTAACAGTAACTGACGTATTAAGGATTCACTCACACGGGAAGGCACGGAAGTGTCCCCCTCCGATTTTGATGAAACTTCGTATGTCTGTTAAGCAGTCAAAAATAAGGGATACGTATTGTGTTTTATCGGCTGAAACGCGACTTTAAAGGGTGAAACCACCCCTCGAAGTTTCGACCCGAAAGTACGATCTCGAAAATCGGAGGAGATACATGAAAACTTCTGATAGACGAGGTTTGCGGTTTTTTATATAGAATAATATGGTGCTAACAAATTGTCCAAAATATAATTTGTTTATAACAAAAAAAATTTCGGTTCGAAACTTTGAGGGGTGGTTTCACCCCTTAAAGTCGCGACTCAGCCGATAAAAAAAAATACGTATCCTTTATTTTTGACTGCTTAACAGACATACGAAGTTTCATCAAAATCGGAGGGGGTCACTTCTAGAGTGCTTTTTTTCAAGTACACTCGAATAGCTCAACTTCACGCCGCATTTTGAAACCGTCCAATATTGTTTTCTTTCGCATATACCATGTTTTCTTATTTTACGTCAGACGTGTCAGACAATCGTGTATATTCAACAGGTGAAGAGATGAACGAGGTCGACGGTACCGGATGGTCGGACAAACCTATCAGGAACTGGTGTCAAGAGGAGACAATAAATTGGCTGATGTCCGCGGCGTCTTATATCGGGCAACCGTACAGTCATATACAGCACAGTCTCGCGGTGCCAGGCAACGAGTTGGTCACCTTCACGAGAAACGATTTTATCAATCACGATCCCATGTACGGAGATCGACTCTATGACCTACTCCACTCTCAGCATATCTCGAATTTGCGTATGTAATTACTATTGTCTGAGACACGCTGGTAACCGGGTGTTTATTATCCAGCGAGAATAAACATCAGATTGACCGTAGAATCTTATTCCCTCCACTCCCTCGCCGATCTTCGCCCGGGAATTCCATACGTTAATATACAGGATGTCCCGTAACTCGCGGTACAAGCTAGCGAGGATTGATTCTACGTGAAAAACTGAATCGAAAATGTAGAATAAAATTTGTTCGTAAGAAGCTTTGTTTTCGAGAGAAATAAGATTGAAAATCTGCTGGATACGCGTGCAATTGAATAGGACTAAGCTGTTGCGTCTGTTCATTGTATTCCGTTTCTACTTACTGCTAGCACGAATATACACGTTACAGATGAATCTTCACACTAGATTTCCTCGAAAATGAAGCCTCAAATAAAAAAGTGTTATTCCATATTTTCGACTTATTTTTTCATACAGAATCACCCTCTATCTGGTTGGACTACCAGTTACGGGACACTTTGTATATTTCCTGGAGGGGAAACCCCTCGCCTGGGGGGAGGGGGAATTCGAAGCAAATAGAAATGAATAATTAACTTTGCTTGCAGTTCCATCGTTCGACACTATTCATCCCCATTCCGAAGATGAATACACACGGATCAACTCCAGCAATGCATCAGGTAGTGAGTCTTTCGTGTTTCAGTTCTATCGATCAAATCAGGATATTTTATTTTCTTGCATCGGGTACATTAAGTCTCTCGTGTCTCCGTAGATGCGGAATCGGATAACAGTATCGAAGTGTCCACAAAACGGCCGCCAGGCAGGCCGAGAGGATTAAAACCGAAGAAAAATTGTGAGTATCGAAAGGAAAGCACTTTCCTTGGGAAACATCTCACTGAACGTTATGTAATTGTGCTTCTAGCCACCAGTCAAGGAAAGCTTTGGGAGTTTATTAGGGACCTGTTGCGTAATCGCGAAACGTGTCCTAGTTTAATCTGCTGGGAAGATTATTCGCAGGCGAAATTTCGGTTCGTCAAGAGTGACGAGGTCGCGAAACGGTGGGGATCACGGAAAGGAAATACGAAGATGACCTACGAAAAATTGAGCCGAGCCATGAGGTAATTAACAGCGAACCAAAAAAGAAAATATGGAAAGTGGAAAACGAACTAACAAACTAACAAACGGCATACCGAATAGGGGAGATGATGGATTATAAAAAAAGAAATCAAAAATCCAAAATGAAATTCTTATGAACGTTTGCATTTGAACAAACTTTATTCTGCATTTTCGACTTATTCTTCGTGAAGGATCATACTCTACTCGGTTCTACTGTGAGCTCTAAGTGTACCGGTAAAATGTAGATATTACAAGTTTCTTTGAAACTAACTGACTGTTGTTTTAGGTATTATTATAAGAGTAAAATCTTTCTTCCTGTACTTGGCCGAAGACTGGTCTACCAATTCGGGCCTAACGCAAAAGGCTGGCAGACTGATAACCCGAACTTCCGGTATTAATATATCATCAACAACTTCCAGGATTTAACAGATTCTTTCGAAGAGTCAAGCTCTTGTAAAAATTGTATAGTTACCGAAGGCACAACGTTATGCTGTTATTCGGTAAATAACTTCTACCCGTCAAGATGTTCTGGTCGAAGCATTTCAACCCTTCAAAGAAAGTATTTTTGATAATGGACAGACATGTGAAGCGTCGTTTCGATTAAGAACTCTTAAAAGACTAAGAAGAAAAGATCTAGTATTATAGATGATACACGCTGACTAGATGTAAATAACATAAAGACAGTATGAATGCACGAAAAACGTCGTGATTTCTCGTATTTTTGTACGCGTGTTTTCCATGTGAACCGGTGTAAGTGAGACACAAGTGTGAATTGAATTTCGTTACCTAAGGTTTTCACAGTTTTATTTAACTTTAAGCATAATAGGTCGTTTACTTATGTAAAAGTATACATATAATCAAGAAAGGCAATAATTCTCGTAATTTACAATCGAATAAATTCCTATTACTTATTCTTCTTTTTTTATATTACGGAGTTGTATTGTATACCTTAACTCTGGAAGCATTGAATACCCTTTACGCTGACCCTCAGCTAAATTGAGACATCAGATCAATTTTCAAAGTGGGAACTAAGTAAGTTACATTATATATGTATATATGTATAACAGTTCTTCGCTAGAAGAGTCTTATAGATCTCGAGGAAAAATATTCGAATTTTCTGTATGGTTCGTTTACATACTATGGAAGATAGAATATCAGTTATAATTCGTATCGTGTCAATTAACCCTAAGTATATGATTAAAAGCCAATAACTAGACTCTTATTCTATGATAGGGCATGCAAAAGCGTTAGCAAAAGTATTTTGCATTTGAAGTAACTTCGGACGATTTGATTATCTGTTAACAAGTGTTTAAATAGTTTAAATTTAACATACATAGTGTTATGGTCGGAAAGTTATAGAAGCGAGAAGAATATACGTAATATATTTCAATTGATTTGTCGAGGTTGCTTAAGACTGCTAAACTGCATTCAGTTTGAGCGAGCTTGATTATCGTTGTTTGTACAATAAAAGCGTAATGAAACTACCGGCTGCACTATTACTCAATTCAGACCTGTGAATAGTATATTTGTCGAATTATGATGTGAAAAATGCAAATATGATCGGTGCATGCGATTGGTCATTTTTTACTAATATATTCTTAATTGGTAATTTTACATGAATGGTTGAATATAGTTATATTTCGTGACGAAAAAATAACATACGCTATAGTATAATTCGTGCAACCGGCAAAGTACTCGTACACCCGTTTACTATTAGGTTTAACGGGAAGTTTTGCGTTTTCTATATGATTACACTATATCTAATTATTCTTGTATTCTTTATATCTTTATCTGGTGTTCTATCACAGCATATGTCTACAATTATATTTTAACCTTCCATTTTTCAAATTGTAAAAATTGTTCAGAAATATCAGTTAATAAAATGCATGTACATACAATAGAGTATCACTTTATGACTTTCTGAGAAACACTACACTAAAACAAGAAATAGTAAAAAAAAAAGCATTCGTGAAATGAACGAGGGTGTTGCTAAGATTGTAGTTTAGCACTACATTATAGACTTTCAAAGGCAATACATAAAAGATGATTTACAAGCGACAAATGCAATAAATCGTCGTTTTACTATTAAGAAGCTCGCAATGAACTTTGATGTAGCCGAAATCTGTGTCGAAACACTTCATTGTGTACATTACATAATAAAGATCAAAACGCAAAAACTCTCAGTTTAACCTAATACTACTGCAATGTTTCTTCTCACATGGTCGACGGAACCGTAAAGCACAATACTATCGCAACGTATCGCGAAAGTGACTAATTACCTGAAACATTTCATTGTTCACTGCTTAATTACAAATGTAAATTTAACGACTATCGAAAGGCACGAATCGTAAACAACCGTTATCGCCGAGCAATTATTATTTGCGATGATATTTTATGGAAAGGATGTACGTCTGTGCAATATAACTTATCGAAATAATCGTTATGATCTTTGGTCACGACAAATACCGTACTGTAATATATATAAAAAAGAGGAGATAAATTTTACAGAGCTCATTTATGTTCTATTTTCTTTAGCGGGGTCACGCATGGTTACGGAGTTCCTAGTTTTAATAGGCTTCAAAATGGAAATCATAACATCTTAAAAAATACAAGTATACAAGATGGTTTATGGCCTTAACCGCGTTTTACGTACTAGGATTTTTTTTTCACGCTTATAGTTACATATTATGAGTTTGAAGTCTACACTAGATGATAAACTTGACTCATGTGTTTTATGTCGATTGTAATGATGAGTCCCCGAATGTCTTTCACGTGTCTGCGACAGATTACCTTACCGCTTAAAACTTCACCTTTAAAGAAATGATTTGTGATTACTTTTTTTTGTGAAAATATATTTACCAATGTATAGATATCTTGTTTTACTATCGATTAAACAACTCTCCAGACGTCATATGAATTTTTTTTCCACAGTTACACTATGTAAAGAGGAAACTGGATATCGTGCACAGAACGTTTCTTTAATTTACTGGAGCTTACCTTCAGTGATGCTAATTGGCTCGCTCAACGAGAACACTGTTTGTTTCCAATGCGTCGGAGTTGAGTTGGGTCCCGTGCTAAAGTGAACTGGATTGTCTAAGTCGAAGAATATATCAAAAAAACCAATGATCGCGGTCAACGATCCAGTCTTCTTCACTTTTAACTCGAACGGCGACGAGAAGTCCATGTAATCCATCGTCACTTTATACAGATCGAATGATTGAATTTCAACGGTACTTGTTATTAACTCGTCGGCAGCACATACGTGTATGTTTGGTTCGCGAATCACGTCCGATTTCATGCAGCTCATTTTAAAGCCATATACGTTTGTCCAGTAGTCGATCAGCTCTACGTATCTCTCTGTAATATAAATACTCCTGTAACTTGCACCATTCAATCATGTAAGATTATTAGTTTATTATCGACTTAACAGTAGTACGATAGAACTATTAATTAACATACTAGTATCTCCACTTCCAACAATGCTAAGTGTACATCTGTTAGGTAATAGTAGACCACCAGGTGCTAAGTAATGATCCCTGGCGTATATAACAGAGTCTAACATGCCCTCGAACAAAAGAAAATAGCCCATCCATTCGGACACAATCGCATCTACTTTCTCTTCATCGAGATTAATGTCTTCAAGGCGACCTTTTTTTAAAGTGATAATATCACTTAAATTGTTTTCTCTATGTTAAAAAAGATCTTATTAGGTATACAAACGTAAATGAAATTGTTTTGTAATAAATGTTTCTACGAGGTAGATTTGTTTAAAATTTAACATCGAAGAAATAGAATGAAATTGTTGAACAATGTTTATACCTTACTATGTCTATAGCTCGATATATCACATCTGACTGGTCAACACTAATAACTTTACGGCATCCGGTTTTTGCTGCAAACATAGACAGAATACCAGTTCCACAACCAACATCTAACACAATGGTATTTCTAAATCTGTTTGCATTTGTTAGTAACGCATCGCGATAACTCTCTGTTCGTACTTTGTCCTATGAACAAAATGGCAGTCATTTAGATATTAATTCCAGTTTGAAATTAAACAAATAATAAAGTACATACTGTTAACATTTCATGATGTATTGCAAAATGACTGTATGCAGTAAAATAGTGTTCATCGTAATGGCAATTAGAATTAGCAGATGATCTATCACTATTGTTTGTATCAGAATCTTCATCTAAGATCAGTTTCTGTGCTTTCTTTGTCATTTCATCTATTTGCTAAATAATCACTTCATCATTAGATATATTTCTTGTCTATCATCCCAAATGTTAAGGTAACTATGTACACACCTGTTTTGCCATGCAACATGCTAGTTCACGTTGTTCTAACTCTGCTCTTAATGTTTGTATTGTTCTTTGCAAATCAGCAAAATGTGCCTCGGATAATGTAACACAACCATTTTCTGAGTTTACGGTATATGCTGTAGGCTTCGTTGTCTTCTCTTCCAAGTCGTCAATGTCTTTAAGAAAATGAACATTGAACTCATTTGCTAATTTGAGAAAGATTAATTCTCAATAAACATACCAAACATCAACCATGGATCATCTTCAATAATAGGACTCAAGTATATATCGTTTTCCCATGCTTTTATATTTAATGCATTTAGTTGATCAGGTAGAACATTCTTTTTCCTAATAAAGTTAATCAATTTTATGTAAGAATAAGTATCCAGAGAATGTCTTGTTACAAAATTCTTCATGTCAAATCTATGTGATTTGACAAGGTGTTCCAATGCCTCTGTCAAGCTTTTTATAACTTCGTTACAGAAGAGACATAGTATGGTCTCATAATCTTCAGTAATTTCATCCCAGTCGTCTCCACTGTCATTGTCACTTGTTCCATCCATCTCACATTCATAATCAGTCTTTGATGGAATAGCTGAAAAACAAAAGATTTTATAAAATTACTTATATCACAAACATTTACATATTAAAAGCACTTTTTAGATCTCCAAGTTGAATTAATGACTGTGTCCTATCAAAAGTATATAGCAGAGAATAATACAGTGAAATTAAAAGATACAAACGTTTTAATCGTTAAATTAGTAAAAATGTGTGGTCATGCAGAGTCAAAATTAATCGATACCTTGTTCTGTCATTTTGCAATTTATCGTTCCGAGTAAAATGTAATATTTAACGGAACGAAAACAGGAGCGTTTAAATTTTTTCAAGGTTAGGGATTCTTGTTCGACTCATTCGTGCACGTGTATTTACATGTATTTAGAAGCAGGCGAAGCCCCTCTCCTTTAACGTCAAACTTCTATTCCCTGATTCCCTGTCAGCCCTATCACCTCAGTGTCAGCCGTTGAAGGCTTGCTTTCTGCAGTTGATCCTACCTAATCTAGAATTTAATATTTATTGATTCCACTTGTCGCTCAAGAGTACTTGACCTTACAAACGTTTCTTTTCCGTCCACGTCTTTTGGTAATCGCTGAGAGGAAATCGAAACACTTTCCCTGCAACATAAAAGGCATGTCCAGACGTGTTCCGTGAATCTGTTAACACTTTTCTCTTTATAAGCATTTTGCTGAACTTCTTTATTTTTGTGCTTATCAATAAGGAACCTATTAACTTCTTACAAATAAGCTACATATGCATATATACCGGTGATCATGAGAGTAGTCTAAATATAGGTAAGTATCCTTCAGCGCGGGAAGGTAGCAGAACTAGATTTTCATTTTTTACTATTTCGATTTGAACTCTGTATAATGATACAATTATTAACGCCATTATTCAATTCAATTTTCAATTCTATTACAAAAATAGTTCCACATTATTATGACATATATAGATCAATGTAACACAAGAAAGTGGCGAATTAAATTTTCACAAACTATTGACTCGGATCATTATTTTAATAATTATGATAAATATAAATAAGAATTAAAGTTGAAAGATTGGAAAATAGATTTTTGCCTATTAATTGTTGGGTCTAACGAGGGAAGTAAATAGATACTGTTAGGTAAAACAATTAATGAAACAGAATTTTTTTATCTCATACTTTGTCCGAACGTCCGATTTGTTTCATGTGTGCTTGTATGTACATTACATTTCATATGAGCTTGATTGATCGACTCTATAAAAGAAAAAGCATAGAATATCAGTCTTTTACTTGTAGGGCAAACTCGTTAAAAACATACAAAGAGAAACCTTCTGGATACATGATTATGATTACACATAGACAAAAACATAAGTAAAATATACAAAAATGCATTACTGTACAATGCGATGTAATGATTATACATTTTTTTTTCAAATTCTATCTTCTAATGTAAGAAGTAAGAACACGTCAATTATATAGTAAATTGTATAAAAATCAGGTTTCATATTGCAAAATGTGAAATATATGTAACATATATTATTATAATACATGAATACATCAAAAGTACTAAAATTGAAAGACGTATGTAAAATGGTATTGATCAGTTTAACTTCAGGTGGGTTGTTGCTTCTTCCGGAAATTAAAGAAAAATTAAAAACAAAGAAAAATTGCCTTATGCAATTGTTTCATATAAACAATGATATACAATATACAATGCTTCTATTCGAAAATTTCGAACACAATTTACAGTATCATATAATACTTTGTTGGATGTTTACGGTAAAATAGAGAAATTTATATATTTATAAAATATATATATTTAAAATCCGCCAGTAAAGTACTGCCGGTAATTCTACATCGCTGTGTATTCCATTCAGTAATATTGTATCGCGGAAAATGTATTTCCCCCCGGAAATATGGGACCATATATTTTTATACGCCGATCCGGTGACGCTCACAAATTTGAAAACAGTTTGTCAACACTGGAATAAAAGTATTGATAAAATCTTGAAGGTACGTTACATATTTCCTTAACATTATGATTCTTCGTTTATATATATAACACCTTCGAAATTTCATACTTTCATAAGCAATTTTTTGTTTCTTTAAATATGTATACTCTATTATTATTCTCGTTAATGTCGAATTTAAATTGAAACAATCGTGATGTAAGTATGTGAATGTATATATACATATGCAACGGATGCACATATATTTATGACATAATTTACAACTGTTTGTAATATTCTTTAAACTTTAATTTCTAATTATTAAAATTTATTAATTATGCGCAGCAAAATGACCATTGGTACAGAAAATGTAAAACAGAAATTCCAGAATATTTTTGGAGCACTTTCTGCAAGACATTGAATCCAAAGAAATATTACACTAAGTTTCATGAGAAACATGATGCTGAAATGTGGATGGCATTATACAAATTGTGGATTACATGTAAAAATACAATGAACTGGAATACAGAAAATGTATGTATTGAACCATTGCGAAGACAACATCATGCAGGACAGATTACATGTGTAGAAACTTCAGGTAACAATGTACAGAGAAGTGTTCAAACATTGAATTATAATTAACATTTAAAATAAATACATCTTATAGGAAACTTAATAGCAATAGGAACAAGTGAAGGATACATTTATTTCTACGATATGTGTGCTTTACAAAAGGGCCCAGTATACGTAGCTGATCATATGGAATATATAAATACTGTACAATTTATCACAGATGGTACTTAGATAGAGTAATTGTAATAACTGGACTGTGGATTTTATGCGTTTTTAACATATATAATTGTCATAAATTCTGTGTAATAAAACATACAACGAAGTTAACAAATTTGTCTAGTTTCCAGATTCTGTAATCTAGTTTGTAAAAGTCTACACCTGCATAAATATCTGCAGTCTAGTAATAATACTATCAATTAATAATACAAATTAAATAATTAATTTATGATCTATAAACACGATCAATTAACAGTATATATGTTTTAGAAACAAGTATTATTTGTGTCTCCCGTTCTGTAAATGGTCACATAAGTTTTTGGGATGTTAGATTAAAGAAATTAATTGAAAAAGCAAGGGGAGACTTGATTTGGTATGGTTTTAAGAATGTAAATTAACCATAATAAATAAATATTACAGTTATTATTAAATACTGAACATTTTATAGTACAAGTTACAGTTATTGTTATACTGCTGCATATAACCGGATAGTTATTGAAGGATCAATACCTAGAACGGTATATGAATTTGATACAGATAATATTATTGCTATCGGAGCAGATAATGAGGAGGTAGTATATTGAGCATTATTCAGTAAATAGTTAAATGCAGTTTGAAATGTTTAAAATGTTAAAATGTTATAATTAAGGTACTTTTTTATACGCAAGAAGGACACTTTGTACATTTAAGTTTGAACACGCCGAGTGGGAATTATCTAAATTGGACGTCCATTAAACCGCCAAATATAAAAATTCGTCATTATTACATATTTAAACCTGATGCAGTTGTCTGTATTACAGGTACGGGCCATTTCATTAATGAAATTCGCTAGTGTGCAGGATAATAATTTTTTTTGTGATTCTAGACAATGGATATTTAGGTTTCTTGGTGAAAGGTAAGGAATGGATAGTGCATAATCTGTTCCCAATTTTACATGGCACTCCGACTACAGTTTTAGTATACGCTAACGTGCTCATCGTCGGCTTAGATTGTGGTAATTTGGTTTACACGGTTATAATATAAAACGTGCATTAAGAATATTTCAAGTTACGCTAAATATTACTCATTATTTTTAGGCAACGTTCATGTATATTACATAAATGATTTTGAAACGATAAATTTCAATACTATTAGTTCTAAAAAATTTACTCTTGATTACACAGCAGTCATATCATTGAATATACTTGTTCAAGTTGAAGCGTATTTAATAATTTCTTACATAAAGAAGGTTTGTATCGTGAAATTAAATTAATATGTCTTACATTATTAAATTTTCTAAAAAGATACATGTCTTCAGAGGACAATAAATTTTGTACAACACAAATATTTGTAAATATAGTATATTTGTTATAAAAATTTGTACTGCAAAAATATATTGTGATATTTAACAAAGTAACACCTAATATGTTTATTACCTAATTGGTTTATTATACTTTATAGTTCTGTGCTGTTCCAGTTCCATATATAGAATCCCACTCAACATAAGTTGTTAAGCTGGATTCAGATACGCTGGGGCGTACATGAATCAATGCATCTTTGAAATCGTCAACTGTAACATGTCTAACATCTTCTTTTCTAATATTTTCTAACTGGCTAAATGGAATACTTCTAATTGGTCCCATACTAGCTTCTTTGCATAAATTGGACATATCCGCCCCCGAATATCCCTTTGATTGTTCAGCTACGTTGTCGACCTCTTCTTCCGTGAGATTGTGCGGAACTGTTGCCAATAAATTATTTATGATTTGTTTACGAGCTTCGAATTCTGGTAAAGGAACATAAAGCCGTTTAACGAGTCGTCTACGTGCCGCTTCATCCAATTCGTGAGGCCTGTTTGTCGCTCCAACTATTAAAATACGATCTTCCTCCGCAGTGGCGGCTCCATCCAGTTGTACTAAAAACTCGGTTTTCAGTCTCCTAGAGCTTTCATGTTCGGTTTCAGATCTTTGGGTCAGCAAAGAATCTATCTCGTCCACAAAAATAACGGACGGCTGGTACACTCTAGCAACAGCGAACAACGCTCTGACCATTTTTTCTCCTTCCCCTATCCATTTTGAAGTTAAAGAGCTCGCAGAAATCGAGAAGAACGTTGATTTACTCTGGGAAGCTATGCACTTTCCTATAAGCGTCTTACCAGTACCTGGAGGTCCAAACAATAAAATTCCTTTAGGGGGTCTACGTAAACCAGTAAAAATATCAGGCCTCAACATTGGGTACACAACTACTTCCTTAATTATTTTCTTCGCGTATTGCAGGCCAGCTATATCGTCCCACGAAATGGTTGTCTTGCTGTCCATTATTTCATTCCTGATCAACTCAACCATTTTTGGTTCTATGTTCTTCAGCCTTTCATCCTCTACTTCCATTGTATCAGTGTCGTTGTTATACATGTTATCGTGTGCTTGCATGTCTTTGTCCTTTTCGCGTTTAAACGGACACACGAATTTAGAATTAATGGATGGTTTACCACCTAGAGTTTTCTTTTGGCTAGGTCTGTTAGCTTTCATCTGCTGTATGCTTAATTCGTCCCTAGCTGTCTTGAAGCAGTTGAATTTCGGTTTAGGTACTTCAGAATCTTCTTCTTTATAATCGTTCGACGGTTCATGATTATTTTTTGGTACATTATACGAGTCCTCTCTTGTAAACTTTGGTTGCATTTTAGATTCAAACTTAACAGATCGTTGCTGAGGTGCAAAGATCTGATTTTCCTGATTCTTTGAATAAGATTTGGGCATCTGTCTCTTATAACTTACTTCAATAATACTGTTTTCATCTGCAGAATTACACGATGAAAAAGATGATCGGTCCACTTCATATTGAATATTATCTTCAAGCCTTGCTTTCATATCCACACTTTTCCCTGAATGGAAATTTGATTTTGCTTGCATACTGACTTTCCTATTCCGTACTGAGGATTCTTTATTCTTCCAAGTACTTATAATATTTTCTATGTGCCTATCATTAAACGTTCTCCCCTGACATGACTCTGTATTGTCATTTTGGCAAGGTAGAGGTTTTACAAAATTAAGTGCTGTCTTTATATCACTTAATCCAGACTTCCATTTTTGTGGATTATTACTGATTTTAGGAGTCTGTGTCTTAAACTGTTTCCAATAATTGTTAATCCCATTTCTGTTCTCCATTAGACTCTGATATTCTTCTAGGCCCCTTCGGAGCAAACATGTTGCCATGTCTTCTGATTCGCTGTAAAATATAATACTTTTTATATATTTCTTTCCTTATGTGTTACAGATATGATATATGTATGTATGTTTAAAGAAAGTTGTTTTGTTTAAAAGTACAACACTTAATGCTATATAATTAGACAATGGATTTGATGCACTTACAGCAAATATGAATATGTGAATCACATTGAAATGAAAAGTTTAGTTAGGGTTAAAGTAACTCTTTATTTTATTTTTAGTTTACAGGATCTGTTAACTGATGAAATAGACCACAAAAATAAGAATTTGTATAAACATCTAGAGTATACATGTTACTATATTATTACAAAACTTACTATTGTTTTGCAGTCAAATACTTTGTAGCAATACATCTGCGCTCAATGTCAACAATCTCTGTGTCATCCTTATTGGCTTGGGAAAATTTTAAGATGTGATATGCTGCCAAAAAGTTACTTTTTTCCTTATTTACTGTTGCCTCAACTGTGGCCATAGCTATACGATACTTAAGTACATATATATCAGCTAAAAAGAATTTCACTTACACTAACAATATAGATAAACATTACATTGCATATCTTACTCACAGATTTTAAGTAGTCACATATGTATATATATGACATATCTGTGAATATACAAACAAACACTGAATTATATTTGTATTAAACTTAACTCACATGACAGAACATTCAATTTGTAAACTGTGCTGTTCCAAATACATAAAAGTTATGAATATTCATATCACCGCCTAAATATTTGTATGTATTCAGAGTAGCAGAAACATACATAAAGAGATGTATTTTATGACAATATTGTCCAAATATTACAAAACATGAATACTTAACACATTAATAACAATTAACAATGTTTGTTTACACACCGGCAACTTAAATTTAGTATGCCCATCAACACAGACAAAATATTACAGCCCATACGAGGTACATATGTAATTATGTTAATAAGAACACTCGTCACACTTGTCAACACTTGTCACTTTACCGGGCCACAGGCAAGTTCACAAGTTACAAAATGCAATGATTTTACACTAAAATTGTAAGGGGGCTCTAGAGCCCCCGAAGCATGAGACAGAAAATTACATTGGATTTTAGGTCTACTCTATATTTCGTCTGTGCTAGCGCGTATTAGCGGTTGCTGAGAGTGTCATCATCGTCGCATTTTAATACGTGTCCCGCTGCTGTCTGTCCGTCCGGTGTTTCTTTTAACGTTGGTTGCATTCTACGAATCTATGGAGTGTTTTCATTATCAGATATCATTGAATTTCTATCTGTAGTAGCATAAGGCGCCTAGCGCGCCTTCCCGTCACGATGAACATGTGTCGGGCTCGATTGTTATTCCACTTTGTAGCTCTTAGCCTACTCCCTTTTGCCCGTCCCGACGAGCACAGTCACGTCGTAAGTATTCGAAATTGACATATTTTCTAAATGTCAAAGTTGCAAGATCGTCGGGTACATGTAATTGTAAGACTCACGACACGTACCATACATTTTGTATCGCTGCAATTCATTTCTTGCTTATCTTTTTATGAAGAGTCAATATGTAATCTTGATTTTGTGTGTTCGATATACACGATTCTTGAAATAAAACACCGTCAATTCAGCACTAATTTGAGAGACTCAAAAAAGATTTAATTTTTCGATATTTTATCATTATCGATAATTGTGTTTTATTATCATAACTGTTATTTCCTTTGCTAGTATGAAGATAACGACGAGGTTGTACTATGGATGAGTACAGTCGGACCATATCATAATCGTCAAGAAACATATTCGTATTACTCGCTACCTTTTTGTATGGGCACAAAGGATGTCATTAACCATTATCATGAAACTTTTTCTGAGGCACTGCAAGGCATCGAACTCAAATTCAGCGGCCTTGAGATTGAATTCAAGGGTAACTCTTTTGTCTATTAAATAGTGTTCAAAAATTTGTGTGGACTCTAATTAAGACTCATGTTTGGCATACTTGCAGCTGATGTTGCAAAACTGGAGTATTGCCAGATAAAATTAAACGAAGAGAGTGAAAAAGCATTTGTATATGCAGTCAAGAATCAGTATTGGTATAAGATGTACATGGATGATCTTCCAATTTGGGGTAAATCATAATGCTGACTTCATTTTTGTTTATCGCTTTGATGTTGTACTACTTGAGGTTTTTATGGTATTTATTAGGGGTTGTGGGAGAGCCAGAAGAAAATAACGGAGTTGTATCTTATTACATTTGGACCCACAAAAAGTTTGATATAGGTTACAATGGAAAGCAAATAGTTGATGTAAATTTGACTAGTGAAAACAAGGTAAAACTAGTACAAGGTGCAGCCATTTCTTTTAGTTACGAAGTCAATTGGAAGAAGAGTAATGTTAAATTTGAAGATAGATTTGACAAATATCTGGATCCTAACTTTTTCCAACATAGAGTAAGCATCGTCATGAAAAAAAAACATTTTAATAAAAAATTCACAATTTATTGTTTTCAATTGGTTTCGCTTTTCAGATTCATTGGTTCAGTATTTTCAATAGCTTCATGATGGTGATCTTCCTTGTTGGACTTGTTTCAATGATTCTAATGCGTACTTTAAGGAAAGATTATGCTAGATATAGTAGGGACGAAGAAATGGATGATATGGAAAGAGATTTAGGAGACGAATATGGTTGGAAACAGGTTCATGGCGATGTATTCAGACCGGCTAGTCACGCAATGCTTTTCTCTGCTTTAATAGGTGCAGGCTATCAGGTAATTATTTCAGTAATTAAGTTATTTCAGACTCAAAGAACAATTTGAGTGATGCACCTTATTTTATTTTAGGTTACAGTTGTTGTTCTTAGCGTTATCATTTTCGCTATTCTCGGAGAGCTTTACACCGAAAGAGGCTCTATGCTGTCCACAGCAATTTTTGTGTATGCTGCCACATCGCCTATAAATGGTTATGCTGGCGGAGGTTTATATGCTCGCATGGGAGGACGGATTTGGATCAAGCAAATGATCCTTAGCGCCTTTATGTTACCTTTGATCGTCTGTGGCACTGCATTCTTCATCAACTTCATCGCCATGTATTACCATGCTAGCCGTGCAATACCGTTTGGTTCTATGGTGAGTGTCGGTACATTTTCTCTGTTTTTGTAGGACGTTCTATTCGTGAATTATATTTTTTAAATCTGTTTCTGATAACTATGAAGTTTTATTGTTCTAATGTATTCCTAATCATTTTGTTTATTCAGGTGGCAGTTACGTGTATTTGCATATTTGTTATATTACCTTTAACATTAGTTGGAACGATCTTAGGCCGAAATTTAGCCGGGACTCCGGACGCACCGTGTAGGGTTAATGCAGTACCTCGACCTATTCCCGAAAAGAAGTGGTTTATGGAACCACTGATTATTATAATGCTTGGTGGCATTTTGCCGTTTGGTTCGATATTCATCGAAATGTATGTTTCATTATTTTGCAATTTCAAATAATAGATTAGTTAACATGAAACTTTATTCTTTCAGGTACTTCATTTTTACCTCGTTCTGGGCATACAAAATCTACTATGTTTACGGTTTTATGTTACTAGTATTCGTTATTCTAATGATAGTAACGGTCTGTGTTACTATCGTGTGTACATACTTTTTGCTGAACGCTGAAGACTATCGATGGTAAGAGCTGTTTAGTTGTTATTAGAGTTATGAAAATTTATAAAACAACTCTAACACGTTAAATACTGTGACGGACCTTGGGAATATACACGACGGTGGATGTAATTCTAACATTCACCTTTTTCTTACAGGCAGTGGACAAGTTTCTTAGCCGCAGCTTCGACTGCTGGATATGTTTACGTATATTCCTTCTATTATTTCTTCTTCAAGACTAAGTATGCTTTTGTCACGTTAATAAGATCTGATTAAGATTAGTGTAATTTTATTTGAAAAAGTCTCATTACTTCGTGTGTTTCTTTTTAGAATGTACGGTCTCTTCCAAACGGCATTTTACTTTGGTTATATGGCACTATTCAGCCTCGCCTTAGGTATAATGTGCGGAACTGTCGGTTTCGTGGGCACCAATGCATTTGTACGGAAGATCTACTCCACAGTGAAAATTGACTAAAGCACAAGTCTAGTGTATCGTCTACACTATACCGTGGATTAAACCCACAAGAGCGTACAGAACGATGCTACTGCTCTTCGTGAAGTAGGACTCTTCTTCCATCGATGCCATTAATTAGTTTACTGTTCAATAATGACGCGCAAGCGTATTGTCGCAGAAAAATTTCTCAACGAGTCTCAACATTGTATCTAACAGTAACAACGTGAATATGAGATATTTTCGTTCATATATTGCGATTCATCGAGTGTTTCATCGAATGCCGCAATATCTTCCCATAATTTGTTCGTTGATCATTTAGTAGGCATATCCGAAGTCGAGTCCTATGATAGTTTGAAACGAAACTGTTCGCCAATTATTCAGTCACATATATTATTCGTCCCGTGAGTCACAGTTTCGTGTAATACGAAACGTTGGTCTGGGCAATGCAATTTTAGAATCATTACTTAAAGTAACTTGACTATATAACGTTGCTCAATTTCGCTGGAAATTATTCAGAAGTCATTAGTTTTTTTAACGTATAATTCGCGCATAGAAATAAACCAAGGAATTGTATGATTTTAGAAATGTTCTGAGAGTTTTCATTACGATCGACTCTTGTTACACGTATCGAAATTTTTCAGACCGATACAGGATGTTTCTTAACATGTAGGATGCAGTTCACTAAAGGTCGAAGTACATGAAAACAATGAAGAAGATTTATATAAATGTATTTCCATTTAATCATACTTCCAAGTAGTAGTCACTTTTCTACTGCCAAAATGGATGTTAACCGTGGCCATAACTTGGGAACAAGATCAAGCAGGGAACACGTTTATGTGAATTTTTTATTAATAGTTTTCTGTGCCTCCTGACTACTGCTAGAAGTGCGTCACCCATATTATGAAACACTCTGTATATTAACATTCCAATGTGCCACCGAATGTGAATAATTCGTTGTAATTTTTGAAGTAAAAAAAAAACAAAAAAAATCAAAGTTATATGTTTTAAAAAATAACCGAAAACGACGGACAAAGTTTGGTCAGGATGCGAACACTATTTCAGCTGATACGATTAGAACAGTGCCTCAGTTATGTGACTCCAGACTGGAAATTTTAGTCATGTGAAGAACGACGCTCGAATTACCGACGATTGAAGTAATGTTAATTTAATAGATAAGCTAGGTGTTAGATCGTGAAGTAAGAACGCGAACATAAGGATGTTTTTTTACTATTGGCTTCGTACTATATGCCAGAACACGTCACCTTCGTGTGGATTTCTTTTGTTTATAAATTGTGAGTGCATTGATAAAAGTGTCGCGAGCCTATTAACGAGGAATAGACGATCCTTTCGATCGGGATCCTCCTTATGCGGATTAAAATATTTAAGCACGCATTAATCGCCGCTAAAGAAAACGATTTAACGATGAGAAGGGGATTGGGATTTTGGAATCACGATGAATGTCCTTATCCTACTTCGATACTTTCGAATGACGAATACAAGTGAGAACATTCGAATGAATATACGGTTTGTTGTTAGATGTAGCAGTTCTAAGAAATATAAAATTTCTACATGCGACAACTCTTGGATATTTGATTGATTCATCGACCCTGATACTAATCATCCGAATACATGATTTTATAAGCTCAAAACGACAGTGTTCCGAAACATGTAGGACCAATCCTATTAGGCATCAAGATTCAATGGCTCTATTTTATTAAATCATTAATTTAAATTAAATTTTTTGTAGAAGCAAATTGGTATGGAATTAAACGATTTATTATCTTACTTTGCACTTGACTAACCACCTCCTGAAATAACTTTACAAATAATTTCGATTTCGATGCTTTCCATCATACCTGCAAACTAATAATAAAGAATTGAATTTGTGTGAATATATCCCGAAATCGAATTATACATGAAACATAAATGTTTGTATCTATTTGCATATACAGTTTTTGCACTCCAAGTTCAACTTTCTATAAATGAATTCACCCTTTTGCAATTTTCGAAATAAAAAATAATGAAAAACATTTTAAAAAATGCACACAGCAGAAATTTCAAATTATTGATTATAACAATACCATCTAACACGTAAAATATATTCGTATTTCAGAAATACACTACTTTGTTTGATTTATTCTAGAGAAATCTCTGATGAGTTTTAATATATATGTTTGGGAAATACATGAATGACCGAGTGAAAGTGGTGTAGAATTACAAAAATAATAGTATAATACGAATCCCGTGACATGTAATTACGTGGAAAATTATATAGTTGTTGACTTGACTTAAATGGTGCCAGTGTGGCACCCAACATTGCTCCGTTGAAACTCAAAACGCACACGTCGACGCAGTCGAGGGCCGAACGTATTCGGAGTGCGCGTACGTGTTCGTCGTTCGGAAAACTTCACATATCGAAGAGCACGCACGCTGACAGTAATACTATTTCCTTTTAATTTAAATTCAAACAATTCCGACGAGAAAAAAGCTGTAGAAATGGCACCGAAACAGAGAATGCGCATCGCTAATGAGCGAGCCACGAAAAACATCACGCTTCGTGGAAATGTTCCAAAATCGACGGTAAGTTATATTGTTTGCTATTCGGCGAAAAATTGATTTAGTACATTCCGATTGAATTAAAATAATTAAAAAGTACAAATCACGTAAATGTAAGCGATTGTCAAACTATAATTTTGAGGTTATATACTTTGTTACCTTTAATAAATAAGTACTGCACGCGTATTGTGACGTTTTTGACAGCATTGTCTACGTTATTTTTATTGGGTTTTTACATTGTAACTAATTCTCAATTATAGATTTAACAAATACTAAACCATCGGAGAACGTTATTTGCTAGTACTTTTGGATATAATTAAACGATTGTACAACGTTCGTACCATATGTAATGTATATAAACATATGTTACAGCCGTTTAATATATGCATTTAACAATAAGTATTCCTTGTATCTGATTTTCTTATTAGTTGATCGCGGAGGTTTAAGTATGTAACTTATGTATATTTTTTGACAAATTTATAATATCAAGTATTCCATAGAAATTAATTTTTCACATGAGTACTTTCATTATGTTAAATGTAAAATGAAAAATGTATTAAGCACTATAAATCTATAGAATTTAGGATATTTTACATATAAATGAGTATTATAAGTGTATAAAATTCACAATTTTCTTATTTGTCATTCATGTTTGAATAATGAATAAATTGTGGGCTTTATGAATTTATAATACATTTAAGGGTCTAACATATAGTATTCTAAGAAGTTTAATAATATTTAACAAGGTTTTTATTTTATTTAGGACCCAAAGTAACTTTTAATTGAAAAAAACAAATCTATGTTTGATCTCAGTTTATATAAATTTATCTATACATATATGTTCATAAACAGCCATAGTGAAATAATAATATGTCTGTGAATTCAAATTTATATTTTCTAGAAGCCACAAGAGGATGGGTCTCCAGTTGGACCATGTCTGCTAGCACTTTTTCTCTTTGTTGTATGTGGTTCTGGTAAGATCCATTTTTAATAACCATCCATTTTGTTCCAAATTTATATGAAACTTACATAAATTCTTAATTTTCAGCTGTATTCCAAATAATTCAGAGTATTAGAATGGCTTAAGAAAAGATTTACCGGCATGAATTTAAAAAGATGTTGCTGTTACTGTTAATGAGATCTATCTACAACTGATTGGTACACAAACGAGATCAACAGACTGTTTTATCATATATTGTAAAAATGTAGGCATCGAAATGCTGTTCACACAAAACAGAATTCAGAGTCTCACTAAATATCTTTCGCCATTTGCAACAGTTTAAAAGATTTATTTATGAAAATTTAGCATTTATGAACGTTTTACGTAATCACATTTATGTACCGATTGTATCGATGAAAGAAGATTGCATTGAATGCATTTCGTTTAGACAAATCCAAGTGTATATTGCACAGTGAAAATGGTCCTTCATTAATTTCCATTTTGCCACTTTATATGCAATGGTTGTTACTTACAATTTTAATAAGAAATGTGAATTCTTCCATCGATACGTGCATAGTAAATAATTGTATATATGTACGATCGATTAATTGTATCAATTCATTAATCAAGGCATTCCACTGTAAGCAGTTGGTAGCTTTTGGTTGTCTATATATATTTTAGAGGCCTTAAGAACGTAATAGGTCCTTATATATGTAAAAATATATATTATATATGATATCAATGTAATTTATCCTAATGAAATATTTGCTACTGACAATTCTTTGTCTCTTTTAATAAATTATATTATGAATAATTAATCCTGCTTTTATTGATTATCTTGAACGGCCATTCAATAAAGTAATCTAAATGAATATCAATAGAAATGAATGTGTTAAAAATACAAATAATGAAATTATATTGTATTATATTGAATTCAATACATTATGGAACTTCTCTATAATTATGTGTTATATTTGATTTAGTATCATAAGATTTTATATAAATAGGTATTTTATTATTGAATAAAGAACGTTTATTAGACAAAACTTTACTTTCTACATGTTATTATACCGTAATAATAATTAATAATTATATTCTTTTGGGCGATTAATTCTTCCTTTTTTAGCAAAGCTGCAAAGCTGTGAAATGATTAAAGTTTCACATGGTTTCATAGAAACGAGTATTTCTACCTAGTTTCCATCCAGTACTTTCAACTTATCAGTGAACTCAACAAATTTCCCCTAGTTGCAGCTGAAACTTTGTTGTCATCTGTTGTCATCAGTTGCCGTTCAAATTAAACGGAAAACTTATGATAAAGACAGAAAAGAGTTTGAATTATTATTGAATTCTACTGGATTATCCGCAGAATACTTGTTGTGTATGTTTCAAACACAATACTGCGAAAGATTCGAATAAAATGGCTGGTATATTCAATTTATTCGGCGAAAATGTTTCGAATCTCAACAAAGGTATGAATACATGATTCCGAAGGTTACATCCTTTCCGTTATTTTCCATATTTTTTAAATATTACTTATACAATGTTATATGTATATAATATTGTGAAATATATTCAATATTACACGAGTGTAATATTTTTAAATATTATTTAGAAGAAATTAATTAGTCCCAGTAAAGTCTATAATTTTCAATGTTAGTATTACATTTTTTGTTGTGATAAACGGAGGTAAAAATTATGAAGAATAATTTGTAACAGGTTCTGTTGCAAAACCAATATCAAGGTCAAAAACATCTCTTGGGATTGCTGGAACTTCAATGAAATCAATAAACCAACCAAAACCGAAAGGATTGTCATTCAGATCTAAATCTGATTTAAATGTGCCTTCTTTACCGCATGCAAATCAAGATACATATAAAAGACAGCAAGAATGTTTAAAGCCAAAATTAACACAAGTTGACACTAATGGCCATCCAATATCGCCACATAAAGAATTTACTCTAAAGGTACCACTGATTATAAATTTCTTCCAAATAAAATGTAACGTGCGGTTCTTTTACAGAAACAAAGTGCTCAGCCTAATAAAATGAATGATTTATCTCCAATGAAAATATTGGGTAAGACAAGTATAAAATTACAAAAACCAGCTGATGAACTTATCTTTAAGAAGCCGTTGCCACCAAAGACATTGATTAAAAACTCTTATCCTGAACCAGAAACCTTGGCTCCTTACTGTGATATGCAGTTGGAATTTGGTATATTTACAATAAGTTATGGTATAATTTATTTTTATGAAATTACTTTATTAAATTTGTATGATTTATTTTTTGCAGACGATTATTATGCAAAAACTATAGAAAATGAGTTTAGAGAATTATTAACAAAGATAGAAAACAATGTGCAGCCGTACGAGGATGAAGGATTTGAGTCAGGTAAGAAAATTTCAGTTCAAGTATTGTATACGGGTGATTCAAATGTTTTATTATTTATTTAGATTCAGAACCACTTGAATTAACATTACCAAAGTTATGTATATCACCAGAGTCAGATGTTGAAGAGTGGAAAGACTGCCTAATGCTTGACTTACCAGAAATATCAGATGATGTCTTTTAATCTTCTACATTGATACTTACCTCTTTTTAATATTTAATTCCATATAGAGTATGAATTAAAATTACAGTATTACATTAAATAACATGTATTTATTACAAAATATTTTATTTTATATAAATAATGGAAATCACTTCAAGTATCAAGGATTAATAAATTATTTTTACACGTAATTATAAAAGGTCACTGTTTTAATATTATATGTATTAAAAAATAAAAGTCAGAACGATGCCAATTTCACTAAACATCTTTCAATTGTTAAATGTTGTTAAAAATGTCAACCAAAACGTGTGTAATTGTAATAGCAGGTGTCTTACAAGACCATAATTTCCATCATGTATGCTTTGTTGCTGAAAGCTTATCTACATTACTGCCAAATTTCAATTATAAAGTCATTTCTAAAAGCTCAACAGAGTGGAAAGTAAGTCAACAATTATTCTGACCATTAATAGTACTCATTGTAGATCTTGTTTTACAGTCATGGCTGAAACAAATTTGTGCATGTTACGGTTGGTGTCATAGGAAATCTCCTTTGATATGGAAAGAAATTGGACTGACTCGTACTAATACTACTTACATTGGAGATGGATTCCACTTTTGGGAATTGTTGCATAAATACTATAATATCACTTCACATCTAAATAAAAAAGACCTATGTGCTTTACAAGAAGATTTAATATTTGTACATCAGTGTGACACATATCGCCGTTTCAATGGTAAAGCTGTGAAACTGCAATTTTTGTGAATCTGTTGACTTTATTTGTTCCTCACTATTTGGTTCACTTAATTTCTTATTATGTATTTACAGTTCTGAAAAAAAAATAAAATGACATAGTTGGTAAATAAAATCAGTGCAAAGTGATTTAACATTAATTGACTTGGACTGGTTTTCTTCTCTCCAGAAAAATAGGTTTTTGCAGTTTCGCAGCTTTACCATTGGAACAAGGATATAAGTCTGTGATTGCAAATATATTTATTAAATTTTCTATTGTACAGGCTCGTCATATAGAAAGTAAGAAATGTAAGTGTCCAGACATACAAGAAAAACGTCAAATAATGATAATAGGAGCAGGACGATCCATGTGTCCAGACTTAGTTCCTCAATTGATAATGACAAAGGAACTCTGGTTAAGTCACGGAGTCGTTATAAATTTATATGACGAACCAGGACGCTTTTTTAAATTAAGGAAGATTCTAAAGGATGTGAACGGACTTGGCGGAGGTTTGAACACAGTGAATGTTTTGTATCATATACCTGATGGTTTAAAAGACTGCGATATATTGATATATCTTGATGACTTTTTAAAGTAAATTTAAAATTATATTAATCAAAGCATTTTAACAGATTTATAGTTTTTGTTATTATCAAACTGTTTAATGGTGAATTGTATGTTTCTTAGAGAAGAGTTCGAAGGAATAGATAGTTGGCTTCACCGAAATTATAAATGCCTGAGAGAATTGTCAATGCAGATAAATGAATATGCGCCCACTCACATGAAAGTACTTTTCTGTTCAATGGGTCCTATATGCTTTCATGTTGAAATTATGCACAGACTTGTTACAAAGTTACCGAAAACGAGCATCGTGGCTGTCAGTTCCCATTACGGATTGGAGATGACATGTGTATTTGCACAATCATCTGGTTTTACGTTGAAGAACTTCGGGTGTCCACCAGTTTGGGGATATCTGGGTAACTTGTGCATTATTACGATTAAATTTTATGCTGCATACACATTGATCAACTCAATTTAATTGTAGGAATTAATCAGTTTGTAGATATCCATCATATGATTCAAAAGTGCGACTATTATCTACCTAACAGAAGAGCTTTGGAATCCAGTGAGACCACGACATTACCGATTGGCGTTCAACGCTCGGAATTAAGATGGTTTTTCTACATATCGCATAATAAGACAGATCCTTACAGACAGCTTTCTATACAGAAGGTAAACATATTCTGTAACTGGATAATTATAGAGAAATACAATTCTTTATATTCTTCTTTGTTTCTGTAGTCTCTTGTTCAGTATCAAGTGGGCAGATCTGAGGATTTTCAAAAATGCAGAGCAATTTGCGATCTTTTGAAATTATGGTATAGAAAAGAAGTTGGAGATGAAATTATATCATTAGGAATTTTTTCTGATGGTAAATGTAGCGCCAGTAAAGATACCAGCAAAGGTATAAATGTTTTCCTTCCGACAGGTTCATTCGGTATCCCAGAAGGATTAGTATTTTCGCAACCAGTGTATTTGAAAGTGTTAGAAGATCACACACGAATATGGGTACCTTTTACAGACTTTCCGATGCCAAACATGCCAATTTCTTTCTTTCAAAATCTTCTGGACATTGCTATTTTTGTGAAGGAAAAAATTCCAGTCCTTGAGGAGGGTGGTGGGGTGAGAGGACCGGAATTTAAAAAATGATCGGTAATAGTAGTATCTTAAAAAAGTTCATAACAATGTAACAAAACATTGTATGATATTCCAAGTTTTACTTATATTAACAATATATTTTCCATTCATGTACCCGAAGTAAATCATTTATGTATCTAAAAAATGGTATTTTTATTGTTTAATTAAAATACATCAGTAGCTTAAAATTATTGAGATTTAAGATATGCACTCTGTCTATTTACCGCAACAAGTATAATTATTAAAATTGCACATTTTCATATTTTGATTATTTATTGTTTTACCGTTACTCGAGGTCCAGATAATTAAATTAAATTGAAGAAATTAAGCATAACTAACTAAAAGATATTATAAGTAATCTTAGTATTTCTACATTGCCATTGTATGGATAAAAAGAACAGCAGTAGGAAAGCTTCTTAAGATTGATTTATTGCCTAGTAAATACATTTGAATAAATTAGCTAAGAAACCTTACCATTAATTACTGGAAAGAAAATCATTACAAATTGCCACTATTCTCCAAAAACATAATTAATTACGGGTGTAATACTTTTTACCATACATAATAATGTACTTGAATTTAATGTTACAATTTGTTTTTCATTGTATACACAAAATGATATAACAAATTATTATTACCTGCTTAAATATATTGTTAACAACTGGTAATCCATACCACTCTTCGCTTAATCGATAATTCTTTATACAGAATTTTATGTCACAATGGTAGACAAATGGATAAGCGATGTATTTCATATGTATTACCATATCAGTACGTTCCCATTACGATTCAAATGGTGACTATGGATCAGTAATCATCGGATATCATTTTTTGGTTAAATTAATGTATATTATTTATGTATTGCAAATGAGAGTGCATATAAAAAGTACAATTACTAAAATCTTACAGTTTTCTTCATTTCTTTGAGAACGGACAGTACATATAAAATTTTGACATTTAAACTGAAAAACATAAAGATCTGAATTGCAAATGTTAAAAACATTTTGCTAAGGACATTATAAAAGGAAATTTATTATGAAATAATTCTCACGCAACTTCTATGTTTGTCTCTGTGTATAGATTGTTCATAAAAAACATGCGTTGCAAATTTCACAATCACTTTTTCTTCGGAATTGACGACATTCAATTCATGCGAGTAAAAAACAGGTGTTTAGATTGCACGCAGTTACAATGGGTATAGTAAAAACTGTATTCTAACAAAAAAATGTCTGACAATTTGAAAATTATGCTACAAAATTGATAGACGGGACATATGAAAATTTTCTTAGGCAGTTTTTGCTCGAATAGCAGCACGTTTCCCTGTGACGGCCTGAAAGAAACAAGACATTGATAATGATGACTCTGAAATATAAAACAAACGCTGAAATATTACGTAACATGGAGAAACACTCACTTGGAACCCAGATTTTATGCTAGCTACTGAACACCTTGAGCCGCAGGTTTCACACTGTAAGAAAAATAGTCGAGTATCCTTTTGAAGAATGGTGTCCGGCGAACGACATGTGTGACAAGTAACATATTCTTTAATGTATCTCCTAAGAACATTTTCTATTTGTTTCTGTTGGAAACGACCCTTAATAATAAGTTGACTATTTCCGTCGACAGAACCGCTGGTTCCTAACTCAGCGAGTAAAAAGTCGAGTAAATGTTTTGGTTGCCTATGAAGTGTTTTACATATCTGAAACGAAACGATTACGACGGGAATTAGAAAGAAAGAAAGAATTTCTCACCGAAAACTATATAAATCATTAACACACTGCACTTACTTCGGTGAAATTAGCAAAAGATGTCTTCTTGGTGCCAATACGTACTACTTGAGGAGGTCGCATAATGAATTTTTGTTTCTTTCCAGCAACCATATCAGGGTTCTTTTCCCTCATTATGTTGAATACTCTTACCAACAATTCATCATACGTGTAATCTCTATCGGATCCAAACCATAAACTTGTTTCCTCTGAAAAAGAAATTAATACTCACTTAAAGTATTAATAAAAAAAAAAAGATAAAAGTAGTGGATACTTTATTAAAGGGACTGATGTGTGGTCTCAACAATCAGCGTGTACATATGTAAGAACTCCCATTACTTTAATTTTTAAATTCAATTTTTGATTTTTTTTAAGCTTGACTTGTTAATGAACGTTGGCATATTTGCATATATGTACACTGACGTGTAAATTCGACTTCCTCTAGGGGAAAAAGTAGCGTAGGAGAAGGGCCTCATAATACTTGGTAAATTTATTTCAAGTACTGAAATAAGGGTTAAATCGAATATTAATTTCGCATAAATTTCAGTAATTCCTGATACCAAGTGGTATCAGTATTTAAGCCTTTCCAGTACACTACTTTTTCATTTTGCAAGTCAGTGTACAAGAAATATAAAATGTAGAGTATACAGGGTGAGTCTTTCAGGGTGAGCTCTTTTACAGTGCGAGTAGTTTTCTTGTGCGTGAACACGTACAGGACGTATGAAGCTCAAATTTTTTGTTTAATGTGATTTTATTGTGAATGAAATTACTAATACGCTAATTTATTACAAAATCAATTAGACACACGATCCCTTGAGCAGTTTATTAATGATAAAATGCTAAATAAAATGCACATAAATACTCTAATTTAATTTATAACGTGTATCAATAGTGTATCTAATAGAATTCATTATAATACAGTACTTATGGTTGTAGCTATTTGATTTCATTATAGAATAAAATTATTTGCATAGTGTTTAATTATACAGCATGATATATCATACTTCTAATCAAACTGAGACTCGTGATAGTGCAAACATGATGTAAGGAGTTGTGATTGTCATATAATATAGATACGTAGAAAACAGCATACATATCCCTTACCATACTCTGCATTTCGCTCAGATTCAATGCAGCATGTTAACAAATAATGAGTAATCGAGATCTTTCTTCTTCTTTTTCTTCTTTTTAGTTTTTGAGAAGTCCATGTCCAGATCAAAGGTATCATCCACTGCGATTTCTTCAGATTGTTGTTCAACAACATCCTATTGAAATTATAACATAGAATTATAAATGTAGTTTTTCATTATTACATTTAGAGACCAGATTACAGACAACTTCTTATATACCTCCTTTTTTGTATCTGGCAAAGCCGCATCCAGTTCATCCAAGTTGAATGCTTTTTTCTTCTTCTTTTTCTTTCTTCCAAAATTTTCTAAATCCAATGTGTCATCATCTTCAGCGAGCACAGGAGGCTCTGGCTCCTGGTTTTCTTTGTCACCGGTAGTTTCAGTTGCATCACCAGTACTACCGCCTTCATTGAATGCAGCATCGAGGTCAAAGGTGGTTTTCTTCTTCTTCTTTTTTTTCTTCAGAGTGGGATCGAACACCTGCAAATTTTATCATTAATTTATGATTTCACACAATTTATGAGAATTGCTCTCGATCGATGGACCGGTCACCTTTTTAAGAAATCTGATGTAAAATGCAGGGTTGGTTATTCACTATAACAGTCTGCACGATTTTGCAGCTGTTTGAGACAATATAATAAAAAAAATTCTTAATCAATATCTAGCTGTATTGAATGGACAACATATAACTTAACAATATACCAATAACAGCCATTTTGAAAATACATTTTTTTTGTAGCAAACTTAAGATCATTTTAAGTTTCTGAAATGGAACCATACAATTTTTTACTATCATATTGTGGAGGACAGTGAACATGAATTCAACCGGTAAAAAATGTGACACTTTTATTCATACAATATAACTTTACATTAGTAGAAGTGGACAGTGTGCGATGGCTCGTGAAACTATAGCAGGGTAACATGTTTCCACTCTATGCTTCTTTTTGTTCTACTACTTCCACTACCCTAAATTTAATATTATATGAATAAAAGTGTCAATGAACAAAATTATGTAAAAAAAATGTATATTGGAGTCGTTTGTTATGTTATTATCGTTTGTTTGTTTGTTATCGTTATATATTGTTCGCTCAACACAGACAAATTACAGTTAATAACTTGTTTTATTATATCACCATGAAAGGTTACAAATCATACGGACTATTAAAGCAAATACCCTGTACACATATAAACAAAATTCTAAATACTAGATGCTGATACATAAAAAATGACAACATGATTTCTTACCGTGTATATTATAAACACTACTATTGTAAATAAGTTATTAAATATTATAATGTAATGAATACATTATTTAATGCATCTAAAAACACTGGTAGTGTTCTCAATTAAATATTAAATCAAATGTTATGAAACTTGAAAGGATGGCTAAATTTTAGCATCTACTATTGTAGACTGTTTATGCGCATTGTATGCTGCTTTTTACAGTAGAATTCTTAGAGAAATGATCATCCTGATTGGACAGATTCTTTGTTAGTAACTTTACAAGCATGAATAGATATATTTTAAAATATTACATTAACTTTACTCTAAATCATTTCTTTGTTACAGAATATACACGAAAACATCACAATACAATACAAGAAATATAAATATTATAATAAGAAGGAAAAAGATACAACAGAGTAACATGTGTCAAAAGTCATCATATGTCGAAAGTAAATCTATATTCCGTGCAATACCATCCACATGGCTTTGAGGTTGGGATTCATAAAGCAACATTATATTTATCATGATGTAATCTCGCTATAAAATAGTCTTTTTGTACGAGTGAACGTTTTATTCTTTTATTGATGGGTCATTGGATGTTATTAAAAAATTGAAAAGTATGTCAAGATGACCACGCTCCCATGCTTTTCCGACACGACATAGATACCCCTCTTCCAGGTCACATTTCAATGTTTGTACGTACCGAGTCTTCCTCAGTCATTTTGTGTATCGTTCTAATTACTTTCACGTCCTCGACAAACCAATCAATCTGATAGCTTTCCTAAACGCGGCTGAACATCTTAATTGCACGGCTCCTGGATTCTCTGCTCCAAACCACCTATACAGTGTATTCACGTCTCGTTAACGAATATTGCATCAGAAATTCAGCTTTTAAGTCGAAAGTCTAATTCACACGCCTGAATCTGATGATTCTACCAAGGATGACAAGACTTTTCATTGGTCGAACGTGTTACGGGTGTTACGTTCACCAATGGAAGCATAATACATCTATACTTATCCAAAGCATTTTATCTGAATCAATTTTATAGGACTCTATACAATCTTTTAATTGTTATAATATGGATGTAGTTTTTAGAAACAATAATGTGAAATCTTATCAATTTTTCGGAGTCAATTTTAGAAATTGTATATAACAGCAATATACGGAATTCGTAGACACTTGTGGACGAACTTTTAATTATAATTACATATAACCACAGCTACAGCCGACTCTAGTACATAAAGTCAGCTGTGCTGTTAATCAGCAGGGCCGTTCCTGGGTTGTTAGCTGCCCAGGTGCAAAAACAATATCGCCGCCCTTATTAATTTAGTATTATTAAGTGTTTTATATGCAGTGTTTACTTTTATATCCTGATTTTCGAATTAGAAGTTTGACTAGTTGAGCCGAGTGGATTGAATGTAATTCCCGACTTCACCGTTATCATAACGTAGAGGGCAGCAGAAAATCTCTAATTTTTTGCACGATCGGTATTTCAGAACATGAAGATGCGAAGTCCCATGAAACGGTAAATCTATTCTATATCTCGTCTGTGTCAAAAGTAAACAGTATTTAATAAGGAAGCGAGGAGATTTAATCTATTCTTCATATAAATGTCTCTTACTGGACGATTCTGAATCATTTTGTAAGGAATGGCACGACAGTATTTAAATCGTAATTGATAGTAATTCTCGATTTCCTTTACTTGTTTATATAGTTGTTATATTCCCTTCTCATAATCGCTCTTTGTCGACCCTCCTATAATAACATTTTCATCCTCACAATAGGTCTTTCGTTTCCTCTCACTCGCATATGACTGTTCTTTGTCTCTGCACCACGCGAACCGAACGAACGGTGCGATTACATGGAGGGAAATACTGCACATTTGAAAAAAAATTTAAACTGACTCGCTAGATGACAGGAGTGTTGACGACTGGTGGCACCTCTGTTGGAGATAACAGTGTACTAAGCAGTAAGTGATTTGTAACGAGTTGAGCGAGACAAGTGATTAAAAAATGGCATCCGCGACGACGTCGCACAATGAGGTTTCGCAGGAATTTTCTGTCAACAAACTTATTCGTGTCGGTTATTACGAGCTCGAGAAAACAATTGGCAAGGGGAATTTCGCCGTTGTTAAAATGGCTACCCACGTCGTGACAAAATCGAAGGTGAGCTCGCTGTTAACGCATTTTTCTCGCAAACACGGAATCCGTCATTTTGTCGTTATATCTTTGGATAACACTGTGGACACGCGAATATGGTCTTGTTTTGCTGCTCTAAATGGCTTTCGATATAACGACAAGGTGTCATGAAAAGGGGGAGACTAATAAGTTCAAAAAACGTCTCGCGAAACGATATTACCAACAGACACTAGTGCATCCATTGAAATATGTTTCCCCGATGTTTTTCTAATTATTACGAGTTATTGCGGACTAGATATGGTTGCGAAAATAAAAACAAATATACCACGCGTTAGTTCATAGAAAAATTTGCGAAAATGCGTATCTATGTATACAATACATGTTTTTTTAACTTACGTTCGTTATGTATCGCTTTTTTTCGCCTTTGTGTATTCTTCGTTGCTTCATACAGGAATCAATTTAATTTAAATAATACGGATCAATTTATATAATAAAAAAGCCGTTATGCTAAAATACGTACAATATATTTTTGTTTAACATATTCGGTGTATTTTAAATAATGTTCAAATGTAGTGTTAACAAGTAACAAAAATGTTTGGGTAATATTACATACCTTTGAATACGTTAGTTATTCAATTATGTATCGAGCGTGTCATTCAATGATTAAAAATGTTGAAGTACATGCATGTTCTGCTATATGTGATTTCATATAATACTCTTTAACCCTCTAGTGTGTGGGTAAAGACTACTCAAATGGAAAAACAATGTACTCATGGATCTCACGGACTTAACACGTGTACTGGAGGGTTAATTTTCTTATGTTTATAGTTATTGGAATTCATATTTGTTAAATGTTAAATGTAGTATTGGATACTTTGTAATTATATTCTTATTACAGGTGGCTATTAAAATAATAGACAAAACAAAATTAAATGAGGAAAATCTGGCTAAAATTTTTCGTGAAGTACATATAATGAAAAGATTAAGGCATCCACATATCATAAGGTTGTATCAAGTAATGGAGACAGAGAAAATGATATATTTAGTTACCGAGTATGCACCCGGAGGAGAGATATTTGATCATCTTGTGAGGAATGGAAGAATGCCAGAATTGGAGGCAAGAAGAATTTTTCGTCAGATTGTCCTTGCTGTTCGTTATCTCCACCAACAAAGAGTTGTACACAGAGATCTAAAGGTCTGAAAATTGTATCTGTATCCAAAATTATGATATCAGTAGTACAAGAAAACATAGCAAGTTTTATATGGTTCTATGCATTATTACATTTTATTATTTTAGGCTGAGAATTTGTTACTTGATGCAGACAATAATATAAAACTTGCAGACTTTGGATTTAGTAATGAATATACTCCAGGTGTACCACTTAGCACTTGGTGTGGATCACCACCATATGCTGCACCTGAAATTTTTGAAGGGAAACAATACGATGGTCCAAGGGCTGATGTATGGGTATGTTATAATTTCTGGAAGTACTTGTTCTCTAAGTTCTCTAACTATTGTGATTGCAACCAGTGTTTGATTTTTAGAGCCTTGGTGTTGTTTTATATGTATTAGTTTGTGGTGCATTGCCATTCGATGGCCCCACAATGCAGTTACTACGCTCTGTAGTAATCTCAGGGAAATTCAGAATACCATTTTTTATGACTGCAGGTATACATTGTTCAGATAATTCTGATTTATCCTGTATTAACTTTATCAGCGTAATAATAATATAATTTCTCTCGTAGAATGTGAAAAACTGATTAGACATATGTTGGTAGTAGAACCTGAAAGGCGTTTAAGTATTTCACAGATTTTAGCACACTCTTGGATGGGCGGCGATAGTATCACAGAACCGGAGCCAGGAGGGTACATAAAAATATTAATGACAACACAATCTCTTTCCAACAAATTGAATTATAAGTTTCATATTATAAAATCGTTTAATCGTGCGTTTTGTAGGTGTAATACAGAAATTGTGCCACCACAGCTGAATCAGTTAGTACTAGAAAATATGTTAAGATTACCAGGGCTCAGTGCAGACACATTGCTAACAGCTGTTCAAGGGAATGCTTTCGATCATGTATCAGCAATATATAATCTTCTTGTCGATCGTTTGGAACCAGCAATGCCTAGTTTACCTACTATTCAAACTATACCAGGAGATTATGCTCCTGATGGTGCACATCAATTAGAAAAAGTAACAATTATAAATGATTGTTGGTCAAATTAAGCGTTATGTTATTCGGGTAAATCGTTCACATTTTTCCTTTCGTAAAGTTCGGCGATATAGAAGCGGAGACAGAAGAAAGGAGTGGAATGCAACTTACACCAGGCACACCTTATCATACCACTAGAAGACACACGGTCGGGCCGGGTGACACGGCACATCAACCACCAACACCGTATCCATACAATTATAATCATAACACAGGCGATCCAACACTGAGGCTCCTTCCTATGCTGCAGTGTAATAACACTGATCCTCAGGTGTTACCTCATACGAATCTGCCATTAAACCTTCCTCTGGTTCAACATCAGCCACCTCAAAACTTTCAAATCAAGGATCAGCATTTGTTGAAACCACCACCTGTTATGGGAGCGAGTTAGTAACATTGACATAACAGGCCTTTTCACATGACTTTCCGTTCACGCCATGTGGGCCATCGGTGGTCCCACACCAGAACATACTAAAAACTTTTATGCTGTGCACCATAGGACGTTCGTAAGAGTGAAAGCATCAATTTTATAAATGAAAATATACAACATAGAATGTGCACCATATGGCAAGATGAGCACTTTCATTGAATAAGCGGAAATAATTGATATTACAATGCAGTGTAGTTATAGTGAATAATATCGTTAGTGGCTAGAACGGGAGGTTTGTCGTGAGCCATAGATGGCGCACTGGGCATGGAACGTGTTAATAAGTACTTGATCAATTACAGCGGGAAGCTTTGGAAGGAGAGCTTCGGATGGCGGAGCTAATCTTCATGTCTTCTATCAACAACACGGCAGTAACTATGGTAGTGGTGACGATGGCGGTTGGAGTCAGCCGGGCAGTAGAGAACATTTGCAACCTGTAAGGAAGTGGAAAACAATCGAAATTATATAATGTTCATATTATGTGAAATTTTGTATCATCTTTCAGATTCCAAGCGGAAGTCCAACGCTTGTGCCGTGTGCTCAGTCGTTAAATGTAGGAGTCAATAATGCAAGCGGAGATACAAATGGCAGTAACAGTGGCAGTAGTACCGGAGGCAGCGATAGAAGACGACGAAGCGGTCTTACTGCCGTCATGCAAAGACCAGGTATTGTGGATTATGTTTGTCAGGTATTCCTGTGCACAGTGTTGGTGCACATTAATATATCGTACCACGTATCACCTTCGTGAGATTTATTATGATTTGCTATATGAATTAGTTTAAAAGCTTGCTATAATTCTTCGTTTTTTTGAAGCTGTAAGTATGATCACAATGCCTTGTTGATATCTCTTTGCTACTGCAGTGTTTGTATATTGGTATGTTTTCTTTTTTATAGTGTTATGCATGACAGATGTTTCCTTTTTATAAGAAATAAAATTAATCATTCCTTGATATGTATAGTCAGTGTACTGGATATTGATCAAGAAAACGAGACTTCTGTTATTATTTATTGCAATATTTATTCTAGTATACCATACATTATATTGTACACTTAATTTTTTATCATACATTCATATATATACTAGGTATTGTAACTGTTATACTATTGTGTTGATAAACATGTGGGACACTTTTACAGGGTGGATTTTAAATTGCGTTTGAGGCGTTGTTTTCGTGTTATTAATTGTTGAAAACACGGGCGAAATACGCGTAAAGTACGTCTGACGCGTCAGGTTAGGTCTATTTGAGAGGCACGTTCTCCAACCATTTCATTAACTTAATTCATTAGTTTCACTTCACAGAATCGACTGTTTGAGTGGTACAACCCATCGCACCAAACATATTTCACGCATATTTCGCCTGTATCTTCAACTATGACTCAGAAACAAAGCCTCAAACGCAGTTTCATCGTTCTTGATTTTGGTCTTAGTTTGACATGTAGAATTCATTCTATGAAAGTGTCTCATATTTTTATTAACGCGCTGTGTATCATTGAAAGTACAGTAAATTATGGATAAGTGTTCAAAGGCTCCTCGGCACTGAGTGTTCAGATGTCATCCCGACAACTGGACACTTGACTGGTTCCATGGGGACCTCCTCATTGGTGGGGATGGCGTCTGAATTCTCAGTGCCGAGGAGTCTTTGAACACTTATCGATGATTGACTGCATTAAGTTTCAACGTTATACAGGATGCGGCAACATTTATGGTACAAGCGAGAACAGGGTGATTACTCAGTGCAAAAATAAGTCGGACGTGTAGAATAAAATGGTTCCGTGAAAATCGAATTTGAAAATTTGTTCAATACGCGTGCACTTGAATTTCCAAGTGAGTTTCTCGAAAACGAAGCCTCGTATGACAACAATTTATTCTACAATTTTAGCTAATTTTTGCACGAGAAATTCACCCTGTTCTTGCTTATACCAGGAATTTTCCCGCATCCTGTATACAATTTTCTGTTGTCAATACAGCATAAATTCGCACTTTATTTATCGACATTCTTTTTAATATCTTATGATTTTAACTTTCACACTGTTTCATTTGATTTTATTTTTGATTTTGCATGGTTTTTTTGTGTCCACTGCACTGCCATGCCTCGTTGGTTGGTAATATGCATGTAGTTATAAATCCGGAAATGGTTATGGAGGTGGAAGCTAGGATGAATAGAGCTTACCTCCCATCACGGCTCTTACCAACTCACCTTAGAGGATCGACACTTCCACATCACAGGAAGACTTCTTTGTACCATACTAGCACTGGTAATTTTTGTGTGGTCATTCGCATTTTTGTATAAATAGAAAATTATATATTCTCGAGTATTACGTATTCACTATTTCACATTGAAATATGTATGCACAATAATATTTCGCATAATTTTGATAATTATACGGTTCAATGCTCTATTTTATTGCTTTTAGTAGGTAACAGAGACTCGTATAAGGAACCAAGCACTCATGTAGCCACAGAAAGATACTCGCCAGTTCGAAGAGCATCGGAAGGTTCTGGTCCAACCGGACCTGGAATTCAGGCACTTCAACAAGAATACCAGCAATTGCAAAGGTTAGCATCTCCATCTCACAGTCCTGCAAGTATACCTGGATCACCTGTACACGAAAGAGGGGTAGCAGCAATCACACAAGGTATAATTTAATTTAAGAATTTTTACGTTTGATACGGGTTATTTAATGTCTTATAACAAATTATATTTATAATCTCTCTTATAGGTTTAAGTGGGCTGACCACAGCAACAGTGCAAGGCAGTATTGTGCATGGTACTCCAACGCAACCACCAGCAACACCATTAGATTTGAGCCCATTAAGGCATCATAGATCACCAGCCACAACACCAGTCAGTTATTCGCCTAGTAATAGCCCAGCTTTGGACATGATTCAGGAAGAACATCCTGTGGAACTACCAAGAGTAAGTAACTTTCAAGTTATTTAAAGGATTCGTAGTATTTTTACATAAAATAGAAACTCTTTTTGTTACATATGTTTTGTTTGCTTTTCTAGGATATACATGTGTTATAAATATATAATCATTTATTTATTGTGTATAGCTGTAAGTAAAGAAGACATATATACAGGAAATATGATTAATTGGTGTTGTTGCGTTGATGCGTATGAAATGTCGTTTCTGTACAGTTTTAAATTTTCCAGTGTAGTTCATGAATATCGAAGAAAAGGAATCTTGGATACAAACAATATTAAAAACTAACACTAGAAATTGAAACATAAGAGTTTATCATACGTCGTAGTTATGCCTTTACTTAGAAGATATTTCGAACAAACCTTCGAAGCCTGAAATAACGAAATTTCATATCCGTTAGCCTAGTACAATAATAAATCTATGATTCATTTGAGACTGTTTCACAAAACTACCTTTTAATCAAATGAAATATTTGTTGTAGGTGCCTCCTCAAATATCTATAACAGATCTCGGAGGACAAGTAACACTTATTAGTTGTTCACCTTCGCCATCTCCATCACCCGATTCACTCGAAGACACGTTACCTCATTACAGTCCTCTTCCCAGCTTCATCATCTCCGAACCGTGCGATCCATCGAGGCCAAGTATCACGCGTGGTATCGGTAGACCATTGAACACATCGATCCCGACAGAAGTCGAAGTCACTTTGTCAGACGAATCAAGTAGATTGAACAGCGAGGCTATATTGGGCCGTGTGAAACAAATCATAGACGCGAGAGCCCCACCGAAGGGATTCATCTTCAACAGAGAAGAAGTAAAAGGTAGCGGGCTTAGTTTAGAATACCCAGGCGGTGTTCAAATCGAACTCAGAGTATGTGAGTCTGAAGAGAAGGAGGTTAAAGGCATTAAAATGCGAAGAATCAGTGGGGACCAATTGCAGTATAGTCAACTTTGTCAACAGCTGATCTCGTGCATTACCGTTTGACGACAGATAGCGTATAATATAATGTTTTCTTATACATTACGTTACATTCCTGGTGCCACATACACCACTCATTACAGTATTGCACACGCATGCTGCATACATACGAGCGGTACATTAAGCATACCATTATTTGTATCGGTACATTCATATGTGTAACATTCAGTGTGCTTCACTTTTGAATGTTTTAATCCTTTCTGTTTTTCCTTTATTTTTAATCGTGTAAATCAAGAAAGAGAAAGAATTACGTTATCTCTTTTGTGCATAATACGAAGGCTAGAGACGGAAATGTTACTACTACCGAATACGTTTAAGGTCTTAAACAACTAGGACCTTAAAAGGTATATATATATATAAAAATATATACGACCCTTGCACAGACAAAACGATGTTCTGCTATTTTTTAAACGATTTAAGTATTAACGAAACAGGACGATTTTCATGAAAGTTTAATCGTAATGTACATCACACACACACACACACACACACACACACACACACATACCATTCCTTTTTGTAGAATGTTTGTCTTCATGTTAGAAGTTACTAGATAGTGAATTCGTAATTTACTGTTTAAATCGTCATCAGGTGCCCTTTTTAGCTTAGGTAATAGGAGAAGCGTCTTTTGTACCGGATTAGATGGCAAAGCATTTTCACGATATATATCTTTCTAATGTAGCCGGGGATCTTTTATATGGGATTTATTATATTTATTCGATCGTCATTGCAAACCATTTTAATTTCATGATGCCTATATATATATTCCATGTTTGTAAATATGTACTACTTTGGATCGAAACAGTGATCATGCAATCTTTCTGTTTTCTTTTTACGTTGATTGGGACTAGAAGTATTGCCTTCTTGTTTCTGGTACAAATACCATTTTGTTGAATAATTTAATTTTTAATAGTTAGGAACAACGTATACATAATCTTTCATATGTAGCGCAAACACATTATCGTTCTTTGTAGTTCAAAAACTATACAGACTGAGTTACGATTGTGTATCTTTCTTTTTTAAAAAAGTTGTTGCATTGTGTTTGTCGCAATATATCAGCGAATGGAATTCGTTTGATAATTTCACTTTCACCGGTTTTTCGAATTCTTTAGACCAAGAAGCGTGGTCGGTATAAGAAAAGTGTAGGAACTTTTCATTTGTCGCTGTTTAAAAAGGAAAGTATACAACCTAGCTCTGCTCGTGTAACCAAAGAGTTGAGTTGGTTTTATTAAAAAACAAAAAAACAAAAAGAAGATAATATGCATCCAATAGTAATTGCTAGTTAACGCAAAGTGAAATTGTAACTAGGCTGGCACATATTCTTATTATTACGTTACAATGGTTAGATAAAAGACATTATATTAGTGTCGCGTATAGAAGAAATAGAGGATTTAATTCACATAATGTAAACAAGATATTTTTCTAAATTTACTTGTTTGTGAAGTAAGCAGAAGGAGATATATAAAGAAATGATTTTTTATCTGTGGTGCAAGTGACAATGTGCAGTTTGCAGAATACAACTTATGCATACACCTCTTTTTAGTGCTCGTGGCCATTCTTTTTTTAAGAAAAAATTTTATTACACCAACAATTTGTTCTTTTTACATCTCCAAAGGTTACCAATTATATTCAACTATAATTGATTTTCTACAATGTGTACAATGATATAATTAAAAAATAGTAAACACTCTACGTATAAGGTGTATTCTGTAAAGAAGATTTCAAGGCGCAGTGTACTTGTACCGGTACATTTTTTGTTAAGAGTATTTCAACTTTGATTATGGGTTAAATTGACTTCTGTCGAAGTAATGGTACTTCTACAAATATGTAAATAACAAAATTCAGTGTAAATACATGATACCGTACTATTTAGAGATCTCTGAGACGAATATTATGCAGGCTATTCTATTTGAGCTAACTATTTTGAATACTCTAATTCATTGGATCTTTGTTAACACGTGAATATCCTTAACAATATATATATTTTATTATACATTTTCCTATAGAAATTGTGTATATACTGGCTATGTATTTACATATTGTAATGTGGTCTGTAAAAGAGAACCGAAGGTGTGTTTACATTATTTAAATCAAAACGTAAATGAATTTACGTGTTTTCTAATCGCACGAACAAGTTGTTTTATTAGTTAGCCAAGTTAGAGTAGCCTTTTCAAATAATGTAATGCCCAATTTCCATCATTTGTACCACAATTAATCGTATGTTAACTAATTTATAATTTTTATTGTTACTTTTGGATATTTTTTTAGCTATGATTCCAATATTCGTGCATATGCATTTTTCTTAGGACCATGATGAATATATGCCAATGCATATTGTAATATATTTTAGCAATTTTTTGAAGATTATTCAAATTGTAATAGAAAGAAGGTTTGTATTAATATGAATGGTATATTCCATTATAGATCACTGTAGGATATATATTGTTTTTGGATATTTTATAGTATCTTAGGAACATATCTACTGGTAGTACTAAGTATTCTAGTTAGAGAAGTTCTTTGTGTAAGAATATCCTAAAACAATAATTTATTTCCATGTAAGATTTATTCTTTTTAATTATACTGGAGTCGTTTGTACATGTCTTATACTGATACGAAATTTTATGGTATGTTTCATACATAAAAATATTGTATTATGAACCAAAAATTCTATATCGATGGAAATTGGGTAAGCAGTGCTATCAATTACGCACAACACAGTGCATACCTATGGAAAGTGTAGATCAAGATTAATCCAAGTTATTGTACATAGCACACTATACATAATTCATCATTTAGAATACATACAGCGTGTATGTATGCAGAAACAAACTATGTACATTGTAAACATCTGCTATATGGATAGGATACAGATAGTATTTTCTGCTGTCAATTCTTCAACTAAGACTGTGATTTTTAAATATACTAATGGCTAGGTAGATACAATACATATTGATTTAATATGATAAAATAAAAATAAAAGAAATATTCAAGGAATAGGCGTGTTTAATGTTTCTATTTGGTATATGCTATCTCAGGGGCACAAAACAAGTACCTCTTGTTATCATTTTAAATAATGTGCCATGTAATAAGTCCCTTACAGCAAGAAATTGCTGTTGCTAATCTTAAATTTTACAAAACATCAATTTTTTTACTTCCAATTATAGAAGAAAAATTGAAGTAAATTGAAGTTTATTAAGAGGACTAATATAAAATTGTGCAATAAATCTCACAACAATAGTTATTAATTGTTGTTTATTTCAAATTATAATTGACAATGGTTTTTTAGTTAAAGAATTTCTTAGAAAATATCTTAATACTATCTCGAATATGTTAATAAAATAAGATATTCCGTATTTCATCTTCAAAAATTTGTAAAATGGTTACTCTTCTTCATGAAAACAGTTCCGGTAGGAGGCATCGATTTAATCGGCTAATTCATATCGGTTCGATGTAAATAAACTAACATAAACAAGTGTCTTTTTACTATATTCGAAATTATTTAATTATACACGCCGCAAATAAGTATAGTGAAAAGAAATCTATAGAATTAGTGCAATACGGGATGTTGAAACATTTTTACGTAGTTTAAAGCTGAAGAAATTTCAAAACAACTGCCAGGTAGGAGTATGTCCCGTTAGGATAATATATTAAATCATTTGTAAAATGCAACCGATTTGATTGTTCGTTAATAAAACATGTTTTTAATAAGTTGTATTGCTTTATATATATATTTAAAACAGAAATATTTAACCTTCATGTTATTTTATCAACATAACCTATTCTTTAAATGTTATATATATATAATTTATGATTAAATAATACCTTATTTTCGCTGTATTTTTTATGTAGTATCAGAAAAGTATAGTTTCATTATTAGATTACAGATGCATATACAAATGTATATTTATGAACGAAAATGTCTTTACTGCATTAAGATTTTCATGAGTTTCTCTCTCTCTCTCTCTCTCTCTCTATATATATATATAAATTAAATAAATATCTCATTAAACTTTATCAAAATCTCATTAAACAAATTAAATACACTAAATTTGTAATCTAATCATTATTCACTCTGTACAGAATGGAAATAATTGAGCTTGTCTCAGATGATGAAGCTACAGAAGATAATATGAAGAAGAATAGAAGTTCTAAAATTTGTAACAGTAATTGCATAAATTTCCAATGTTCTTCTGGATTGGAGATGAGGTCAGCCCCTTCATTTGCATGTGCTTTTTATGGTGTAAACACAGAAAAAAAGAAGGAACGTATGATATGTAAAATGTGTTTCAATGCATCATTAGACCATCAAAAGGTATAATTTTAAATAGTATAGTTTTACTATTATAATGTAGTATTGTATTAGCAATAAATTTGATTTAATATTTATACCATTATATTAATGTTCATAGAAATTAGTCACAGCTTTAGTAGATCGAAAACCATTATTAAAATGTGAATTTCCGGATCATACAATGGAAGTGGAAATATCTGATAGCGATGATTCAGATGATGAAAAAAAGAAAGATGTACAAAATGAAGGTAAAGGCAAGAAATTTTATTATCATAAATCCAAATCTAATGTCCATTTAAGATATTGATTCATGTTGCACTTTATTGCAGATAAATATTTGCCGGAAGAGATGCTTGAAGATGTAGAAAAAATGTTAGATAGTACCTTAAAAAATATTATTACAAAATATGATGTAGACTATCAAATCAAGGAATCCCATGATATACTAAAAGAACAATGGGATAAAATAAGTGGTACACTATTATTTTGCAGAATATATGTTCACATATGTTTATTATACATGTATAAGATCATAAAATATACTTTTTTGGAACAGAAGAGAATGCTGTTTCGGACAAAACAATTAAAGATTTAATGCGTACCATGGATACATTACGTAACAATTTATACAACGAATTCAGACCACAAATTCAAATGCTACAAGAGCTTCAAATCGATGATGGAATAACTGATAACACTTTGTATCCATTGGTAGCAACAAAAAAAGTTACGCAAGTACGAGTACCAATTGTAATACCGCAAGACAGTCAACCAGAAATTTTACCTATCGAGCAAGACAACAGGCAAGTTGTGTCTGTAGATTTACCTCCAGCTGGTCCACTCGTGAAGCGCCAAATAGACGTAGACAGCGTTGTATATATTATGAAGCATCCACTTATGCCATGGATTAAAGCGAAGGTTGATAAACCGAATTTTATTTCAATTTTTTCACAATAGTTTTATATTTACATTTAACTAATGTTTTACTTGATGCTTGCCAGGTGCAAACAATAGTTTCCAAGAATCCATTGCATTGTCGCGTGAGGTTACTGCAGAAGAAGTACAATGCAGTTATAAAGTCCATTTTTGGTAAGCAAATTGCTGCTACTGTAACTAGTCAAGTGATCATTCCAGTCGGCACTAGAGTGGTCGCAGTCTTTCGAGATGTTACATCTAGTAACTTTTACAGTGGTGTAATAGCCGAGCCACCAAAAGCCACAAACAAATACAGGTATATTTTTTTATTGTGAAACATAAGATTTTACATATTAAATTTATTTCTGCTTTTTAAATTAGATATTTGATATTCTTCGATGATGGATATGCTCAGTATGTCGAGCACAGGCACATCTATTTAGTTGCTGAATCTTCTTCCAAGGTTTGGGAAGATATACCTAATGAATCTCGAGAGTTTGTGAAAAAATACATTGAGACGTATCCTGAAAGACCAATGGTGAAACTTCAAACTGGACAAGTGGTGAAAACAGAATGGAATGGAAAATGGTGGATTGCCAGAGTGGTACAGGTCGATGCAAGCTTAGTGCAGATGCATTTCGATGCTGATGGAAGAACAGAATGGATTTATAGAGGTTCCGCGAGATTAGGTCCTTTGTATCTTGAACTTTTAAAAGCCAATGCCAGACAACAAGGACATCATGCTTCTGTGAATACCCCAACTAGACACAGACTTCCTGCTATCACTAGTGTACGTTCACCGATTAATAAGACCATGCGTCGCATATTTTATTTTCATAAAGTCCAATTACTAATAACAAATTTATTAATATTTCAGAAAAATAATTTACCTTACGTAGAATATACATCTAATGTAGAACCAGAAGAAGAAAGAATTCCCGAGACAGAAAAGATACAGAGTCCTGCGGTAAGTGAAAGCACAAACGTGACTACACCGAGTGCACCGCAACAGGCGCGTGCTGTTGCTAGGAAAAGCACAAGTAAAAAGCCGAATGTCGTAGATACAAATTCGTACACTCCGACCACGGAAACAAAACCTTCGCATAGCATAGTTGTAAGTATATGAAATCAAAAGGTTGATGTAAATCAACGAAATTGATGATGAATGCTATGTTTTCTTTCTTATAGTATTATCAAACACAGAATAAGATTCAGACAAAGAAATTCGTTCCGCATAAATGTGGTCCTCAGTGCGTTCAGGGTATATCCTTTACACCTGACGATCTGAGAGGGTACTCGCCTCTCTCGATACCATTGCTCTGTGGTTGGAATCGACAACTTTGTAAATATCCCAAAGGCAAAAAAATCACATTGTATCAAGCACCATGCGGTGTAAGGCTACGGAACATGGAAGAATTGCATCAGTACCTTCGCAAAACCGGTAGTCCGATGTCTGTTGATTTATTTGACTTCGACTATTGGGTACATTGTCTGGCGGAGTTTGTTTTAGATAAATGTTTCATTAATATAAAGGTAAAGGCAGGCGATAAGATTAGTAAATTCAGTTAACACGTTCCTTGTCGTATTGATTTTCACTGATTTGATAAAACAGATCTATGCACCATGCGAGGTGTTATAGATTCCTGACCTGTGATAAATGCTCTGAAATATGGTATCTACGCATCAGATAACGATTTTACGAAATAATATATTATGTTACATTTAACAGCAAAAACAAATTGTACGGAAAGTCAGTATGGAGTGTACACGAGCACCGTGGCAGAGAACGTGTTAATGGCTTATATTTCGTGACTAAATCATGTATTGAATTTTCAAGGATCTTAGTTATGGGGTCGAGAATGTACCAATACCATGCGTCAATGAACTAGATCACACTCAACCAGATACTATTCGTTATAGTACACAAAGGGAACCAACAGAAGGCGTTAATCTTAATTTAGATCCAAATTTCTTATGCAGTTGCGATTGCGAAGATGATTGCCAGGTATGTTGATTACGTTTAACTAGAACTTCTACACCGACGAGCAAACTCGGCTTGCTTGCACTTGACAAATTTAATTTACGTACTGAAATAAATGTTAAATCGGATGTTAATTTGACATAAATTTCACTAATTTCCGAAACCAAGTGACGTAGGGGAAGGGCATCCTACCATGCTCCTACCACTTGGCATTGGGAATTACTGAAATTTATGTCAAAGTAACATTCGGTTTAACATTTATTTCAATACCTGGAATAAATTTACCAAGCGGTAAGAGGCCCTTACTCTTACGCCGCTTTTTCCCCTAGTGGAAGCCGAGTTTGCTCGTGAGGATACTTTTATTTAAGACATTTCAATATTGTACAGGACAAAACAAAATGTCAGTGCTGGCAACTAACGATACAAGGTGCGAAAGGAGGGAGAGTACCAAGCACTTGTGTTGGTTACGTGTACAAACGTTTACCAGAACCAGTCACTACTGGAATCTACGAATGTAATTCAGGATGTAAATGTGCTATAAAAACATGTTTGAATAGGGTAGTGCAACATCCGTTAACGTTAAAGTTACAAGTATTCAAAACAGCACCGCGTGGGTGGGGCATAAGGTGCTTAAATGATATTCCTCTAGGATCATTTATTTGTATTTATGCTGGTAGATTACTTACGGAACAGGTGACTAGAAAAGTTTACCAATAAAACCTTACTACTATGATAATGTTCACATAAACAAGAATTTAATCTTAATGGGTATATTGTAGGGAGCCAACGAAGGCGGTAAAAACTACGGAGACGAATATTTAGCTGAATTGGATTACGTAGAAGTCGTAGAAACTATGAAGGAAGGCTATGAAAGCGACGTTCTTGAACCTGAGATGGTATTGTCTACTCCGGAAGATAAAAAAAAGTGCCTGTCTAGCGACGATGATGATCATTCAAGAACAAATACGAATGATTCGGACGAGGACTTCGATATTAGCAAATATGCAAATTTCAATGTAGATTCTTCAGATCCTACCTCTATTAGGTAAATAAGAAAGAAGTAATTATTATTTACTAAAATGTAATGTAATGTCAGTGGTCTAATTCTTAAAATGACGATTTCCATTCAGAAAACGACTTAGAAAACGAAAACGAGAAGAAATTAACGTTCAGGATGGATCTGAGGACAACAGCGAAGACGGAATTAGTACGAAAAATTCCGATACTCTCTCAAAGTCAGCTAACGAAAGTCGTTCGAATGATCAAGAGGCGATCACAATAAGCGATGAAGAAGAAAATCGAAGCGGTAGGCGTGAGCCAAGTAGATTTGACCCTACGGTTGAGCCAGCACAATTAGAAAGGCCGAAATTTAAATCGGTGAGAGATTACTTCGGAGAGGATGAGGCTGTTTATATAATGGATGCCAAAACAACAGGAAATATTGGACGTTATTTAAATGTGCGTAAAATATATATAATTTATTTCTTAGTGATGCATGGTCGAGGGGTTAATTACTATGTAATTCAGTTGAAATTAAGGGAAGCCTAAATTTCAAAAATGATGGTGGAATATAGAGGAGTATTTGATACATAGATGTCTCCAACAGTACTGCCGAGTATAGCAATGTTTTAATTTAAAAAAGGACATGTTATCTCCTCTAACAAGAATTACTATCGGATAATTTACCTTAATTACTGTACGTGAACATTATTTCTCCTATGTCTTCTTTGCTGCTCATAATTGGATAACTTGCAGCCTAAATGATAAGAATCACAGTTGGAGTAGAGTATAATAACATGTATGTACGTGAGTAATAAGAATTTATTTCTTTGATGATTTCAGCATTCGTGTGATCCGAACGTTTTTGTTCAAAATGTATTCGTTGACACACATGATGTGAGATTTCCATGGGTGGCATTTTTTGCTCTAAATTACATACGAGCAGGGCAAGAATTAACGTGGAACTATAGTTACGATGTTGGGAGTATACCGGGAAAAGTTATTATATGTAAGTGTGGTGCATCTAACTGTAGAGGCCGACTTTTGTAATGTATAAAGGTACTTGATATAAGAATAATAAAATTAGGATCTTCAAATGTAGATTTATCTTTTTTTAAAAAAAAAACATTCTACAGTAGTAAATTGCACGACAGATCGGGTAAAGTACATTGTTTATTATTAAAAGAAGCGCTTCCACGTAATCACTTTCCATTAATTGCAGTTTATTTCTGAACATGCATGAAAACATTTTTTAAATGTATCTTTCTGTTTTAATCTTGCGAGCAGAAAATTTATGCAGACTATGTTCGTATTTTTTATCGTATTTATTATTCATTAAAATATAAGCTAGTTTACAAAATAAAGTGGACCTGTCACGTAGAATAAACTGTATTGCATTTTACAAATTGTAATATTTCTTCCTGAGGTGATTTTAATATGCTATTACAATACACTTTTTATAGTTCTAAAGAATGTAAAATCTCTGGAAGGATATATGTGTACATATTTTATGACTATCAAAAGTAATACAGTCTTTGCACTTTTGATAATTGACATTGGGTAATTAAATTTTGACACATAGTATGAGAAGACTTCAATCAATATTTTGAAAGTTCTATTAACATATTGTAATTGATATTAAATAATAAATAAATGATAAATATGGGTTTAATAATAAAATACAACTTGTATACATAACAATGATGCCTTGGCTTATTATTTTTGATTATTGTACACCTTTTAAAACCTTTTGAGACATGTCAAGTAATTAGTACCATAAAGATAGCTCTTTAATCTCATTCTATAATTTATACATGTCTTTCTTTGAACTCAGTTAAATTATGTATGTATATATCTCGAATAGAGCATTCAGTATTTCGTATATATATTTATAGATCTTTCTCGCAAAAATATTAAAATTAAACGAAAATTATTGTTTTGATAGTAGTTTACAAAAAAAAATGTATCAAAGGAATTCGTAACATTTATAAATTAATAACAAATATTTAAAATACAATGCTGCACCTTACAAATGTATCAAAATATCTTCTGCCTATATGTGATTACACGCTTTAAAAAATAAATTTGTTCTTGTGGTTAGCTTTGTAAAAAAGAAGATTGGTATGATGCACTACTTTAAAGCTGGAATTATACATATTTTGGAATCTCTATGAATAACCTTGTTAAGAATATGAGTTCATGATTATATGCTCCAAATGTGCAATATATTATTATAAACCTACGTTTGTGTACCTATATTCTTTTAATTTAAAGTGCATAAATATGATAGTTTAGTCATATGCAAGAAAATGAAGAGAAAGCAATGGTGATACTCCTATGAGGAACATTAAGATACTAAAATAACAAAATTATCGCTCTGTGGACTGTTTGGCTTTGTGCTAGTGAAGTTTAAGCAACTGTTTAATCTCATCTTTTTCGGCAGCATCCAAATAATTGGTTCCGTCTGGAGTTAGACCATCTGGCTTTGCTCCCTTTTCTAATAATAATTTTACGCAATTTGTATGTCCCTCCCAGATTGCTGCTAATAATGTTGTTATACCATGCTTGTCTATAGCCTATAAACAAACACGTTACAATTATCTCATTGGAAAATATTGTACATATCATTTTTAAGTCATGTAAATTTTTTGCATTTGTCATTTAAATATTACATCCTATTTGTAAATTGTATCTATGTGACACATCAATAGTATCTTTATGCTTATGGTAAAAAAAATTAGATGGCTACCAAGGTTTACTTCTGCAGTTATGTCTATAGTTCATTTAATGTATTTAACACAAGCATTCTTAGTCTCTGTTTAAAAATAAGGGTTTAAAATTTTTAAATATATTCACATTTGCATTCGCACCCTTCTCCAAAAGGTATCTGACAACGTCATTCTGGCCATAATCAGCTGCATAATGTAGCGGTGTCCTTCCATCAATCATTTGATTAACGTCAATATTCTATTAACAGAAATATGTTCGTAAGATTTAACTGGATTTTGTAATAAACAAGAAAATATAAATCATTTTTAATAATTAGATCACGTACTTCAGGCGTTTATCATGCATTTAAGTAAGCAAAAGCACAATGAAAGACAACTTTTAATTGACGTTTAAAAATGTTTTTATTTTATCTGTAATAAATTTACATCGTTACTAGGAGAAACAATTTTTTAATTACTTCCTGTTTTTCTGAATTGATCCGAAAAAATCTGAATATGCATAAATATCAGCAGACTAATAACAACAAATTCCAAGACATACATCATTATGACGTTTCTGATTAACCGACAATCAAAAAAAGCTACAGGAAAAACGAGGTTTAACTTATTTTATATTTGCCTTATTCTCAACGATATCCCGCACTTGCTCCAAATCACCATTTTTTATAGCCCAAACGAGTTCACTCATTTTCGTTCCGGGTTACTAAGAGAATTGATTGGAATACACAGCCTCTCGGACGTCCACGTTTATTCCAATCACTTCACCCTCGCACTCACGTCCATTAAATTTGGTTAAATAGCAAATTTCACTGGAATAATTTTAAAGCGCTGCCAACATATGTGATGAGAAAACGAAATCTCGTAACTGCGCGGCCACAGATAGGGTAAGCCACGATGAAAATAATTGTCCACCCCACTCCAGCCACCTATAGATTACGAACCGAAACAAGACTCTTTCTTATGTTGTGATATTCAATGGTCAAGAGAGAAAGAGCAACAGCAGCTGCAGTGGGGGCATTGCATACGTGCAATTGCGTGCAATATCCTTTCTCCTCATCGCCTTCTAGCTGCTCCAGACGCTTTTTCTCCTCCCTCTGTGATGTGTAAATGAGAGAATACTACTTTTGGACTATTTCTGTTCTTTGATGTCGGCTACACCAATTTCACTTCTTCCGTAAGAGCGCGCATATAAGTTTATGGTTCGTAACGTCACGTTCAAATACAGCATTCGACGCGTTTTATACATTTCCAAGTGTTGAACTCCTATAAGAGTTCGAACTTTAGTATAAACTTGCAAAAGCTTTTTTGGGTTCCGACATTGTTCGAATTATTTATCATACGTATATCTTCAAAGATTTTTGAACCAACTGCGTATCTATTACCAAAAGTCAATCGTTTGGCGCGGCGCTGTGAAGGGACCATAGGCCATGATCATTTTAGAGAGAACACTCTTTTCGGCCTATGACTTTCAGCTAGTCAGAATGTGGTGGACCATTGTTTTAACTGCTGATGCACCAACATCAAGTACTGCAATAATTTCTTAGAAATATTTAGATTAGATTAACCGTCAAAGTAAAAACTTATTAAGTAACTAAGGGCTGAGAATCCTATCTATGTTTAACAGGATTTTTTCTAGTCATGTAACGGAATCGTGACGACGTCATCGAAGAGACTTTTGAGCTTCTTCAACAGTGTCAAAATCAAATTGGTGTAATTTTATATATTAATATGGTGTGTTTAATATTTCCTTGACAATTTCAGAAATTACAACCAGTATGGAAATAAACTTTCTAAGTGTTGTATAAATTACTAAATATCATTCGGAATATGTTTCATTTTGTAAGATATTTCATTTCAACATTATTTAACGTTAATGTGAGTTTTCAAAAACACTACTTATATCTCTATACAACAATAAAAATAAAATATTAATAAAAATATAAATTCTTGATCTTTCTCATGAAGGATATCACGGGATCTGAGATTTATTGACGTAAATATGTGTCTTAAGAGACTGACATACATATTGCAAAAATAATGTTTTTTTCAGGATACATTCATGTTTAACCAGAACAATATCTATGATATCAGAAGATATACGTATCTATATCTATTCTTGAGAATTCCAGTTTAACGAAGCAAATTTATCGTTTATCAGCATTCGTTGAATTTAAATTCGAATTTGACCGTTAATATTTTAATTCGGATTTGAATTCAAAAGTTATTTAAATTCGAAATTCATATCGTTCCTCGGAGGACTGTTTCATTATCCATAAAAATGATTTCAAGTTCTATGAAATTAAGAAGGGTACGAAAGATAAGGAAACTAGTATTGAATTAAATAGGCATTAATTTAATTACATATAATTACAATCACACATGTTTTTTTACATTACATACATAGAGCTTTTTCTACTTCCAGGAAAGAAAAGGAGAATTAGTAACTCTACGGGACGAGACGGTTACAGCTGGAATCAAGAACGGACGGTGTGCATCTGAATCTCATTTCCGGGACTAGGACACTGTATAGACACGATACTGCGAGGACGACACCGTTAACCCTACGATTAATCGTGTGCCGTTGCATTCGTTCGAATATTTCTGACACTTTTCGCTGTGTTTTGATATCGATCGTAAAACAAAGTATGGAAGTACATACAGAATTCTATAGTATACAACATGATCATGGTCTTGCGTAAAATCGAATCGCGTCGAAGGGTAACAGGAAAGTTGCGATGTGGCCTCCTCGTGACGAAACGGACGGTGATATCGAGGCGCGACGACGAACCTGGCGTTCATTTTCGGGCACAGAGCTATGCATTTCTGTCTTAATATGTACTTTTCTCGTAATCTCTTATAAATTTCGTTATCCTTTATTTACAAATTCTGCGCGATTAATTGTTTATTTCCATCTTACTCTCTGTACATATGTTCGAACATTTTTTTCTCTTTTAATTTTTCAACCATTTCTTCTGACTACTGTTAAATACATTGTAATACACGTTACAGTAATCTTTGATAGGAAATACTGCAGGTATCGGTCACTTCCGGTCACAGGAGAAACTGATGTTACTCGAATTAAAAACAAAGACAAGTGAGAGAAAGTGTCCTTATCGGAATTAACGAATACTTCTGTTATTTGGTTGATTGTTTCTGTGTTTCTAGAGGCCACATCGTATAGCTCGGAGCTTTTAAGCCTTCGTGGGTGCGGCTTCCGGTGACTTTTCGATCTCCACGATCTCCGTGGGCGGTGGCAGGGTCGGGATGTCCGGGTACTCGAGCTTTGCTCCTTCCTCGCAGTCGAAAATCGGGCAACAGTCGGGGAACGGAGCGGTCTTGTTGGTCTTCTCGGAGAGCTTGCATTTCGGGTTGGCCTTCGGCAGCGGTCCGCAGTCCTCCACAAGTTCGAACAGACGGCCAGAGTTGTCGTCGGCCGGCACGCAGGTCGAACGACCGCAGAACGGTGTCAGGTCCCACGATTTGGTTGGTTCGATGGTGGCGCATTTCGTCGAGGCGAAACACATGCCCGGGAAATCTACAAAAAGACACGAAAGTACATGTTCTCTTGTTCCATTGATTGCATCTTTTTACTCATCATTAGACTGTCGATGTTTATGCATTTATAGTACTTTTTAATTTGGAAAATATAATGAAACAAATGTTTTAATACATTTTAATGCTATTTATACATGTGAAGTCTTTAGTACAGATTTTAGAATTCTACTTTGTTTTAATTTGTAAGTATTAGCATCTGAAATTGTGAATTGACATAAACATCCGCAGTTTACTCTTCGTATTGTTATCCGCATTCTTTTGTATTTTTTGTAATATTGTATAGGGCCTCCTGTACTCTTGGCGGAAGACAGACGGAGACGAAATACCTATTCCTCGTGAATCGAACGAAACGTGATTGGTGGTAGATAGCTGGTGGAAATAATGCGTCATATAAAAAGTTCTCGAAATGTAGTGGAAAAACAACATAATGTCGTTTTAAAATTATCTACAGATTTGGTAATGTCTGAATTCCTTAACAAACTGTTTTCAAACAGTCTGCAAGTATTATAATCTTATAGAAATATATACATATAGTTATCACATTACGTAAACAATCAAGAACTATTAAATACATCCTAACGTTATTGTAGATTCATCGTTGACAGCTCATAGATCACGAAATTACATAAAATCTATTACATAAGGAAGGTGTCGTATTGATACATTGCATTGACTGGAACATTAGATTCTCTTACGCAATACGATAGTATTTTATGCATCGAGAAGCATAGCCAAAGCCGATAGAGCCTTTCTTTCTGGAGAAAGGTGTCCCCATACACACTACCAGCTAAAAGTATAGGACCAAGTCTGACAATTAAACAAACATAAAAAACTTATTCTACAAAGCTATGATGAAAGTGATTGGAAATGATTTGTATATTTACTGAGTCCGTAACTTTTATTATGTTATAACAGAATAATGAGTTACTGTTCAATGAGGAACTTTGGTCCCATATTTGTAGCCGGTAGTGTATATCGTCCACGTCGCCTCGTGAATCTCGTGATGCTCATATCCTCGACCCGGAAGGAAGATCGCGGAATTCAGAGTCGAGTTCTCGAACGGATCACCCCTGATAACCAGTTGTGTACAAGTTACGAGCAAATTGCTAGCAATAAATAACAAAAGTTGTCTAAAAAACCATAGCCATCTGGTGGTAACCATATTTACCAACAAAATGGTAAAGCAAATTGGCAGAAAGTCTTGCAACATAATCTATGTCACATTGAGGGCAACACCGGAACAAGGTTTGCGTAAGCGAATTTGGCTGCATATGTTGCTGCCAATGTTCATCAAAATTGTAGCCATAATTTTATAACAGGCATTGCAGAAAATTTGGTTTTGCAGGTTTGGCTGACTAGGACTAGCTATGGAACGCGCGAATCGATTTCACCCGAAAATCGCTTGGCATCCCGGTGTCGAATTTTCATCGTATGTGACGTAAAAAGGTAAAAGCCTATTTTATACGTGCAACGGCTTGCGCAGGTGTGTTTTCTTTAGTAATACTGTCATCGGTGTGCGCACGACGCGTGGACGAGTGCATTGTCCACATAGTTACAGAGACGGGGACCCGTGAAAGGTGTCGTGACTTTCTAATGCACACGTGTGCGCGCCTGAGCGAAACTGCTTTAACGAGTCATCCGTCATGCCTTCTGACGTCTCGCTGTGTGGACTCAGCGACAGCAAAAAGGAACTCCACCGTGACGCGTTCTGACGCGTTGCCGAAACCACAAGGAGAAACACTTTCACTGTCACTACAGGCTGCTAGTTATGTAATTATCGCGATACCTGACCGTAGTAGTCGTCATGCCTCGAGCGCTTTGTATCTCTGCGGTCCCAAATTTGGAAGCTGTTTTGTCATGACTAGATTGCGGATTTTTATGCGAATATCAATTTTAAAGATTTATTTATGGAAGCCAGAAGCAAACAGACATTTCTTTACTACATTAAAGGCTCTATCAATTCCCATATAAAATGAAAACTCCACTCAAACTGATTAGACTTTTTGTGATACTGAATTTTAGACAATTGGGATCGCTATAAATGTATAAACATCCGCAGTCTAGTAATGACATTATTCGATTGCCTGAAAGTCATTCGTGTATTTTCATTTAAGATGCTACGGGAAGATTCAATGTGGCGGACGAGAGCCCTGGAAGCCTAACTGATCGGATCTATGAAATAAAGAGTAAGTACCCTACGTCCTATGCGTTTACAATGTGCATAATTGTGCGGAATAAAATATAATTATAATTTTTATTACAGTTTAAGAAGATATATGTGATGTTTTCCATCTTACGGGAGTCGTTTGCTGAGCTTCATATCAGAACCGGAAGGTGAGTGTCTACATTTTATAAATTCTCATATGCCACGCGTGTTGAGCGTTCCCAGTGTAGGTGAAGTATGAATATTTACGAATATATATATACAATCTTGATATGAATAAGAAGTAAGGATAAATTGGTAAGCATAAAGAAGAAGAATGAAAGAGGTGGCGATCGGAAATGGGGAGAGCAACACAGCGTGTGACCATAACAACGCTCGCCGTCTTCTACGAACGCGATTTTATTTAAATAATGACGTGTCTGTTACCGTTTTTCTCAATGCCACCGTTCACGTCGAAGGTTTCACGAGCTGGGCGTTTACGCCAACGCTAAAGGCGCCCGTTGTTTTATATAGCAGCCGGTTCTGGCGTGACATCTGGATCACAAGAAAGTGGATCAAGTGGGTCCTGTGTCGGGCGATCGGTTCGAGACGGTCGAACATTCGAGACGGTCGTACAATTCGAATATTTAAAAGCGCCACCGATTTCTCAAGTGGCAGAGAAAAACTCGTTAAACATTTATTAAACCTTTCGCTGCACAGACACTTTAGACAATTGTGTGTACTCTATTAATACTTTGCTGACAGGAGGGTTTTTGTGTTTGCAAATATACAATATAAAGTGTTCTAAAAATATTTACGAACTACTATTTATTATTTACTACTGATTATTCGTATTTTGGGCGCTCGATATTGTATATATCGATATAGTTGCAAAGCAGGACACTTTGTAAATGGAACGTTTAATGTTTACGAAACATCTGTGTGCATCGAGAATCATCTCTCACGGCTCGCCCCGTCACCGTGATCCGCCATTTTGAGAGCAAAGTTTCACTTTCACTTTCATCGAATTTTTACGTCTCTAAATCTACAGTTACTTCATAAGGTTCTCGCTATCGAATGCTAATTAATCGGCAAAAATGCAAAACACGATCGGTAGAGAGGATCTTTCTAGAACTCGTGAAACCAGACACGCTGGAGAAAGGGACGGTTTAGCTTCACGGTTCGTCTGTCCGGTAATTTCGTTAATGACGTCGTAAAATCAACGATAGGAAGAAAACCTACGATCTTCTAACACGGTAAAAGGCGGTAATGTCGAAATCGGTTAAAGACGCTTGTTTTCTTTATGTTTTTGTTACCAAAAGAATGTGTACATATTGTACACCGGTGAATTTCTATGAGCATAAAAATGGCCGCCGGCCAAATGAATCGTGATCCACGCGGAACAGTTACTCGGGACGGAAACCGTTTAAGGAAACGGGGAAACACGTTTTATGACGATCTTCTACCACTTTCACCGACATTAAGTCTCGTCTGCTCTTAAGGGTCAGCTTTCGTGCCGTTGGATACAATGTTACAAGTCTGTTCACTCCACTCCTTTTGCGAGGAAAAAAGAAGTCCCTAACAATATGAGTTCCCAGCATCCAAAACGTCCACGATCTGCCATCTTTATGACGCCAACAATCTTCCTTAAAATAATTTGTCCTTTCAAAAATCGGGCTTCTTCTAAAATTCTATGGATTCAATAGAAAATCAGATATTTCTTTAATAGATAGAAGATCTCGAGAGAACTCTACCACTTTTGCGTGCGATTCTTTTTTTTAAATTTTTCCATAGAATTCTTATGCTTCCCGATCGATTGCATTAGTCAACGACGAAACGATCACAAATGTTGATCATCGAAAGCTTTCTACTTTCACGTTAATTACACGCATTACTAAATACACAGTCAGAACATTTTTCAAAAGTCTGATATTCATCCAAATAATCGCGATCTGGTCTGTTCGATAAAGGGGACGTTCACCTTCGCGTTTATGAGAATTTTATTTAATTACAAAAGAAGAGACACACGATCGAGGACTTTCCTTACGAGTGCGCGAAATTTCGCAACCGCGAACGAATCTCGTTACATTCAGCGCGCGTACTAATGGCGTGTCCTCAACGTGTCCGAGGCACGCGACAACATACATAAATGTCCGTAAACGCCGTATTCGGACCCCCCGAGGGGGCAACTAGGCTGATTCGATTATTCATCGGAATCCAGGCTCGCGGTGAGAATTACGGGGTATCTGGGCCATGGTGCCCCTCTTCGAGAACCTATCGTGGTTGAACCAGAATCGGCAAGGACACTCCTAAGAACCTTGATCGACTAATTCATCGACGAGCAATGGTCCCAACGTCACGGAATCTAGGAACGTGTCCTGGTATCGATAATTGCCCGAGACAACTGTGATACTCTACCGTACACCAGGGGACTTGACAATGAGTTTTGAGGCGAGCCCTATTCGATCAAGATTTCCACGGGCTTGGTCACTGCAATGATAGAATCGGTTGGGAGACAAGAGAGCGCGACTAACCGATTTTTCGAATAAATAGAACACTCACTTCTTGCCATATTTGTTGGATGACCAACCTAGGTAGCTATTGACTTTGATTCTTTTACTGCGACCGTATTGTTCTGTTCTAAACAACTTAGTCACCCTTATTTTACCCAGTTTCCGAACTTCTACTTATTTATTCTGTACTAAGACCCACATACATCTTCTCCCTACCGACCCGAAATAGCATCACTGATGATTCATTAGCAATACCTCAATTATGTCGTACAATATACTTCAGTCGTGTCTGTATGCAAGTTTATTGTTGTTAACTTTGCGGTATCCGAGATATATTTATTATATTATTATTTGTATCGTATGTTTTCAACATATTGATCTTCATACTTTGAAAACCAAAAATAAATGTATACTCAAACTCCTCTCGATTATCGTCCCGAACTCGGGTTTGCGCCGGGACAATAATCTTGTAGGGAGAAATGCTTAAGACCCTCGTAAATTCCTTTTTTTGCCCGAAGCTCGAGCCTTGGCACAAAAGTGGAGGGGCAACAAAGTATGCACTTGCCAGATTCCACAGCTCCCCTTCCAGTGGTGGGGATAACGACTAAACAATAATTGAGAAGAGTCTGTGGCCCACGTTTCTCCGTGATTCACGGTTGAAATGTTTTATTCTTCGTTCGTGGAAATCCATAAAAATAGTCTAGTTAAAAAAAACGAATTATTAATATTATTATTGATCATTGCAAAGGACCGATTTCGTCGATTTTAATCTGCATATTACCCCGAATAGCTACGGAACTAATTTTACCATGGCAACGAGGCGAAATTCCGATTATATTTATATATAGAAAAAATTCGATCGAGCATGACATTCTTAAAAATCGTGTATCGGTCCGCGATTGTGAAATTTTCGTCGATGTTTCTCGGCCACGCAGCTGGGCGTATGTATGTACATCCGTTTTGGGCGAGGATGCCCAACGAAAGTGGGACCCGTTGGGCTGGATCGTGAGGAAAGTGGGACCCCGAACGATGACTCCGCGAATGCCGATTACGCCGTAGCTTGCCGGCTGGCAGAACGTCAAGGAAACAATCGCAAAGAACCCCGCGAAATGATTCCCTGTCATGCAATCGAATGATTACCGCGTCACACGGCTAATTCGCCATCGACACACGAGGGAAACTTTCTCAGAGGCGACACGCGCGACCGATCCACGGTAGTAGACAGCCCGGTCATTATAGGGAAATATCACGTTATTTGTTCGAAACGACAGCCTTGCAGATTCATTAGTTGGATAAACGATGAGTAGACGTAATTACCCGTTATCTCGACTAGCGTTTTCTTAATTAACAGTAGTTCTGCAGGGTAGATTGCTGGGATTCAGATAATGGGGAGGCGGATGCAATTTAAATCTTGGATTGAAGAGGTTTATTAAGATACAGTGTCGATCGAAAAAAAAATTTAATGTTCATATTTATATATACAGATATAGTAAGATGACTAGATGTTCTGGATTAGGCGGGACTTCTACCGAAACGTAAATTACCATATTATTCCGGTATTATAGGTTGTACCTTCGCCCTATATAACCCTATATAAGACCTACCCTAATAGGAACCGAAAAAATACCGGTATTTATGTCGGTTTTGCGGTAATATATCGGTTTCGGTATAGCTTTGATGACATAATACCGGTATCGAAATCATACCGGTTTAAGTTCCTGTGACTTTGATTGGTTAATGCTTATAAAGCCGCCAAATCGTAATCTTCATATGAAGGTCAGCATTGTTTTTTAAATTGAATCGTATATATTCTAATGCATTAATTCGCCACAAATGACTTAGTATTTTATCTAAGGAATAACGAGCGGCATCAAGTAGTGCATTAAACACGATATCGGAGCGAACCATTAGTACCGTACATTGATTCGCAAGAACGTTACATCTTATGGGAGTTGTTGGCCCATCTAAACTGTAGTACCGACACCTTAAAAAGCCTGTGAATTTTGTGACCTCTACGTTATGAGAACGGTGAATTTACGGTGGATAGTGACCAGTAGTGACGCTACAATTGAAATGGGGGATGCTCCAGAAAAGTGGGCCGAAGAATTACATTGGACGAAAGATCTATTCTTATACCCCGTCGATGATTACACCTTGAACGACAAGCTGAGACAAACGTGTGTATTTAGCACCCCGTAGTGCCATTTAATCGTTCACGATCTCGTGAAAGGTAATCCACCTTGGGTTCTGGCGGTATACATCGATATCGCCGTATAAAGGAGGATCGAGAAAATGCAACAGGTCGCGGAATATGGTCAGTAGGAACGTGGAGCCAAAACTTTCACGTACACGAGATCTTGGGAGATGCGTGTCGACGTGTCGTTTCCCTATTTTTCCGCTCGCGTGTTTCACGGGCCGGGAGCAGGTCGGTGCTTGGTAAATAACGGTGAATCAGAATCTACGAGCCGGCCCCGGGGCACGCCCATCGTCGTGTGGACAATCGTGATTCTTTTAACGGACGGAAAAAGAGAAAAGAATGTTAAGACTGGTTTGTCTTTCCTCAGGACGGTCACGGTTCGATGAGAGGACGGCTTGAAACAACAACAATGGGCCTGGCGAAGAGAGCCACTTTTCAAGGTTCGCGTTTAATTGTGAATGGAAAGCAGAGGGGGGTAAACCGCGGAGTTAATTGGAATTCGTGAAACAGACACGAGGTACTTATAGACCCCTCTCGATTATCGTCCCGATTTCTGGTCAACTCCAGGACAATAATCTTAAAGGGAGAAATGTTTCAGACCATCATAACTTCGTTTTTTGCCCGAAACCTGAGCTTCGGCAATAAGTGAGGGGGCATGTTTGATGACTTGTTCGCTTAACATGTTCCACGGCTTCCCCCACCAATGGTAGGGATGAAGCCTGGACAATAATCGAAAGGAGTCTGTATTATGGTTTTTTTTTATATTTCTTTTGTTTATAATTGAAATCAGTCACCATCTCTATCAGTAGGTATATGTATGTAGATGACATAGCTTTTGTAAAACTGAATCAATGAGACTGTCCTTCGGTACATACGTAATCATGTTTTGTACCTCTCCTGTGTCATTAGAGAAAATTTATTCGTATACACGTGACTTGATAATTCTTAAGTTTAGAATCCCTACTTCGTTCATTCTTGCCGCCCTTATTTCTCATATCGAATAGCCTTGATCGCAATACATGTTAGAAAATTAGTTAACTTTATTTATCAGCGTTTTTCACTGAATGTTCTCCAAGTGTAAAGAATATATTATCGTGAAGGTATTGAAATTTGACTGTCAGTCGGACGAGTCAGTTTCACCTGTGCGAAGTGGTAAAATGGTAAAAATCGTCCTACTTTCGGGACACTCGTGCACACGCCTCCATTGGCTCGATCTATCCTGCGTGTTGCTTTCCAACGGAAATTTCCATCGTTAAATGTTAACATCGAATTACGCCAGTGATGGAGGAATTATGAAATACAGTGAAAGAATTAAATATGTTACTTCCAAAGCACTTGATTGATTTACTTTTCATATTTAAAACAAATTTCGAGTATAAATCTTGTGAAGCTAATCGCTTTGACAAATGAACGGCTGATATGTTGGTAACATGACTTTTATTTTATCAATCGAGAATTCAATTTTTCCCGGAAAAATGACAGAAAGTTAAAGAAGATGATAGGGAACATGTTTCGAGTAACCAAAGTTTGAGGAAACTGTTGAATATTAATGCAGATTTTCGACGAAATAATACGCCGTTGCATGAAAAATGCATAGGAGAAGAAAGTGGGAAACGGGAAGTCCGTTAAATCGCGAACCGTGTAAATTGATTAACCTGTTCGTCGAGCAAGGCTACGTAAAACCGGTCCGATAATTCCGGTTTATCTGTGTGGTACGCGATGGAATGCGTAAATTTGTTCTGCACACTTGTCAATCAATTCCCCAATGATTCTATTTAGCTGTCAATGCAACCTAATACTGAATTTGTCGTGCAATTTGTAATTATAAAAAAAATAATGTGTTGGCATTAAGTGTGCCAATTAATCTATTACTTCTATAAGCAGTTAGATGGTACAAGTTCAAGTTCAGAATAACTTCCCATTCTTTGTTTAATCAAAAATGGCATGGAATATTGGGGGCTTGGCCTAAGCAGAGTTGGGCAAAATGTAATCTAATTACAAAAACCGAATTGCAATTACAATTACATTGTAATTTTTATTGTAAACATAGAATAGTTCATTACAATATAATTGTAATTGTCTTGTAATTACATTGCAATTGCATTGTAATTGTAATTTGGATTTTGTAATTAGAATACATTTTGCCCAACTCTGGGCCTAGTTTAGTTTAGTTTAGTTTAGAACGTGGTCTTCCGGGAGAGAGGAATTTCGATATTTCCCTCCATAACTCTGGGCCTAAGTGCAAGATGACAAGTCTAACTCGTCATTCGAGTTGACATAATATTGACGACGTACATTCTTCTTCATTTCAGAGTAGTTTGTATCAGTTGTAAACAAAACAAAAAAATAAATCTGTTCCACATGCAAAATTTTTTTCAAATAAACCGGTAGCCAAAGGGTTAATAGTATTGGTTTCCTTTTTCGAAGTATTTATGAAACGTCTGAAACTATCTAATTACATTCGAACCTACTTGTAATATACTTTACCCAATCTCCACAGAAAACCCTAACATCAACCGAGCTCAGGGAAACAGCTTCCCTTTTCTATCTCTATCATCGAATTCAATTGACTAACTACTTTATTACCATCGACTATAGTGTTCTCCAGTTGCACCATCGGGACCAAAATGGCCGGATCGCCAAGAAGCTTCTCGAAAGAAATTCTTAGAGAAAGACTCACCGCGAAGGACATCAGCAGGGATTAGCCTCCTGTACATCTTCGGTCTATCGTCCTCCATCTCTTCGGCGGCGAACACCACCGCGGCGACAAGCAGCAAGACCGACAGGAGCTTCATGACGACGATCGGTGAACTAGAATCGAGGGAGGATCGAACCCGAGAGTCTATCGAAGAACGAAGACGGAGAGAGGAAAAAAATGGGATCTTCGTGTACCGATTAAGACTGGTTGGGCTCGATTCTCGTGCCGGCATTTTATAGCTGTCCACGGGGCGGGGTCCTGGTCGTCCCCACCAGACATTATGGTCTCTCACCTCTTGAACCACCAGTCACCAAAGAATCGTTCGCTGTCTGAATCGTCGTCGACCAAGCGCTCGCGCGCGTTCACACTGAGGCCCACAACCAGATGATTCGTACCTGGTGGGCCCATACATCGGGATAAACCAATTCCGTCGAGGTATCGATACTTCTACTTGTGACATGTATCAAAAAACCGTATCGATATCTACTTGTATCGAAGAAAAATGAACACAAAGTTCTTTTTTATTAATATGATATATTGTAATTAGAGTCTGGCAGAATTTTATTGGAATAATACATAGTGAAAAGCTGCAGTATTTAGGGGCGTCATTATGAGATTTAAACAGTTAATGAAATTAAATAATTTTTTGCCAAATGTTGACTCATTCAGGAAGAAGTATTATTTTGTTCTAAAAATTCGAGTTCCACGTATAAACGATTAATGACGGCTTAAAGGCGCCTGAGACATAAAATAGCCGTAAAATAGACGTCCTCAAGGCGTCATGTGTTAACTGGGCTATTTCTTGGGCTTCTGCTCTACTGTACGCTGGCACGAATCATCCGTGCGACACGTACACCATCTGGTTCTCACGTAAGTACCTTTTGTGTCGTGTGAACACACACACAACGGAGTGACACAGACGAGATATGGAGATCGAATCGAGTCCACGGACCAATGCATACCGTCTGTCCGCGATACTTACGTGTGACGAAGTGGGTTACCATTCGGTGAGCGATTTTTATTCCTTTTTTTGGTCCTACCGTGTATCTGGCCCCCTCGAGGCGACACTTTTTCTTCCGGTTAATTGAATTGTTAGGTCTGTAGGAAAGTTTTGGCCTTGCCCCTCTGGTTGGTCGTTTTTGAGTTTCGTAACAATGGTTATTGTAATTCCGTTATCCAATAAGGAGGTCTGCTCCGGTTGGTCCTTAATTGGAACAAATGGTCACTGTGAGTTTTTTTAATTATCGAAGTATCGTCTTTAGTTACGGCTGGAATAAACGTCGCTGTGTTCATGAAAGGATACATAGGACTTCATTTCTTTTCCACGAAACGTGATTAGCTTAAATTATTCGATTGTCGTAGATAGAACTATTTTTGTAAGATAAATATTTATAAGATTATTGTATGTCATAATAGTACTAACAGTCGTTTCTTAACCGTTCACGCGAGTGTACTGTAGCTGATGGACACCATTTTGAACATCGTTTTACTTAAAGTAAATAATATTTTCTTAAAGTTTCTTTAGTTTAGAGGAAAAAAAATGATTTGTTAGGATGTTTGCCGAATTCTTCTCAGTAAACTTATCCGCTAAAAGGTGGGCGTAAAACAATTATAAGTTTGCCTACAAAAAACTAAAGGTGACCTCGAAAAGTCTGGGACAAAGAGGATTGACAAAAATTTGCTACAATCACCTTAAAGCTTTCCTTCAATCATGTTATATAATATTAGCCAAATAAAATTTCGATGGAACAGCTAGCACAAGAATAATCCAAGCTGATCACGTTTCGTGGATCCACCCTGTATATCTGTAATAAATCAACTATAGAGTAGGTACTTATAGTGAACGGCAAGCTTCTCCCACCCTGCGGATCTTGTTCATTATTTCAGCCTCTTAAATATCCTTACTGTTGTTAATCAATTCCTCGATACACAATAAGCAATGAATGACATTACTACGTTTACTATTAAAATCGTGCTACATTTATCATTAATAGCATGCCAGGCTAATTGTTCTGTCTTTCGGTCGTTTCAGTATAAAAGCATCTACAAAAGTGGCAATTATAGATTGTACCACAATGAAGAACGAACGTGAAAAAAGAACCAGTAAAGGTGTTAATTACTATGGTAGTTGAAAGTAATTACGATGGTAATTCAAAGCAATTACCATGGTAATTGAATACTATTACCTGAAAGTAATTACTACGTAATTGAAAAACTACTGAAAACGACTCTTTAGATTTGGTCGAAGGTGTACACAAACATCAACGTAAGAAACAAACATTCCATAAGTTGAGAAAAATCTTCGTTTCCGATGGATCAGTTCGGATATCGGAGGTTCTGGTATTAGTAGACAAACAAAGACGACTGTCGCGGTCGCGTCACGCGACTCGGCGCGTATTGCACAAGGAAGAGAGCCTGGACGAACTCGTTTCCCTTTCGTTCCTCGTTCCCGTTCGTGTTTACTCGTGACAATACGTTCACGTTCCACAGGTAATAATATTATGTCTATCGGAAAGTTCTAATCGTTTTTTGAATTAAAAGAAAATAATACATTTTCAACACATTTATTAACATTTACTGATCAATATAATTTTTATCGTTACTAATCATCTCTACCCAGCGTGATGATAATTTCTGGATTCCATAATAAATGTATTGAAAATATATTATTTTCTTTTAATTCAAAAACGGACGGAACTTTCCGGTAGACCTAATATAACTGAATTCTTTCTCGACTGAATCCTCCTTCGACACCTGCAGAAAACGTTGTCTACCAGCCTCTACGAACCTAATTGCGGTCAATTAGAGTGCTCGTATTTACGGCGCTTTAAGAGATTCTTGTCGTTTAACGGTGCACGATACCCACGCGACAAAAGTGAGAATCGAAATTATGATCCGACGTATAACTGTAAAATTAATGATAGCGTTAACCTACAAAGTTGCATCGTTAAGATTCTTGATCATTTTGTTATCAAGTTTCATACTCACCAACCCTATGTTATGGAAGAAAAAAAATACAGGAACATTGTTAAAGGGAATTTGCCTCAAAAGCTTAATAATACCGCAGAAATTTGTATAATTTTATTTGATGGTCTATAAATGTGATCTAGCAAAGTGAGTGGAAAGAATAGGGGAAAGTTCGTTGCTTCAGTGATTCTTGTTGCTCATAGCTGTGACGATCACGGTATGTATAAGAATCATTTTCTTTTAACAATATTGATAATTCATAAAATTAACTTTTTAAATTATAATGTCATTTTTAATTAAGAAATTACTGAATTACTCATTAATACAACTAGCCAGTATATAACATACAAACTTAAATGGAAAGAAAAAATGTTCCATGAAATTATGTCCGATTTGAAAAGAAAAAAAAATGCTTGCAAAACCAGGAACAAGGTCAAATAAGGTTCATACAAAATTTCTTTTCACACAAAGTTTTGTCTTTATTTTTGGTGTCATTCTTCCTGTACTGAAATTAATGCCCGCATACTACAAAAGTCCCGTATTTTCTTCGGTTCACGCCTAATTAGCGAGATGAAATTACGAGGCGGCAGTTCACCGTGTAAAATCTCGCGATAGGAAAGCGAGGAAGAAAGGGAAAGTTGCCCATCGGCATCCCCGCCCCGTAGTGAAGAGACTGTAACCTTCTGAATCACCGACTCGGAGCAAGTTCGTGGTATTTCGAGCGTGGTATACGAGTCCCGGACACACTAGTGGACGTCATTTTGCGCGTGGAAGCAGTAAACAGCCGGTATACTTTTCCTGGAAGCAGGATTTCGATGGAACGATCGCGAACCGACAACTTGATCATTCTACGAATCGTTTGTTTTATGTTCGAGGGCGTTAATACAGGGTGTCCCAAAATAGCTTCGACTCCCGGAAACGAGAGGTTCCTGAGATGATTTGAAACAACTTTTTCCTTAGCAAAAATGTTGTCTGAGGCTTTGTTAACGAGATATTAACGAGAAACCCCGACCAATCAGAGCACGAGTCTGCTGATCGAGTTCTCGCGGCAACGTTGGCTACCAATCGCAACGCGTAAACAGCATAAACGACCGATTTCAGTTTAATTGTAAGAGTTTGCTTTCAACGTCTTCTGCTTTGTAATTAGTAGATATCATCTGATGAGTGTGATTCTGAATACAGAGGCACACAATTTGTTTTTATTAAATCGATTACCCACATTAATTGTAACTCCTGCGGTAACTTAACGTTTGTTACGTAAATAATTGATGAACGTGTATTTCGCCAATACTTTACGCACATTTGACTGCAATTTAGAAAGTTGGGGCAACTCATAAAAGTATTATTAGAGATGTAATGTCCGGCTAATCGGAACTTGGGTAATTCCTAGATCCGTGTAATCGGAGTTCTACTGTATCATCACATTCTCTCCTGTATCCGATCTTCATGAGTGGAATAGCAAATTTTATACATGAATTACCGTATCCAATTTTGGTATTGCAAGATCGCTATTAAATTTCAATTTAGATTTACCGACAATCAATCATGGTAATCTAGCCAGCCCTTCAAAATAGAGATCACTTTACAGACCCAGGAGCCAGTTTGTAATGCATCAAATCGCAAATAAGATTATGTCGACCAATATCTAACTGGTAGCAAATGTGTTAATCAATTCTAGTAAGTGAGGTGATCCATAGATAGCGATCGCAATGATAGCGAATCAATACTATTGATTCCAATCTGCAAATTGTGATACCATATCAAATATAATAGACACCCATTTGACACTTCTACGAAAATATCGATACCTACTTTATCACTTAACAAATCACTGAAAAAATATTTGGACAATATTTGAAACACTTCTTGACGGTCGGCAGTACGAAACTTCATTAAATGACATCCAAACATTAGAAAAACGGCATTACTGTGACTATTAGTTCGTTATTTATCGTGAGCAAACACATTGTTTATAAAACAAACAAAAATACACAGAATCTTTTAATAGTCTAAGAATGACTATAGGTTCTTGATAATATGAAAAAAAATGTATGTACAAAATATCAAGAAGATACAGTGAGAGGATTAAGAAGTAGGTCTCATTATCGCAAACTGATACGAAATACCTAAAATTTTGACACCTTCCGATATTTCCCATGGAATATCTTGGTATCGACTTCTTTGAACATCATTGCTAAAAATCAATATCGGATCCGACCACTGACCAATACACACTAAACGAACACACCAAAAAAGGGAAACGGGATGGGATAAACCAGAATAAAACGTAAACCATCGTTCATCTGCTACAACAATTTAATGTCATCCATACAGTAATCGTTTCATACGCGTTAATCTGCCGTATTAATCAATCATCTCAGAATTAACCGTGGCCCTCTTTTACTCTACAATATTTTCTCAGAACCCCCGAAATCGTCTCTCCGCGCCTGTTTCATGACCTCTTCGAATCCTCCGAATCATTTCCATCCGTGCTCGTCCTTCTTTACCGGGACCCATTTCTTCTCTTTGATAACCAGCTTCTCCCGTTTGATGATCGGTACTTTGATCTCACCTTTGCCCGCGTGGCTTTCGGCCGCTGCCTCAGCGGTAGCGGAAGCAGCTGCCGCGACCGCTTGGGTCTCGACCGACGCTGACGCGGCGGCTTGAGCCACGCCTGCGTTGTTCTCCACCTGGGACGAGGCTATCTCCTCCGCTAGAGCTATAGCGCTGACTGCGGCTGCGCGTGCCGCGGCTGCCTCAGCGATCGCTCTCAGTTTCGCAGCCTCCAGTGCGGCCGCTAGCGCCTCTGACTCAGCCTGCACCGCTGTGTTCGCGATGCTGAGTGCGGCTGCGGTCGCTTTCGCAGCTGCGTTCGCTTTCGCCTCGGCCTCCGCGTGGCTTCCGCCTGCGCGGCGGCTTGTGCTTCTGCGCGGGACAGCTGTAATGCGGACGCGGACAAGGACGATGCTCTTGCGACTGCTTGAGCGGCTGCGACCACCAGATTAGTAGCCTCGTTCGTCACCTGGCTGGCACGTACCGCAGCGTCAGCAGCAGCTTGCGACTGAGCGGCGGCTGCCTCTTGGACGTCAGCCGCTTGTTGCCCGATCCCAAGGATCCTGGCGATGTCCTCGCCGGACGCGGCCGCCGTTTCCGCTATACCGGTGCCCACTTTAGCTCCTGCGATGGCTACCGCCTTAGCTTTAACCTCCATGTGCTTGTCGTCCCATTTCACCGGTTGCTTCCACGGTTTCGGTTGTGGCAATGGCTTGTGCTTCGGTATCGGAATCGGATGGTCGTGTTCCGACGACGGTTCGTCCGCGGCCACTACACCCCAGATCAGGAGGGACGTCGCGAGTATCGCTGGAATCTTCATCTTCGAGGACACTTCGCTAGATTGATGCCTGATCAGTCGAAACACGACCGTTTTATACGGTTCGTTGCAATTGTGATAATATTGATCGGTGTGCTGTGCGGATCGGTTCGCGCGCGCGCCCCGGGTTGTCTTCTGGCGGGATTGTAAATATTGGTTCTTCGTCCCCCCCCCCTTAGGTATGTTCTCTTTGTCGAGGATGTTGTTCCACCGTTTTCGGATGTGTGTTTGAGCGTTTGTGGTTTGTGTTGTTGCCGCGGTTGTGCACGCTTGGAAACGCTTCGGTGATTTTTGTTATTTTTAGGGAGCTTGTTGTTACAACTGCACCGAGGGGGGACATCTGAAACTGAGGTAGAGGTTGGAGGCAGGTGACAGTGTTGAGGATGTAAGAGAATTTATGTGGAATTTTGTTCGCGTAGAGAATTTTGAAATATTGGGTGATTCTGGGCTAGAAATCTTGACAGTCTGTGGGTCAGTCTTGACCCGTTACTTGGGACTATTTGAATTTATGATGGAGACTATGTTGTTCAAAGCGTATGTAAAACGTAACGTATGTATTTATAATGCTTATGCAATCATTTAATTGTGTATCTTACGTCTGGATTCTATAGGATTGGAATAAATATCGTAGATATTTTTTTCACTTCAATTATCAAGCATTTGTAACAGTGTGGTTAAAAGAATGAATAGTAATGAAACAATTAAAGAAAGGAAGGAACTTTACTGTGGGTCAGAACTGACCCTACGTCCGATCTGTGTGTCACAGACGGCTCTCTGAAGGTTAGATAGATGGTTCACAGAAAATAGATTTTTTAATACATTATTTAATTTAATTTATTTATTTATGTTTATTCACCCTGTGTAATACAATCAAATAAATAAATTATAGTAGTACAACTAATGCAGAAAATACGATGTTGCAGTCTAGAATAATGAGAAACACTAAAAACTAATAAACAACTGTACCATTGCCAGTATGTTTACGAGTGAATATTTACCAATGTAATGGTATAGTACAAACAAATAGCGTGTTGGTACATACCTTGCAGGCGACAGAGTGGTCTTAAAACTGTCGCAAAGTTACCTAGTGTCTAATGTAAACATATCGAGGGTTAGGTTATTGTAAGGAATATTTTGTATCTTACAAGTAGTGATTTATAGTTGTAAAATTGTAATTTATTATTTTCTATAAATTACTATATTTATATTAAATAATAATTTAATATTTTATATAATTTTGATATATTCTGTAAAAACTAAAAATTGTTGGATATATACAAGGTGGTCGGTAATTGGTGGTACAACCGAAAAGGGGGTGATTCTATATAAAAAAAGTAAAGTGAGAATATAAAATAAAATCTTTTCATTTGACACTTCGGTTTCGAGAAAATCGACTTTGAACATCTGCTGGCTGCGGCTCAAAGCCTACGGGTGCAATTGAATAAGACTTGGGTAGCGCGTCTGTTCATTGCATTCCGTTTCTATGTGCTACCATGATGAATACACGTGTTTCAGTTTAATTTTCGAAGTCGAATTTCTCGAAAATGAAGTCTCAAATGAAAAAAATATTATTCTACATTTTGTACTTATTTTTTTATGTATAATCATCCTTTTTCCGGTTGTACCACCAGTTACCGACCATTCTGTAGAAATGGAAGAATAAATAGGGATTTCACATTATGTAAAAGATAAAGTGTCCTTTGTTTTACCATTCCTCAACTTGTCTTAAAGTTGTTTAGAAAATAAATACTATTCGACTATTTTAATTTAAGGCTCAATTTCACATAAACTTTATTGCAACTCTTGAACTTGTGGATTTCACTGATTGAATCTGTCTGAATCAAATAACTTTATGCAGTCATTCAATGATGAATATAAATAATGTAATACGAGGATATAAACTAACTATACGTATGTAATTATAATAAATCGAAGGTACGTGAGTAGAATTTCAACTACATTTCTTCTAAATCTTTGAATCATATTTTTTAACTAATTTATTGCTAATTTCACACAACGCGTACTTATTATTTATAACTTATGCTTATTGTATATAAAGTCGGTAAATGTTTCTATTGAATCAAATGCATAACAAGGTTTAATTTTTCGACGAATTTCTTGCCTATAAAATTAATATAAAGTTTGTGAACATTTTACAATCGTTTTAAAAAATAAATTACTGAATCAACACAAGCTTTATTAATAAATATGGTAGAATGACAAGGTTGTACAATTCTTACACAGACATCTTTATTCAAATTGACTTATTTATGTATAGTTGAACCGAACGGAACACTTAAAATAACTTATTCGACAATATGTCCATATCACACACGATGCTTAAATATTATTCCATCTGTTGTTTACATTAATCTTGATACGCCAAACAAACGTTACGATTTCGATGGACACGGCACACTTTCGCATTCTTTCCCAAATATGTAATCAGACAACGTTTATCAATGAAGCCAAGTATGCATGACAAAGTTATCTCACACAGCTTTCAAAACATGTTCAGACAACCTTACTAACGAAGTGTACATATATTAACACGGAAAAATTATTAATGGACGAGTTAATTTAATTATCGTGACGAGACATTCGATAAAACTGTCACTAATTGAATATAAAGAAAACAAGCACATTCTGCTTCAAAATTATTTATGCAATATTACTTTTTTAAAACATACAGGAATATTTACACAATTCACTGAAAAATTGTTCGTATTAACAGAAGCAGAACAGATCAAGCAATACATTGTTTATTTAAACGAAATGTAACTGTCGAACTTGTTATTTATATAAAACTTAAAGAAAGTATATAATTGAAATGATATTAGAATCTGTATTAAGTTCGTATTTGCTTTCATAAATTAATACCAGTATTCAGAATTAAGAAGTAATTAAGGAATCTTCAGAATTTCGCCAAAATAGACTACATTCTACTCATCTTATATTTTACATATTAAAATCAAGCGAAAGTATACCGACCAGACCTCAATTTTCCATCAACGTTCTCCAAATTCTATTAATATCCATCATTAGGCCTCCGAAAGACGAACCAACATCATTTCTCAATCGGATCCCGAATAAAGAATCCATACAATATCGACGACCAGAAACGTCGTATCCAACACAATCTTAAACCTCCAAATTTTTCATTCGTAACAAGTAGGATTAGGATGAACAACAGGGTATCAAAACGAATAAAACCATCATCTGCTAAACAGTGTACCTTTATTATCACGGTAAATGCTCAATCTCTCATCGACAATCCCCCCAATAAGACTTCCTCGATCGCGACGACATTCCGCCAATACAATTTAAACTTCATCGATTCCTAAACGTCCTCTAGCCATCGGTGTCCAAAACTTCACCATTCTTTTCCCTTCTTCGAACCGTGCGATCCGATCCCAGCGGCAGCCTGGGCAAGGGCCCTTGCCTGAGCGACCGCTTGAGCCGATGCACCTGCGTCGTTTCCTAGACCCAGCACAACGCCGTCACCGGTGGCGCCCTGGGCGGTTGCTTTGGCGGCGGCTGATGCCTCCAGTTGAGCGGTCTCGGTGTCGATGCTGGCTGAGGAGGCGGCCGCCTCGGCTGAAGCGGTACTCACGATCCTGGCGGCGACTTCGGCCTCCATGAGAGCAGAGGATTGGGCGCTGTCGGTGTCAGCGGCCAGTACAGCAGCCCTGCTTGTGGCGGCTGATGTAGCCTCGGAGGCTGCGGTGGCGCGACCTTGAGCGGCTGCTGCGGCCGCTGCTACGGAAGCAGTCATGGCAGCGATGGCCTTCAGCTGTTCAGCTGCTTCCTCGGCTCTGAGAGTGGCCGCAGCCTCAGCTGCGGCTGCAGCGTTCGCCCGTTCCTGGTAGTTGTTGGCTAGGTTCTGGGCGGCAGTGGCCACCTGGTTCGACTGTCTGGCACGGTCAACCGACGCTAATGTGGCCCCAGCGGCGGCCTCAGCTTGCGCAGATGCCGACTGCGCAATCGTCTGAGCTCTCAGCGCGGCTACTGCTGCGGCCTGAGCTCTTGCCTGTGCCTGCGTCGCAGCCCTGACGGCTGCCGCCGCTTCTGCCGCTGCAGCGGCTGAGGCAGCCTGCGCCCTCGCGTACGCGGCGGCCAACGCCTGCGCGGAAGCCCTCACCGAGTTAGAGGCTCGCGCTTCAGCCGCGGCCGACGCTTTCGCTCTGGCCAGTGAGATCTGGACCTTCTTCCCGAGCGTTAGCCCCGGCGCCCATATGTTCGGCCCGATCGCGCTGATGTCCACCTTCTTCATGATCAGCTTGTCCTTCAGTTTGTCTTTTATGTCGTCGTGGTGGCGATCGGGTAACAGCGAACGGTGCTTTCCGACCGGCTCCTTACCGTGCACCAGATCGTCGTCATCGGCGCTGGCTAGGCCCCAGACGAGCAGGGACGTGACAAGTATCGCTGGGATCTGCATCTTCGACGGAACTTTGCGGATTGGTGCCGTATCGACGGGGATCGACCGGTTTTATACGATCTCGCACAATTGTGTAAACCGTGCGTGTTGTTCGGAGGGATTGTTGTTTTTTTTTTGGAGGCTCACGGGTTTATTGTTGCGACCCGATCGTGTTGTCCCCCCACAAGGGGGAAGGGGGTCGGTGATTCGGTGGGAGGAATCGACAGCTGGCGGTTTGCTTTTGGTTCTGGGGATTGTTATTCAAAGGTAAATGTTTGGTGTAATAATACGGAGATAAGATCGTGAGCGGTATTCCGTGCTGGGAGATAGATTTCTGGCCTTGTACGTGCGCGAGAATTATTATTAATTTGTCAGGCATCCAGACTTTTGTAATATTCTGGCGTTTGTTACTTTTGTTTTGACAGTTCATTCAGACAGGGTATTGTGGATTTTAGTGTGTTTTGATAGTGTGTACTTAGTAGCTAGAATGTTTGGTAAATTAACTTCTCAAGCAGGTAATTATCTAATGAAAAAACGGCACAGGCGATAATTAATTTAGGTGAATTCATTGTTTTATAGTGATTTAATACATTACACTATTAATATATTAATCTATTTAATATATATTACAAATGAATATTTAACAAACCGGAAAGTATGTATGGGCGTCGAAGTGTTACAAGCAATGACTTTATGCTGATGTACGCGTGTACGTTGGACCCGCTTGAGGGGTTAAGGTTAAAGTAACAGCTTCCTTATAGTGGTAAAGAACCTTAGCCAGGCTAATGCAAGTTCGTTATAAACAACGAGAGAAAACCATAAGAAATAAAGTCTCTTTCAAGTCTTTTAAATTACTCGAAAATCAGCAGAAGTTTGCTGAAGCTTGTTACATACGCATACTCGCATCGGTCTACAGAAGTACCGTTGAATCCGATACGGTACAAGACAAGTGCGGAAGACCCGATATCGTCGACAGTAAGTTCAGGAAACTCAATTAGATCAATCCTGGGTTGAGACACTTCGATCAGACCGTCTGAAGACCGGAAGACTTGAAAGAAATCAATTCAGAACGGAAAGATACGAATCGGACAAGTCTAAGACTCAAGTTGCATCAGTCGACGTAGAAACGCCCAGTTGGACCATGCCAAGAGTATTCTCAACTCAGAAATCGAAGCAAAAGTACCCAAGTCATAGGACCTTCGGATCTAAGAACCTATATTAGAAGATCACCAGATCCAATGACCTAAGTCAGAGGATCCTCAGACTGGCCACAGAACCTTGGGTTCAAGTTAGAAAACCCCCCAATCTAGGGTACCCCAAGGTTGGAAGTTAAACCTTAGATATTTGGGTCTGAAGGTACCTCGGCTTGGGATCCTGTGTCTGGGGGTTTCTAGTCCCGAATTTTCGGGTCCGAGAGTCTCTGGACTTGGGTCTCTGGGTCTGTGGGTCCTTTGGCTTAGGTTTTTGGCCCGTTTGGCTCAGGTCTGCGGATCCTTTGGCTCACACCTGTAGATTTTTTAGCTTAAGTTTTGGAATTTCGAAATTCTCTGACTTGTGTATCCCTCAACCCTAAATTAGGCAGATTCGAGTTTCTAGGCCTTACGTTTCTCCGTATTGCGCGTAAATGTTAAAAACAATTGAAATTATTTGACACTAAATTCTTATGATCCAACAGTTTCCATCCTGGAGTAGTTCGATTCGACTCTGTTCACCTAAAGCTGATGTATTTCGGAACGACGTTCTTATTATGCATACATAGGAGCAGATTAGTTTCTGAATGACTTGAAATAATTATGAACATTTTCTGTTTGTACATATCTCTTTATTGTTTATATCGACATACTCACAAAGTGATCATGTTATTACTCTATGGATATTCTTTGTGTCATGTTTATAATGTATGTATATTCTTTTATTATTCAGACCGACGTGGTCTGTAACTCTTCAAGGATTTATCTTACGTCACGTTATTTATCATATAAGATTAGACACGTTCATGTTACGTATGTCCTCATCTCTGTTGGAGTCCCGGGACTCCCTCCCTGTCCTTGCGGGGGGTGGTAGATTTGTGAAGGGTACCAGAGGAGGGGGGGCTCCTGAACTATTCGGGACACAGGCAGGTAGAGCAATAGGGGGTTGAAACAGGCGACACAGCTCTCTCTCGATGATGGAACGTACGCAAGCACGATGATTCCACCCCTGGTACAGACTCGGTCTGTGGGTGAAGCAAAGAGTGAGCCGGTACTCACTTTGGAGACGAAGGATCGGTTGCCCCGACGACCATATTCCATAGCTACTCACGTAGGTAGGGAAGGGACGATCCTAATGACTCTCCGCCCCCCGGGCGAGTACTTCCTCGCCTCCATGTGGCCCGGGCCTAAAAAAGTTGGTCGGGTTGGAAAACCGGGGGAAACAATCGCCCCGGGTAATGCCCACGGCAGTCCCCCTGCTAACGTGGCGGGGGCTGTGTGATAGCTACCGGCGTTCTGAGCCACAGCTGGGCCTTGGGGGGGGAAATCGCACTTCCCCTCTCCCGGGAGAAACGTACTACTACTACTACTACTACGTATGTCCTCCCCTATCATTTACTCTCAACATGTTCGACTCTTAGATACTTCTCGACATACTTTCATTTATAGTAAATCATTGATGAAAGCTTCTCGGCACTGAACATTAAATATTTCATAAACTAATGGCCAAATACGTCTGAAACAAATATCATTAGTTTCAGAATTCCGAACTCTATCACGGTGCTAAACCTCATTAAAAAGCCAGCGTTACATCTAGAGACCTCTCCTTGTCAATGCCAAGGAGCCTTTAAATACTTATTGGTGATTTACTCTATAAGGAATGTTTCTACATATTTTACGTGTCTAAAACGTTTCAACGGAAGCGACACGTACTTTTCAAATAATATCTGTTTCAAGAAGGTATATAGATATATGAACTAAGTCTATCAAGATAATCACGTCTATTCTCAACGGAATTATTAAGAGCTCCCTCATGGCTAGCATGAAACTCTCTCGAAAAATATCAATCCAGAGACTTTGTTCCAGAGACATAATCATCTTCAAGTATTCCACTCCGTACTTTCTCCATTCAGATGAAAATGAACCAATCGACAGAGGATAAAATGAAAAAAGAAGAAGAAATAAGCAAAACAAAGGTCACATTCATCGGGTTGCTACAACAATTTATTTCCGCCATTACAATACACGGGTGAATCTCGGCTCAGTTCACGGTCAATCCTCAAAACCAAATAATCATAGTAATCAAGAGAATACAATCTGTCCCGGGGATAACATAAATCATCCCCCCTGTTCGCCCCTGCAATAATCATCCGAAGTACAATCTACGATTCTCATGCGATCTCAGACATCCCCAAGTTCCTTAGTCAGACTTCCATCCGTCGTGCGGTTTCCCTTTTCCCTTGACGGACACCGATTTAGCCCATGACGCCGCATTCGAGGCGGCCTCTGCTTCTGCTTTGGCGATCGCCTGAGCCATCACCAGAACCGCCTCCTTCTGGGCGACAGCGGACGCCTCAGCGTTCACCGACTGGATCAGCAATTGGACCGCCGCGGACGATGACGCGGAGCTTCGTGCCTGTGCGCCCTGGGACTTCTCGACGGCTACTCTAGCACGGGCAAGGGCTACACTAGCTTGTCCCGCCGCAACTGTTGCCGCCGCTTGGGCCTTTGCTGCTGCCTGGGCCTTGGCCAGGGACGCTGCAGCTGCTTTCGCGGCGGCCCTTGCTTTCGCCTCGGCTACTGCCGCCGCTTGGGCCTCGGCGGCTGATGATTTCTTCGCTATGATAGAGTCAGCGTTCGCCTCTACCTGGGCTGCAGTCGCTGCCGCGGCCGCGGCTGCTGAGGCCCTAGCCGCTGCGCTCGCGGCTGCTGTCAGTTCTTTGGCCCTCGTCGCTGCGGCCACCACAGCTCCCGCTGCTTTCGACGCGATCGCCAGCTTGACACGCGCCACGTTCTCCGCCTTGATCGCCTGCTCCATCTTCGCTATCGCCACAGCGATCGCTGCTTTAGCTTCGGCCTCAGCGTTCGCAGTGTCCACCGCCTGGGAGGCTGCGGCTGCAGCGGCCGCCTGCGCAGCCGCCCCCAATTGGACCCTCAGACCGACCGTTTCCTGAGCCCGTACGACGTTCAGCGCGTTCTGGATCGAGACCCCGGATGCCGATGATCCGTCCCCAACGAGCTTGGGCAGTGGCACCTTAATCGAGGGCACTTTCAGGGGTTCCTTTTGCCAGCCCTTGTCGTCATCCTGGTGGGCCACCCGTCCGTCGGCCAACCCCCAGGCCAGGAAAGACGTCACGAGTATCGCTGGAATCTTCATCTTCGACGCGCCTTCGCTGATTGATGCGGAGACACCGTGCCGCAGTTATTATATACCGGGGGGCCTCGCAATTGTAAAAACACCGGCTGCCTTCGGTGGAGTGTTAAGGCAACTGTTTTCTGGTATTCTTTTTTGGTGAGTAGGTGGGAGGGCAGAGCTGGCATTGATGTATGGTACTCGGTGTGTATTTAGGTGTCGCTGGGACGTTTCTGGGTAAATATTTTGGTTTTTGTTTTTCTTTTTTTTTTTGCGTTCGTTGGGATCTGTGATTAATACTGGAACTCACCGAACCAGTCACAATGGCTACAGTGAATCCTCGATGAGTGTTCGAAAGCTCCTCGGCTCTGAACATTATATATTTCATAAGCTAATGCACATGTGCGGCTGAAATGAATATCACTGGCTTCAGAATTCCAAGCTACAACACTGTGGTAAACCTCACTAAAAAGTCAGCGTTACACCTGAGGACCTCTCCTTGTCAGGGCCGAGGAACCTTCGAACACTCATCGAGGATTTACTGTAGTTCATGAACTTTTAGGTATTATTATTAAAATGATACAACAGTCTATTTTCAGAGATTCTTCGCAATTTTTATTAGAATATGTAAGTGACGAATTTCGGTAATTTATCGATTTACATATTTTCAACAACCTGTCCCTTTTACGAACGTGAATGGAAATAGAAACATATTTATCTTCGGTAGTTCTAGTGTTAACCTTTTAACGCCCAGTGTGACATATACGTCACATTTGGAAAATCATCCATTTCCATCGTTTTATCGTGAAAATACAGATGTACGTATGAGACCACTTTGAAATTAATCAATCGTAACAAATAATTTTTTCCCGGGAAGAGATGATTGGTCGTTAAAGAGTTAAAAATAATTTTACACAAGATTAAAAAGTAGATTGGTTCAATATCGATATTTTCGACTTCAAAATAACAAGATACAACTTATATATCAATCTTACAATTTTGAAATAACAATTTAAGGACCTGGGCATTAAAGGATTACGGGAGATCGATCGATCTGCCGAGGTCGGTTGTTTCGTGTCTATGATGGGTGAGATTTAACATTTACTTTCTTGTGAATGCATAGAATCCAGAGGTTACTTATTATAGATTTCTCGTTGGATAGGATATCCAAGCCTTCCTTCTCAGCTAGAATATTAATAAATATCGAATCATTTTAATAGTTAAGAGATGGAGTACGATGGAGATTATTATCAAGTCGCCATATTCGAAACGAAAAAGAATTCTATATAGTGTTGCGTGTAACTTAACTTGAACGAAGAATACTGATAATATAATGTGATTATCGAATAACAATGACATTTCAAAGAATTTTACTGCAAGAGACGCGCCAGTAATTTGTCCAGAAATCGGCAGGAACGTTCAAATTGGCCATGTAACATCCTTATTAAATGAAATTCTTATTAAAGGAATTTATACGAACTTAAAATGGTTTCAAAGCTGAACGTGAAGGCAATACCTAATAATCTTGATGATATTCTATAGTCGAGTGGGGTCATCTCAGTAACCGTGAACCGTCCCTTTAACTTTTACTTTCTTATAATTAAGATAATTCAAGTCAAAAACGTTTCACGATTCGGTATAATAATGAAAACATATTAATAAATCATGTAAGCTTAGTTACTGCACATGTGTATTATTATACATAAATTCTGATCATTAAGTTACGTGTGTACTGAAACTCTCAATATTTGCTCTGAACAGACTTATATTCATATAAAGAAGGCACGCGCCAGTAGGTATGTGCAAACAAATTCGTCTTGATTAGTCTGAGCAATGTTTGCATGAACAAAATGTTATTCTTGTAAATAATGGAAACACATGTGTAAACAGAACAAGAATGTCTTTCTTTTTTTGCAGTGGAGTTACAAATATAGACGTCTTTATACTGTTTACACACGTGTTCGTGTCGTTTGTGGACACGAAGAATTATTAAATTGTTTTAAAAAAGTGACATTATTATTGCAATTGTTATTTTGTGACAGAGGTGTTATGTTTCGCCTGATAATAATCTGTTGATACCATTGACACCTATTACGAAATTATTGCTGGACAAACGGTGAATCTAAAGACTGAACAGAATAGGTACAGCTTGCCCTCTCGGTCCAGATCTTAGTAGTAGCGAAAACTCCAATTCTAGAGGACTGACGTGAAAGTCTGAAATAAATATCGTTTAGGGGATATTAACGGTCGATGGATGACGTTTATGCTACTACGAAGTAATAAACGTGGCCTCGAATATATACTTTTTACAAACAATAACATTTTCTTTATATAGACTAGATGTTCTAATACTTATGAGCTATAGTGTATCTGTGATCCTCTGGTCGCCATCTTTGTTTCCATAGTACTTAATACATTATACGTATCAATTACATTATGTGTATATTAGTATTTTGTCACTCGATTGCATAGAATTGTTAGTAATAGTAGCAGTAAGAAATTAGAATTCATTCAGTTTAATTATTAAAGTACTCGGTAACTTTGTCGACTAAAAAAAGGGTGGAAAAGACTTCCTTCAACTGACATAATTGTAACGTTATATTATATTAATATACGATAGTAACCACGTTAATACTATCGCTTTTGTGATTTTAACAGTATCATAAAGATTATCAAAATAATTCTCGTCTCAAATTATAGTCATGTGAAGAATAAAACCCTATATATATATATATTTTTTTTTTTAACATTTACAGATACACATACATTTTATTTCTTTTTCAAAAAAGAGGAACACTACATGTGTTTTTATCTTAATATTTCAGACTAATTTACGAAATTGTCAAGGAAAAGTTCCGTAATCGAAAAAAATAATATTCATACTTTTCAGGGTAGTATTTAGATTTAGAAGTGTGATCGCAAGCAACACGATCCCACATTCAAGCTTCATATTCTGTAATGTAGAGGAAACAAGAGGGGGGTTCGATAATAGCGCACTCAACCAATTTCGTCATTTTCTATATCAGATAAGCAACCATCAACCGAACAACCCCCCACGCTTCAAGACACATCCATCATCCAATACCCCCAGGCATCCACAAAGAAACAAGACCATAGACCTTTCTACATGCTTAACCAAATTTATTCTCATCGATACAATCTCTGTCTGTACTACAACTTCATTTTCAACATGTATTTCCCGCCCTAGATCAATTCAATCCAAGAATACATCCTACAGTTTATCCGTTAATCCTCCAAGCCTCGTCCAGCCTCGACTCTCCAAGACGCAGCGAGCCATCGCAAAGAGCTCTACTTATCATGCTCGTCATCGTCGTTCTTGTCGTCCTTATCGTCCTCCCATCCCTTGTGCAAGTCGACCTCATCGTCCTTCCATCCCTTGTGCTCGTCGATCTTAACGTCCTTCCAGCCCTTGTGCAAGTCGATCTTCGGAAGTTTCGGGATCTCCACGTGCTGCGGTATCTTGACGACTCCTTTAGCTTCGCCGAGACTAGCTCCAATGGCCGCTAATTCCTTGTTCCTGGCGCTTGCTTTCGCTGCGGCTCGTGCTTTCGCGTTCAATTCGAGGTTGATCGCCCGGCTCTTCTTGTCAATGGTGGCGATCAGTTCCGCGACTTCGCTCCTAGCCTCCGCTTCGCCGGAAGCCCTTGCGGTGGCGACACTGGCGACCCTGGCGGTGGCCAAAGCGGCAGCCGCGGCTCTTGCTTCAGCCTTCAAGGCGGCTGCCCTTGCGACAGCAACCTCAGCTTTCCTATCCGCTGCCAGAGCAGCTCGTGCCGCTGCGCTGGCCTCAGCGGCTGCTCTCGCAGCTATGAGAGCCTTTTCCTTGGCCGTGGCTGAGAGGGCGGCTTGCGCTTGTGCGGCACGCGCTGCAATACTCGTCTGCGCAGCTGCGGTGGCCAGTGCCTCAGCGGACGATTTTCCGCCGACCAACGCCTGAGCCGAGGCTGCAGTCGACGCAGCGGCGGTCGCCACTGCCTCTTGCGCGTTCGCCTCGGCCTGCGCCGCAGCGGCTACCTTACCGGCTCGTGCACCAGACCTGGCGGCCATCGCCGCGGACGCGGTCGCTGACACGCTACCCTTCCCCAAACGGAGCAGGGGCGACAGCTTCCCGTGCTTCGAGGGTGGCGACAGGTCGGCCGACGCCAGACCCCACAGAAAGAGGAACGTTGCGAGCAGTGCTGGGATCTTCATCTTCGACGATACTCCGCGGATTGATGCCCGGCATCGATCACCCGTCGGATTTATACCCGTGCGGGGAACAGTTGTGACAACAGCTCGACGTCTGCCGGGGTTTTCGTTCGCTGCCGGCTGTCGTGTGTTGTTTCAGGGGGCGGATGGCTCGCGACAGGTATCCGTGTGTGCTGTGTTTTGTTGAAAGTGTATGTAGAAGATTCCAAGATACCGGTGTTGTTTTTGCGTTTTTGACTCGTGCCGGTGGGCTTTTATGTCGCGTGGGTGTGCTACGATTCAACTCGGGTAGAAACTGGACTGCTGTTGTAGGATTGAGTGTGAGATTTGTTGGAAGAATGGCGTATGCATTTCTGGGGTGTATGAAATTGGGTGATGGAATGAAACGTTCTAACCGTTTGAGTGCCAAGTAGCGCAATCGCGCTATTCAGATTTCATTTCGAAAAGACCCACTTCATTCGACTAACAATAAGACAAACGGTATCGAGCAGCTCGGCTCTTTTTGACAAGATTTTACCAAAAATCCTGGGACTCAAACGGTTAAGATGTTGAATGCCACAGTAGAAAAGACCGTGAGTAACCAGACACGCCTTACTTCGTTTTTTAAGACCTAATTCGACGAAAATACGAGGGGTGTTATCAAAGTTCTGGGAATTGTGTTATAAATGGTTTACTTGATTAACTTTAGTCTATATTACATTGTAATTTTTGAATATAATTTCTGCTTAACTGTATGAATTTATCTTAGTGCGAAACTAGTTTTTTTAGGCCATCTAACTAAATATATATTTTAGGAGTCTCCTCATTAAGTCATTTAAATCCTGAAACCGTCCACCACTTAGAGGTTTTTTCAATTTTGGCAACGGTTGATAGTTGCTGAGTGTCTGATCAGGTGAATGAAGTAGATGTGAACGAGAAAGAATATATCAAAACTTTTCAAAAATCTTGGGGTTAAATAGCTTGACCTTGAATTGACCTTGAATATAATTTAGATTGAAGTTTTTTGGTGTTTTATAAGACTTATAAATATCAATAATTATAAGTTCCAACAATTTGTGAGATATACTTTATGAGTATTACAAAACTTTAATGTTCGATATAACTAAAATCATTTCTTATAAAGTAATCTAATATTAATTAAAATAAATTTTCTAAAATAAGACTCATTACTCATACATTATTAGATCTAGGCAGAAGAATGTTTTCATAGGTTTGCGAGTAAAACATATAATTGATTTTCACAAATGTTTTTGTTTATTAGATGAATAATAAAGTACATACAATTTCTTTATTCCTTACCAGTAACGTACACATTGCGGAAAAGTATATTCTTCAGGTTGTATAACAAAACAAAACATTTATTTTAGGCGTTTCTTAAGCAGCTAAATAATTTAATTGATCCACGTTGGGATTATGAAGAGAATTAAATTCTATTCTTATTTCTTCAATGCATTTTCTGTATCTACTTACATCGTTTCTCACAAAAGTAATTCATTACAAAGAATCTCAATCGCCCTAATGATCACTATATCATAGTTATACTACTAGCATGACATCTGTCCTTTACGGCTTCATGATCGAATAATTCATAGTTTCTTCATTTATTAAGCCTCCCCAGTTCTACCTATTCTATAATTTCCATACGACTATAAAATAATATCATACGCTTATTTATCGTAAATCAAGATACACATTACTTCAACAAATAGGTTTCCAAAACATCTCTCTTTATTAAATGTTCAATTTCCCTCCAAAACATTCCTACATTCCACAAATCAACTTACTCTCTAACTAAAAGGAAAGGAGTACAAAGGGGTAACAAGTAATAATACAAAAAACCACCTCGGTTGCCATCATGCTATATTTATAATTGAAACCACGATATTCCAAATATTCAATTAATACTTTCCCTACATCATTCGACCAACCGCTAACAGCCTTCTGCAACGCCTCCGCCTGCGCCAAGCTATTACCATTCGTACTCTCCCCCAGTCCAACGATAATTCCATCCCTCACAGCTCCAGCAACGGACGCCTTAGCCGCAGCAGTAGCCTCCAAAATCGCCGTCTCGACATCCACTTCCGTGTTGGCCACGGTCTGCACCTTGACCGCCTCGTGCACCTCCGCAGCGGCGACTTCCGCCTGTGCTAGCGCTAGCGCCTGCGTGGCATCCACGTCCCCAGCTAGATTCTTCGCGTTCATCGCCAGCGTTTTCGCCATCGAAACAGCACCCGTTGCACTCGCAGCCGCACTGGCCGCTGCATTCGCGGAACCTATCGCCGCTGCGACAGATTCCTTCAGAACTGAGACTCTGCCCTCAGCATATGCGGCGGCCGCGCTCGCAGCCGCAGCTGCGCCCACCTTTGACCTCGAGATAGCTAATGCTTTCGCCTGAGCGGCAGCCGAGGCCTTCGCCGACAGTTCGACCTGCACCATCACAGCGCTCAAAACAGACGATGCGGCTCTGGCTTCGGCAACCGCGCGCGCCTCCGCAATGGCGGCCTGCTGAGCGATCAGAGCCTTCGCCGCAGCGTTCGCTCGAGCCTCAGTCGCAGTTCTGATCGCCTCAACGGCCGCCCTAGCGGCTGCGCTGGAGGCCTTTGAGGTTTTCACCGATATCTTTATTTTCATCATCGTCTCCTCATCGATCTCCTTTTTCCATGATGATCGAGTCTCTAACAAAGTCAGGATCTTCGATTGAAGCTCAGCCCTCGCCTCGGCTTCGACCTTCGCCTTCGCCTCAGCAACAGCAGCCACTTCAGCCTCTGCTTGAACCGCAGCCTGAGCCGCGACCAACGCCTGAGATTTGGACTTCACCAACATTTCGGTCTGCGAACAAACCTTCGATTGGGGCCTCGTCCTGGTTTCCGCACGTTCTAGAGCTAGCTTCTTCTCCCTCAGTTCGGAACGAACCGCCTCGACCTCTGCCTCCAGCTTCATTCGTACTTCAGACTCCTCGCGTAAACGGGACTCTGCGCGCGACTTCGCCTCAGTTAGGGAACGAATCTCCGAGGAGATCTTCGAATCGTCCTCGACGTGTTTGGTCCATTTCCAGGATTTTCTCTCGATCACTGGACCCTCCTCGACCCAGGTCTTCGTGATGATTTTATGCTTACCGTCCGTGTCGGACTTTATCTCCGTGTTGATTTTGTCTAAGTCCTGGTTCGTCCAGATCTCGCCGCCATCTTGCTTCCCGTCTTCCTTCTCCTTTACAGTTTTTGCGTCGTGTTTCTCGGACTGATGCGCCTGGATGTGATGATCCTCCTGATCGACCTTCGTTTTCGCTTCCAATTTCACCAATGACATTTCTTCAGTTTTCGAAGCTTCCTGTTGGGCTTTCTCGTGCGAGGACTCATCCCTAATGCTCAGTTTCTCAGCGACCGCAGACGAATAGGAGGACGACGACTCGTGTTTCGAGCTCGACCGTGCATTTGATTCGGACGATACCGCATGTACGCTGACCGTTTGATCGGAGACTTCGTTCTTCTGAGTCTTGCCGTTATCCGACGAGATATTTTCTAGCAGAGCGGGTACCTCCTGGCCATCGTTCGCGTGCACGTCCCCTAGGTTTATCAAGGCCCAGGTGACCAAGCATACAACGAATATCTTCATCCTCGATGGAGGAACGCACATTGATCGCGGCCCCTGGCGTTTCGTCAATTATATACCGCATCGAACAGTTGTGAAAACATTGATACTGCTACACACAGGTGACGCATGGCCCCCACGGGACTGGGAACATAACGCGTTCGAATTGACACTTTTGTTTCTTTTTTTAATAGGATTTTTAGATAGGATGCTCGATTGTGATACAGAGGGTTTACGAAGGCTCGAATATATGTATTTCTTCGAAACTTTGATCCCAGAAATTTACAGATTTTCAGTAATTTGTATGTTAAATTTTCAAAAATTCAACAGGATGATGTTTTAAAAATTGAACGGAGAAGTATGTCGTTATTAAGAAGTTTTCACGTTATTTCATTCGATGGACGTATCGTGAACACTGCTGACAAAGACACATTTTCGAGTTCAATTTTTCATTTCATTTGATGGATGTAGTAGGGTGCCATTTTTTTTTCGTTTTCTTACCATTTTGTTTGGAACAATCGAAATTTTATTGTGTAATTTTTCCCAGTATTTAAACAATTTTGTAGTTTTTATTTTGTAATGATTTCGAGCCGATTTTTTCACACGTTATTGGAGAATGGTACCTTTATCTAGGAAGGTCACCCCGTTCGAGAGTAACTCGAGGCGCCATTAGCGCGACATCAGTGGAACGTAAAGTGGCCGGTACTCCGACAGACAATGTATTTAATTGCGCGAATGAGCGGCAGCTCGTAGCCTGAAGTGTTCTGGGCCAGAAACGTCTACGTGTGTTATCATATACCGGCACCGAAGTCGCACACTTCCTTAAATAAAGCTCCGGTGTAATAACAACCGGTGCAGACAATCTCGCCCCACTACTAATTTTCGATATTTCTTTTCTCCTTTCTTCGTTTCTTTTTTTTTCGGCATCGAGTATATACTGTCTCTTAATTCTCTCGATGACGAAAATTTACCAAAAATTTTTCAAGTGATTTTCCAAAGTGCTACAGGTACACACCTCGACGACAGAAGAAAGAATGAACGTGATTTTTTTTTGGATATTGGTGTGTGAATATTGTTGGAAAATACAGTGTGTATGTGTAATGTGACGCTGTGTTTGTTCTATGTAAGATTCTGTAAAATTAAAAGTGAAAATCTTGTGAAATATGTCCAGCCAAGTTATTGCTTTGTCAAATTTGGAAGGGAAGCATTTATAAGTAAAAAACGTTTCAATTATTTACCGGTCGGTGACAAAAATTGTGAAGGAATAATCAAATTGATTTATGGATGTTGACGAAGCTGACAGCTGTTTCTTCCTGAAACGTCAAATTTCTTATATTAATATCGAAATCAGTGTTTTACATGAATTATTCGCGAAAGCTTGATTTTTTGTCAGAAACCATAAATGTATAAAATATCGTAATCTTACCATTCGCTTGGTTTATATATACGTTCAACGTGTTCACATCGTTTACTCTTCGGTTCAAGAGTGGGAGTTATTCGCCCGATGCATTCGAAAGACTGCACTGACAAATACATCCACGATTCTTATCAATTTTAATTCTGTCTCTTCGTTAAAATCGCGACCATAAGAAAACTCGTAAATAATCATAAATTAAAAAACAGAAGAACGTGATAAAATCTTGAATCAATTGTTTTCAAAATATACTAAAGTTTATTTAATATCATAATTTTAATATTAGAATTAAAATTATCAATATAACATTATTTTTTTCAAAGTTTCACTTCATTCATTTTAAATGTCACTTTGTGAATTCCTAATGAACAATCATGAATTTCTCTCATCTTGTAGCCCTCGTTAAAAGAAAGCTAGCTGTTTTGACATCTCTTATGAGCAATTTTATACAAGGTCTACCGTCAATTATCGATCTATGGTACAGAAAATCGGTTATTCCGTTAAAGAAAATCAAGGTGACCTTGAAATCTCTGAAATGCCTCCACCCACAAAAAAAGCACGTACCTTATAAGACGTGCCCCTTGATACCATTTAAGTTCCACGCCTCAACATTTTCATAAAGTGTATCGTTAAGTCATTATTCGAGGTGATCAAGCTACCTGAGATACCCTATGTAAACAAACATACACGTGAGTAAAGTTACAGTCTAGTCGAATTATTTCACACGCACACAAGTAGTCGAGGAGTCGCGACGGTCACCGAAAAACTGTTTACATACATAACGAGATTACGTTCCCGTACGCACGCGTTTGTAGAAAATGTGGCCAATAATAAGTAGACATCAGTGATACTACGTCCGCGATTCATAGTGCGCGCTCCTCGAATTAATACAAAATTGTGTCAACCGGATTGTATATTTCGTCGAGTGCAGTATGTTTTCGCGCGATTGTTCTAGAAGATCGAAAACAAGGTACGTTTTCCTTTGACGATTCATCTGAAAAAGAAAAAATAATTTTTATTGTTGGACATTTTATAAAGATTTCGGGAAAGAAATAACAGATTGCCTCATCGCCTCTCGTGGTAACGGAAATCAGACAAATCGTATGAAACAATCGAACAATGTAATAATAAGTGTATAAAAACAACAAATCAGTCATCGTATCTCGAAAACACCAATATTCTATTCCTTACAAACCGGTTATAACTTACAAATACGTAGGTGCACACCGAAAAACGAAAGTATTCGAACAATAGAATTAAACGGTACAGTGTTTTAAGATAATTAGTATAGTACTTGTTTACGAGTTTATACAAGTTTATTTATTAGTTCGCTACTAATGCACAGAATTTTATTTCTATCGACTGTGATGTGCGGTATAACATTAGCATAATGGACCTCCGTGTGTGTGTATATGTAGCAGTTTAGTAACACTTTTTGCTCGTTGCACATTTAGAAATAGAGGTGTAGCGGATCCTTCGAGTTAACTCTTAAAGTACCTTATAAGATTTCCGGGGACCGTACAAAAATACCTTGAAAAATATGCGATTCTTGAGGTATTTATTAAAATTAAATATTTCTCCTAAACTTGAAGACATTCACGTTTCTTTTTTTCATTTTATTATTCCTATTCAGTAAACGTATGTTCCACTATCTAAACATATTTTATAAGAATAAACTGTCATTACATGTATTTAAATTATATTAAAAATGGAAAGCCGATATATCGGTTCAAGGTATTTTTCAAAAAATTCAAAGCCGATATATTGGCTTTAAGGTACTACAGATTCCTCTCGATTATCGTCTGGCTTGTTCTACGCGATTATTATCCAGGCGTTATCCCCACCACTTGGGGGAGGATAGAACATGTCAAGCGAAAACTTTGTTGGCCTTCCGCTTTTGTTGCCGAGGCTCGAGCTTCGGGCAAAAGACGAATTTACGAAGGCTGAAGCATTTCTCCTTATAAGACTATTGTCCCGGCGCGGACCCGAGTTCGGGACGATAATCGAGAAGAGTCTGTAAAAGACTTAAGCAAAGTTGAATTTGACTGTTCCAAAACACTCGAATCAGTACGATGTAGTCAAGCAAATACGTTAAAAGTCACCACGACGCGATTCATTCGATCAACGGAACGCGTACGGATATGTACCATTCGATCGCGTGGATCGTATTTACCTGGGACGAGGATCTTACAGGTAGGTATCTTTGTCGTTCACTTAAAAACTGGGACAACCGCCGCACATTGTCTAGCCGGACCTCTTCTAAAATGTTATCTCGCGTTCAGAATTTCACGCGATGCGTCATACGGCCTCGCAACGCGTTCTCTGCTCCTCCTCCGTGACGGAGGCGATATCGTGAAAAGGTGAAAGCAGATCGCTCGGTATAATCCTTGAATAGTCACCACGATTTTTTCTTTCTCTTCGTCCCCCTTCCAGTCGTCGGGCACAAAGGCGCCGCGTGAAATCATGACCAAGAAAACGATTTTGCAACCGACAACAGGATCGTTAGAATTGTCCTCTGGGATGCCAATGAAAAAAATATCACTGAACATGCAGACTGGTGCGTAAAATAACGTATCAGAGTAAATGCAATGTAAGTAGTGAAAAGTCTTCACTTTTAGTAACGTACTACTTTATTTGAAATTCGCTACTCAATTCTTAAGAGGTGAAAGTTGATACTATCATACAAGGTATTTGACTGTTTACCGGTCCTCGCGTCATTTTTGTCATTCAAAAGACTAGCAAAATATATCTAAGGTAAAGTCTGTTGCCAGCCTGTCAAAAAATTGTGAATTATTCATTGATAGATTTAATAGAATCATAATTAACTTCCACCGGCAATAGCTAAAACTTACTAATGTTATATGTGCCCCATATATTGTCTTTGAAATTATATCCTACTTATTATAAAACGCCCTCTTGTATAATAAATTACTGCCAGTTGTTACGTGTGTCACGCCGAAATGAATTGAAAAAAGATAGAATTTATTTATGTTACTAACAATAAAATTAATAATTCATCCTTACAGCTATATACATATACTTATTATACAACATCTTGAACATTATAAATTTCAATATAAAAAGAATATAATTTTAATAAAAGATGAGAATGATTAAAATGACCTTCGTCGTCGACAGGTCACGATGACCTGAATTACATACTTACATAACATGCTTATTTTCGGGACAACATTCTGCACGCATCGTGTGTTCCATTGAAATGGGCCGATTTTTGCAGATAAAAAATATACATATCACTTTCTACTCTTTCTTTTTTTTTCAATACATAGTCTTTATTAACCTCCGTATTTTTACCAGTCAAAAAATTCTTAATGTAGACACATTTGAATATTCTTTTTGTTTATCGTTCTCCACAGCTAACGATAATGTTTCAACAACTGCAATAACACTCTGGTGTAGATACTTAACGGTAACCGAAAAATATTTTTCGAAAGTGTCGTTACCGACAGAGAAGACGAATTTACTTACTCGGTTCATAAACACTAAACAGATGTCACATCTGTAATACGCCGTCCACGGTCCAGAGGGTACATACCGCATGTACGCATTAGGTCGAAATTACTCTAATTAATCAAAAAGAGAAATCAATTACGCTTATAGCAATAAGTCTTATGTGCGTAAACACAATTTCTAGTGATATGATTAACGGTGACAGTAGCTAAGTACGTTATTAATTGCAATGATGCGTAAGAGCGATAATTCCATTGCAGAAAGCATCGTTTTCATGTCAGTGGAAGACTATCAATTTGTCAACAATGTGTCAACAACACTATTCGTCGAATTGTATCCCAATCTATTGCAACAACGTCTTGGAAGCTGTTCCCATTGTTAAAATCGTGCCCATCCTTTTCCGGTTCACCTCCTCCTTATTCTTAATGGACTTTTAATACATTTCCTGGATGATGGTAAATATACTGTTGTTATAATACCTTTTCTTAACGTCCTATGCAATTACGGAATTCATGTAAATTGCTACATTAACCCTAGAAAGACTGGGAAAGATGGTCGTCGAACCCACCAGTTATAAAATATTAAAAATACACTATTTTATCCACCCAGTCAGCCAAACCTGCAAAGCCAAATTCTGCCCAATGCTTGTTATCAGGTTATGGCTACAAGTTTGATGCAAGATCTGCTATCAACAACTTGTACGTACATTAGCAGCAATTCTCACAATGTAGCCTACATTATTTGCTTTACCATTTTGTCAGCAGTCTTTACCTGCAAAACCCAAGTTAAATGCGGAAACAGATAGCTATGGTTTTTTAGACAAATTTTGTCATTATTTGCTGACAATTGGCTCGAAATTTGCATACAACTGGTTATCAAGGCCGATACAGAGTAACAAATGTTGTTTGTATGAAATTTTTTTAGCCTTAGTTTATACTCTTTAATTCTCACAATTAGAAATTTAAAATTATAGCAAATATGTATGAGTATGTTGGACCAGACGTCCCGGATTAAAGTCGTTCCGTAGCATTCCGCATTGAAAACTGTCCCGGAAAGTGTACCGCATTGGATATGTAACTTTTCGCTGTGGCACAAAATTACTGTTTCCTCTACTTTATACTAAACAGCGCTATTAACTGACAACAAAAATTCAAGTCAAACGTGTCACGTTCAGTCATGTTTGACAATAAGAAAGCTGATAAGCATTTAATTCATTTTCACAGAATCGAATTATGACTCACAAATTTCTTCTTGAAAAAGATTCCTAATTAATGCAGCGTTTCTGCGAATACAATTATAACGGAAGTAACACGAAGGGATAATTAAGAGTACCGCGATACATATGTATCTCTAAATAGCTTACGCTAGTTACGCATCGATCTGATTGCAAGTTGACCGCGAATAGAGCACGCAAATGCAATCGGGCATTTTCCATAGAATTGTATGAATAACGATGAAACTTTCCCACGAGATGTTTTTCCGAGCTTCAATGTCAGGAACACGTAATAATCGTAAACTAAACTATTCCATTCCACTTTTTTTTTCTTACAACGAGGTCACGTTATTGCCGGCGCGAATGGGACTTGAATTGAAAAAGGTTGTGGATGTTCATGCAAATCCATAATTTTATAATCTATACTTACAAACGAAGGAAATTAAAATGGACATTAATTTTCTGTGTCAAGCTTTATTAAGCTGAGAATGAAATCTATCCAGAATTTTATTATTACAAAAATGTTATATTTTTCTAAATTTGAATTCTATTTTTCCATATCTCAATAGTTCCTTCATTGGGATAAAAATATTTTTTTTTTAAGAATGATAGAATCTCAGTACATAATAATAATAAATTATTTCTTCGTAGAAAAGGAAGTACATATATATAGTGCACCATCTCGATACCTACACGATCATTATCGTTGTTAGAAACCAGAAACCCCAGAAACTACCGGCATTCGGTCTCTTGCAATCACGGGACAGTGTTGTGTCGAAAGAACATTGTTCTTCAAAATGAAGTCGCAGGTTCACAATTAAGGGGCAGGATCCGTAACTGCAAACGTTAGTTTTCTGAACACTGAACACCAATCAACCACTGACAATCATGTAACATGCCCTTGGCATAATTTCAATTGTGTTATTACTTCATTGTTATGTTCTGAGAAACTTCTCAGGTTATTCACGACAGGAAAATTAATACTGTCAGAATCACAGTAGGCCACCAATTCATCTTTTCATAAATGCATGCAATTAACAATACCCATATAATAATTATATTACAGAGATGTATTGCAAATATATATGCCCAAGTGTATTAAATGAAGTCAGTGCTAACTGGTACAAATTCAAATCTGATGTAACACTAATATTCAAAAAATTAAATTTAACAGTAGTTTCTTTTAAAATCTAGTTTAGTCTCTTTCTTTTTAAATCTTCTCTAAAATTATAGAATGTTAATATTAATCTGTAACAGGTTCATAGTTAGTTTCTTTTACCCTAAGTATTAGAAGTAGATCAATCAATTACTAATGACAAAATACATGTATTATGGATCATTACAAAAAAAGTAATGCATTTATTTAATTGAATATATACATAAGTTGTTTATTTTATACCCTTAAATACATGCATAATATTATTCTACTTTTCACAGTGTCCCCTAATGAAATACTAAATTGACGCAATGATTAAATAAGGATTAGTTTAAATCTTTTTATACATATATTTGAAATTAAAGCAAATCTAACAAAACTATAAATGAAAAGAGCCATTGTTAAATTACAGACAAAATCGATTACAATAATTCAATTAAATGATTTATCGTAGAGTGTTATATGTTATAAATTATAATATGTATATACATCTATTGTTAATATGTTTTAAATACATATTGTACAGAGTAGGACTAACGTGATATACATAACTATTATACTTTTATTTTTTATACAAAATTAATACGAAAAAAGAATATAGATTATTCAATACTTGAAAAAAAAAATATATGGTATTTAATATATATCCAAACATAAATCAGGTTCCAAACTAAAAATTTTATTATGATTTTTCCTACATAATATTCAGTGTACTGTCACTAAAAAGACTGAACACAAACTTATATTTACTCATAATTATAAACCTTTGTTTCGTTCATTTATTTTATTGGAATCATATCTTTCAATGTAACATGTACACCAAACGACCAAGTATTTTTCAAGTTCTTGTTTAAAATTTTTTATGATACTGCAATAGTAGTATACATTATGAATTTTATAATTTTCAAAGCAGGTTTTTGCAGTAATAAATTTGTCAAGTGACACAAAGCAACCAAACACCTTTACATGGTATACATATTTAATATTCCTTGTTAAGGGTTGTTTTAAAGAATGATAATACTTTAGACATGAAATTATTACAGAATCTTGATTGCAATATCTAGTATAACATTCATCGGAGAAAAAACAAATGGACATTCATTTATTACTAATATAGTTGAAATATTATAAATATATAGTCAATTTTCACAACAAAATTTTAAAAACATCAACAACTGTTTTTTATTACAAACAGTGAAACATTAAAACAGACGAATATTTTCATTGGACAACCTATGTTTCAGTTAATTAGTAATTAATGTCTACTTATATTTTTCTTCCAACTGTACAGTGTTAATGCAAAAATGCTGAGTTATATCATTCCGTACAAAATCTAAGACATATTTCATATACAGTGATGTTATAAACATGTGCAATGTAGATTGTGTGATTCTGATTCGATTATTTGAAAAATGCATATGTTTCATGATTTATTTCGTTACTAAAAACGCGCAATAAAATAGTTCCAGTTTCGATACAAAAACACTTGTATAGAAGAAGAGATGATGGTATATACTGGAAAAGAGAAATATTGATAATTAACACCTTCTGATAAATTTTCTTTCAATATATTGAAAAAGGACTGATAATTTATACACGTTTAATGACTAGTGCATTTATAATTTCTCTACACCTTGGTATCTTAGTTCAGTAAGATGAGATAATTTAACTAAAAATATATATGTACGTACTATTTACATATACCTTACACTATAAGAACATTAAAATTGATTTTGAATATGTCTCTTTCAAAGAGAAGATTCCTTTTTTTTTTAAACGTGTTAATAGACAATGTTCTACCGCTTACATAACATAAATTTCCTTATGTACAAAACTCTTATTACTGAACTCATGTTAGGTGATACAATAAGACGTTTTAAGCTTTTATTAGCAATGGTTATTGTTTGTGTGATCGTCTCTACTATGATTATAAAACAAATACTCCACCACTTTATAACTACATCTATCACCCAATACAATTTGTCCAGTACACAAAGAAAAAGCCTTAGCAGTGTCCAGTATGCCTACAAGTAACAGACTAGCCACAGGCAAGAATCCTAAACCCTACGACACCATCGTAAATTTTCAGCGAAAACGAACATTTAGCGTGCAACTGATTGCAAAGTAGTAGGAACAGCAAGAAATTTATCCATACTAATGTAATTAAAAAAAGAAAATGTGTTTTAAAATAGTTGTTCTACGCTATTTATTCACAGCCTATTTTGTCATTCTGGAAGGCTTATTATACATATTCTCCCTTGCTGTAACACACCATCTCTTCTGCCATATTATACAATATTTACCCCTTAATCAGAGAATTACCTTAAAAGGACGGCGAATATATGGATTCTATTAAATATTTGCGAATCTTTCTTGCCACATGTGAGTTCGGTGTTGAGTAGTTAATATTGGATTAAGAACACGTTCTATACAATTAATACGTCCCTTAAATCGTTCTCTATCTCTAGCCATCTCCTCCCACGGACCTTTTCGAGCTGCACGGTATGCATAATCCCACTGTACCATTATATGAACAGTGGGGTTCAAATTAAATTTCACCTAGAATAAAAATCTCATTCTTTAGTACATAGGAATCCAAGTAAAGAATTCTAGACTGTAAATAATTATTTACTTTTTGAGTCGGAGGAACGAGTTCTACGCGATAGCATGTCGAATTATCGGTTTCTTCATCATCACTAGTTTCATCTAAATCACTTTCGTCGGTGTCCTCAAGATCGCTTTTGTAAATCTCAGATTCTGTTTCGAAAACTATACAGTAACTGTCTTCTGAATCGATGGAACTTTCTGATATTAGGCGCGATCGAAATGTCTTTCTTTGCAAATTGTACCTGTTCTCAACACAATTCTCGTCAAACATATTCCTGTCTTCTCCGCACTCGGATATACATCTCATTCTTGCAGGCACTTTAGACATTCCCTGATTGTAAGTTTTACACATTTTTGGTGTCTGCACTATAGGTTCCACATCAGCAAACGTGAACGTTGCATGGCTAATTGTTTCTGTAATATCTAATCCATCTACCACGTCTTCGTCTAAACTAAAACAGTCTTCTGATTCTTTACTCTCTGTTGTATGATACACATCAAGGTCTTGCCAGTTTTCGAAATCCATTTGTATATCTGCAGCAAGATCGTGCTTTGTGCGTTCCTTTCTGTATCTAGTTTGACTCACTCCGGAACGCCTAAGCTGCGATCTTGCACGACCCCGACCTCGACCCTTCGCCATGGTATTCACTTTTCTTCTTTGTTTTGGCGAGAGTGGTCGTTTCATTGTTATATCGGAATCAATTAAATTTGTTGTAGAAAATCGATCTGTCATGCTGCCATAAACCTTTTGCCACACATTTGTCAACATATCAGATACAGTCTGTTTGTTTGGCTCTACACTTACTATGTCTGAACTGGTTGTGCACAAAAGTGGTTCACTATCTGTGATGAGTTTATCCTTCGCAATATTGTCAAAACAATCAGAAAATTGCTCCTCGCTGGAAAATCTATCATTATTGGTATATTCACAACTATGCATATTTTCTATGTTTCCTGTACTATCCAAACAAACATGCTCGAATGAATCTTCTATACTCTCTTCGTTTAAATTTTCAGTTGTCAATAAATCACAAAAGTTCTCCTCAACAATAGATTTTCCTTTATCAGATCTTTCAGTGTCCTTGTTATCAATACCAATAGAATTGTAGTTGTATTTTAATTTTCCAATTGCGTTTTCATTCAAAATTCTACTTACATATAGTTTCTTTTCACCAAATATATCATGATGAATATTCTCAATAATATTTAAAGACTCTTTCATCGAGGCATTGTGAATATATACACTATCAGTGCCCAATGCATCCCTTTTCGTTGTCATGTCTTTAAAAAATTCAGGGGAAATGAGACCATTGTTTACCACTGTTACTGATAATGGATAATTAATGCCTGTCAAAAATGATACGGGGACTTTGGCAAAACGTTCCCACATGTGGTTGAAAGCATTCAACACACTATGAAGCATGTTCTCCCTCTTTGGATTTAATATTTTGCTCTCCATGTCCATTGTATCCTTCATCAAATACATATTCTCCATGATGCTAGTTTCAAAGATAGATGCTGCACAGAATACATGTCAAATGTAAAGATAGTTGATATTATTACATGAAAATAATTTCATTCAGAAAAGTTTTTAATTTATTTACATACCTTACTCAACACACTGGTAATGCTCTACCACCTCTCTTAGTCCTCATAAATCTTCTTTGTTGCACTATAATAAAAATTAAAATATTAGACGCGTTATTCAATCATTCTTATCTCAATGATTACAAAAGTGTCGTTATAAAAATCACTATTTCTTCGATAATATCGCAAATGTATGGCTTGCGCTTATACTTTTGTAACTGACTGTATTTCCTATCAGGTATAGAAAGAGTCCTCAATATAAGATTCTTACGCATTTTCCAACAAAAAGCATTTCGTTTTGCGTACATGTTGTTTTGCAACGTATAAACCGTACGATTTAATATTTTCAAGAGCATAAGAACGTCTAAATTTGATACGCTACATTTTTATTCTGTTAAAAACATCCGCGAATCGATGTATACCGTTTACAATAGTAACGCGATCCCGCCACGGGCTTACGCGCACATTCCAGAGAACGACATTGGTTGATATAGCGAATCGCGTAATGACGGTGTGACCAAACCCTTGACATTACTCTGGTTCTCGCGTACGGTTGTAATGATTATTACGATCTATTATTACACGCCGTAGCGCAATGATCCTACGGAAAATATATTTTCATACGCATACATACAACAAGGCAAATTCCCAATGCCGTGACAACCACAATCACGTAGACAATCTTGCTCGCAGTACGACGACTGATTCTTCCTTGTAACAAGTTTGTGGCTTTCGAACAAAGAGTTTTCGGTGAATCTCGTTACGTCGGACACAATGCTTCGCTTGGATTCTTTATTAATCTCGAAGGATTCCATTGTAAAGGTACACATTATCATAGCACACATTTCGGGGACAACTTTTAAGCGGCCATTTTCAACTGGTTGATACTCCTAGCACTCGTGATTCACGCGAGACAGTGGCGCTGTTTTACCAACGTTTTGCACGTACGCTATCTTCGAATTCACGATAAAAGGACTGAATGGCATGGAAAAATTGTACCAATTATCTTTCACGATAACAACACACCAGTTTTGAATTTTTCTTTAAACATTCTATGTATAGATTTCAAATAGTCAAAATTGCTGAATAAAAGTATTACATAATTATTCAACTATATGGGAAGTGATTCATCAACTGATGAAATCCATTGTTTCGTCGTAGAAATTATTGCACGTTGCATGTCTGATGCAAATGTAGGAGTATAATGTAATTCTTTGTGTGCAGCTTAATCATACACACTCATAGAAGAAATGGAGAATGATTAATTGAACACTCAAAACAATTTGTACTAGACTTTATTGGAAACGATACTCTTTTTAAAACATATAATTCTAATCACATTAGAATGTGTCTTTGTAACAGTAATAACTTTACAATCATCATTGTAGTTTATTGTACATTCAGATTACTGACATAGAAAATAATACAAGATATACAATTTACTACTCCTGAATAAGAAATGCTTATAAGTACTGCAACCCTATACCAAATTGAACCGGTCGCAATACATCGCCTTTACCGTACCAGAAAGGCCTAATTAGATTCAATTCGATTCTTGCAACGTCTCCAAGTTTCATTACAATACCGCCACCAACCGAAGCACGTATATCGTCCGTGAAGATTTTCATATTCTTTGTTAAATTATTTGCTGAAATAAAAACATTAATTACTTTTATATGTCCAAGAGAATTTCAGTTAACTGATCAAAAGTTTCCGCAAAAAATATGGAATGTTTCACTTAAATTAGTCATAGTGACCTTTAAGTTTTGATACATAAGTTCATATTTCAAAAAGTAGTTAAGTGTAAATTCATATTACAAAGTTGTCGAAATAATTCTGTAGCAAATTTGATGTCTCGTACCGCACATTAGATTTCCACCGTTGACAAAACCATGTAATCTGAACAGATCTCCGAAACCATTTCGACCAGGCCTGAATGGCAGCGGTGTATATAAATGAAGCGCAAGCGCCCAATACGCGTCGCCACCTAGAGAATTGTTATCTTTTCGGGGTCCACAACCCCTCATGTCGAATCCTCTGAGGTTCAGTGGTCCTCCCAAGAAGAATCGGTCCACTATGTTTACTTTCTTATCGTCATTAATTCCTCTGAGCAGTCCAGTCTGAAGACCCAACTGGAAATTCTAATATAAACATTTATAATAATATTAGTTATACAAGAGTCAAAACAGTTAGTGAAAATATATGTATAATTTAATATAATAGAACTTCAACTATTTTGGCTTGTGCAAGGAAATCAAGTACTTGTCACGGGCTTGATCGAAGTTCTACTGTAATTAACGTTGAATGATACTTGCAAAGTATTCGTGTGGCGACCAATTAGCTTGCATGACGAGTTCATTTTTAACAAATCCAATGTCTCCACCAAGCCCAGCCACTTCTGTTGAAAACTGAACGAGACTTCCCACAGTAGGGAATATCGTAGAATCTCGTTTGTCGATAGTATAAATATACCGTAACGCAGATTTCAAGCTAGGACCACTTTGTTCGCGAACGGAAAACGATGCTTGCTTCGCAGAAATGATTTTCCTATATGTAGCTTCGTACTGTAGATTGTGTTTCAGTATACCTGCCCCATCTGGGTTAAGAGCAACATCTAACAAAAGGCCTTTGTCACGCTCATTAAAACCAGACCATGGAAAGTCAGTGCTTGTGTTAAATACGCTAGCACTTAGCCTGTAGAAGAAATTAAATTATAATAATGGAAATGTAAATTATTCAACTGATTAGAGTATTACATACACTGTATGAAGCCAATTATCCACGAGTGGTTTAATAGCCGACACATTTACATTTGTGGAACTTTTTGTACCATGGGAATATTCCATTTGAAGACGTTCTCCTCTACCAAATAAATTGGGCGTTTTCGCTCCAATAATTACAGAGCCTTCATTGTTTCCGACCATAGTGTTAATGCCACCTATCAAGCGTCCAGTTTCATGTACCGTAAAGGTAACCTGGAGAAGAACATAAAACATATGACATTTCTCACAAAAATATCCAATCTATAAGCAAATAGTTTGTTAATGGACTGAAAAGAATTAAATCTGAGAAATTACTTATTTGTTGTTGAATTAGTGTGTAATTATATAGACCCACTTCAACACCTTCTGGGGAAGCATGAGGACCTTCACTGGTATCAATGTAAACTCCCACATTTCTGAAACATCCTATTGCCTCTAGTTTTCCCTTGACTCTATGGGCACGTATGATAACATCTTGAAAGTCTTTAGCTTTAAAGAGGTCTGTTACTTGAGCCTTTACAATATCATCTTTCGTTCGCTTAAGTCCATCCACATGTATTCTGTCAACTCTTGCCTGTGTAATAAAAAAAAGTTGAAATCGAATATATTAAAAAAAGAATGAAGTATCAAATATAGATTTGAGCTTAAATATACCTTCATTGTTAGCAAATCAACAGGCTTTCCTTCCATTTCATTCTTCCGTAATATGTTCTTTCTCTTCTTAAAATTTGTGAATTAAAAATAAATATTGGTAAATGATTACATTATTTAAAAAATAGCAATAGAAAATATTTCACTGGAAATATAAATTGTTTCAAGTGAAATCACAAATGATTACTTACAGAGTCATCTTTTTTTTTAGGAATGTGTTTTTTTTCTTTGGGAATAGCATCATTTGTGTCCTGATTTAAGTTTCCAGAAATATTTGATGCCTAAAATTAACGAAACATATTATAAATTATTCAAATATATTAAATCCATAAAAAATGTAGAATATGAATAAAAAGAATAGCGAAGATGAGAGAACCTACCATAAAATAAATGGAAATAGGAAAACCTAATATAACTTCTAAGTAACAGATTACAGAGAAACGAATTATTATTAGAAATTACTCAGACTGTAAATTAATAGTCTCGATTTTAGGTTATAGCGTGCTTTTCTAATAATATAAGCTTACCTTTGCATGGACAGTTCCCATTCTTGTTGAAGTTAATTTTATTCGTTTTGATGGGAACTTACATTAAAGTATTGTAGTAAATTTTGTCAACTCCTTCTTAATATTTAAGAATAAAAAAAAATAGATAAATTTTTCAAATTAAATATTCAGAACATTCAAAATGACTGAGAAGCGTATGGCGTATGGCTATGGCATTGCTATCACGCGAACAGAGGCATCGCCCTCTGTAATAGTGCATCTGAAATAGTAACATCACCACTAACATGGCAATGTTATATACCAAGATTACCAAGCAGTAAATTTCACAAACTGAATGTATATAAATGATCATCTTTGGAGTTGTAAAATATGTAAAAAACTGTTAATAGGAGAAACAGAGCAGTAACAAAAAAATAATTAATATAGAAGAATAATCATTATACCCTCACTTCAGTACAATAACTGGTCAAAAGTAAATTTTAAAGGTCCAACTACAAATTCATATTACACACATCTTAATGGAAATAAGTATTATATTTTACGTCTATAAGTTACATTATAAAATATAACATATGTGTATATAATATATGCATATAGAATTAATTATATATTTTTAACTGCAAAAAAATAATGTTATCAATACCAGAGATGGCAGCTTAACATATTTAAATATACATACTCCTTACTGATAAATATCTAAAAGAGTGACTGATCTTGGAGACATCACAGTGTGAAGATTTGCACAATTAATGTATGTTTAATCGAGGTAGATTTTACTATGATATTGACAGAAATATGTCTTATTATAAAGGGAAAAATTGCGTTTTAGTAAAAGTTGAATGCCAGATCCAAATTTTGTACACAATACAAATTCACTCGTCAAAATTAGTCCCGCTTATTGACGTAATCATTTACAGGAACTTTAAAAAGAGGAAGACTTATGAATCTATAAAATTATGTTCCGCATCCATACTATAATAGAAGTCAATTGTCATGTACAAATAGAATGTTTTTCATGTGTACAATAACAATATAAATTGAGAAAACACATAGCGACTGAGTAAACACTTAAAGTTAGAAATGTGATATACTTTCTTTATAACATCCCTTCATATACAAACTATAACTTTTCATATACTTCTAGTGAGAAATAGTATATTTAAGTTCATGTGATTTCCTAGCATAAGTAAAGAGACATTAAAGCTTTCTGCGACGAGAATACTTCCTCCATTTCAGATTCATTAATGTAATAAATTATTTAGCAGTCATATAAGACTATTATAAATGTGTGTGCGTAATTAAGCACTTTCTTTCTTAAACCTTCTTACTGTCCACACTACTGTCGGTAGAACTTCGAACGTCAATAGACTTCCAGGTGGAATAGTTTTAAATATCATTGTCATTTTAAAATTATCATAGTGCAGCTGGACCCACTCTTGAATGTGTATTAGAAGCAGGCACAGGACTTCCATGAATTTCTAAATCAAATTCTGAATTTGACAAACTAGTTCTCATGACCCTGCTCCACCGATTGGTGTTCTCGTTCACGTCAGCCGATCTAACACACGCGCGGCGTGCTTCTTGTCGAATAATTAATTCATTGGTCATATACGCCTCCCGTCGAATACGATCCCGTAATTTTGGATTCATATCGGGAATGCACCATCGTATAAGTATCATCACGAGAGCCACGATATTCTGCAAAATACGATATCATTTATTCGGTAACTGAATATGCACAGCGTATAAGATGAGTCACAAGAAGCAAAATATTAAAGTATCCATCATGGATATAAAAATACAAGCATTATTGATTAAAATAAAAATATAATTAGACAAGGTACATACCTCGAATACAACAACGAAAGCTAATCTTGCGGCTAATACATGCCAAAACATGATCGAATATTGATATTTATTTGATGAGTTTGGTGGTTCCCTGTAATCTGGATACCTGCATGTGTCAATCTGTTCGTGGGCGGGTAAGGAAAACGGTTCAGTTCCATTTTTTAAATCGCTCGTATTAAACTTCGACAGGGAATGGTCCAAGAAACCTTCTAGAGAATAATTGTCGGACACGGTGATTCGATAAACTAATCGTGGTATAAAATTCGATGTAAAAGCTATAATAAACGCCTAAAAAAATATCGGTCACTTATATACATTCTGTTGCGGAAAATATTTCACCCATAAATTTTCAAACTTACATTTGTTATAACAGACAGTTTGGAAATGGAATCGAGAATACGATACCATATACCTATGTCTATGACACGCTGTCCGACTGGCCTTCTGTACATTATTAACAATTTTTTCGCATCCAGTCGCATTTCAAAAACGTTATTCAGTAATGCAAAAAATGGCGCTAACGGAAATGCAGCAACGAAAATGGTAACAAACCCGTATTGTAATACTAAAATAAATAGAAATCATTGAAAATTATACAAAATGCACTTAACAGATTTATGTAAATACAATACCATTACCCATTTCTAAATACTCCGGGAACAAACTTCTCGGGCCCCATTCTACTAATTTATAGTCTTTGATCCATTGAAGATATTTTCTGGCGGTAGTTTTTCTCTCTCCATTCGTCTTCATTCCAACGTGTACTTTCAAGGTATTTAACCATTTGTAAAATAGTGGGAAAAGCATTTCTAATATTGTATTCATCGCTTGTTTGCCAATCATAATGATGCTCAATTGTATACACAGCTCCATAAGGCAGCCACCAGGACCACACTCCTCTTGCCGATAATCAAAAAACCGATTATAATTTCCTGGATACCCAACGAACTTTCCTTTGAAAAATGCTATATAAAATATGGAAGCATAATAATTTACAAATTCAAGTAGATATATTTTTAATGTTAAACTATCGTCGAATTCAGTTTGTGTTCGGAGTAATTCGATCTGCAAAATATTAAAGCAGGTATCACTCAAGGAAATGCAAGAAAAAAAATATGCATTTGAACATTTACTTTTCTATTCGCAATACCTCTGTTAAATATTCTGCCAACCAAACATAGGCCCAGTTGAACACAACAATGCAGCACAAATTGATACTGGCTGCAGTAGCTGTAGTAAAGAGTATCGCATAACTGGTTACCATAGGATGTCCATAAACGCTTAACGCGGTTAACACAGACATCCGATATAGAACAACTCCTAAGACAGCCGCCATGGCTATGGCAATCTGAGTCACATTACAATTTAAAGTCAATTTATTGCAAATAGCAATTACTTAATTTTTTCAGTTACCTCCGAGTAAACTTACCAATAATAAAACGACTGAAAAACTAAGAATCGTGGCAGGCAGTCTCATTTTCCAAAATGGTACCTTTGGTTCTTCGGTATTTGTAATAATGTTGAGGGACTTCTTTTTTACATGTGCTAAACGTGCTAAGTACTGGGGTCGAGGATGTTCCTCTTGAGCATCTAAACCAGTCAAGTCCCATTTATGGGTTATTTCAGCCGAGTATCTCTTCCACAATTCCAAAAACAACGTAGCTAATAAAAAACATACGAAAATACGAATAATTAATCGAGGACTCACAATTTAATATTAATATTACGGATACTCTATAATAACACATACCCCATAATGACATAAATATAGAAAAAAATACAGTAGATGGATTATCAAATAAATATGTAATTCTTGAATGCAGACAAGTCTCTTTCAAATCCCAATATCCACAAAAGTGGTCACACAAGGGACACATTAGAATGGTACCATTACCATTGCAAACGTCTTCGCTTGGTTCATTAGAATATAGGGTTGCACAACTATATATAAAGCAAAGAAGACCAACGACACTAGCTGGTATCAGCATATGCGTGTAAAAACCAAGCCAAGCGAAGTAAAGGCCAATTTTTACACCAAAATATTCTTTGATATAATCTAAGGGTTGATAATGAAGACATTTCTTCAGACTGGCCCATTCAGTGTATAAAAGATATCTCATCGACTCTGGTGATTGTAGATCACCCTGAAAAGAAAAGAGAAATCAGCATAAGATTTTGAAAAATTTGAACAGCTTCGAAATTGCAGATGCATCGTTAAAATTTCAAATCAACCCTCGAAGTACCGTTTTCTTAATAGCACGGTTTAACGTATAATACCTAAATCGTTTTTCTGAAACATTAGTACCGCCGCGTATTAACGGTATGTCCCCCCTAATCGTAGCAGGTATAAAGGGCGAGACGAGGATCGAGGAGGTGCAGGTATAATAAAGTGCCCAGCCCTCGAAGGCGCGAGCTTATTGCAACGCCTCTATTGTTTCAAACATTTCTTCAAACTGGGAAAATCAATTTTATGGCACCTTTCTTCCTGATGTATAATAAAAGACGGTAAATTAACGGTATTTTTATTAAATATGCAAAATACTATTATAAACTTCATAAAGGCATAGGTCATTCCATTTCAGAAATATTTTTCTTTCTCATAAGAACACTACAAATAAAAGTACAAGTTGACTAGTTTCCTTTAATATTTCAATTAATAAATTCAGAAAACATTTTCGGAATTGAAACTTCATGAAATTTTGCATTTATTATTCACAAGGAGTCAAAGAACTTCGCGTAATATAGAAATACGTCATTATATAAGTTTCCCTTTAGAAACACAAAACAGAGTAATATTCAGGTAAAGTTTAAATGCTCAACTGCAATTTTATTACCCTCGACGACCGTACTACGAACCGATGGACAAAGGATACAATAAGAGTCCAGGTGGTTCTATTGAACGTCCATACCTGAGTAGCCCGTCTGATAACCGTACCCTATCTATCCGAGTGTGTGCATAAAAGGGGATTAGGGCAAGACACGAAAATCCTATAAGCCGTTTTGTGTCCAGTACAAAGTCAAGCAGGGTGGTTACATTTGAGCCGAAGGGGCTCGTCGTCACCGAATTTATTATGCGTCCTCCTACGAAAATCGGAGAATAGGATAATGGGCTGTTTGGAAGGTGCGAGCGGAGGAATGCAGTGGGCTAGTATAAAACAATGTGGTGTTTCCAGCAATTACTGTACGCTAGAGGTATCCGTGTCTTAACAACCGTGACCATTTAAAGAGAGGTGTGTCCCGACGGAATGATATCTTCCACCGTGAGCAAATATTTTCCGCGAAAAAACCCTGCCCCCCACCCCCAAAAGAAACCATTCAGCTTACATCATGTAGAGGATATGCAGCCACGTACGCTCTGTCCGAAATCAGCCTTTCTATTCCAAATGCAAAATCGTCGTCCATGGTCTCGGTGAATCTGGTCCTGTCTAAAATAAAGTGTACTATCCTGGCGCGCGTTGCGGCGGTAAAAAAATTCGGCGAATCGAGGTCGAATAAATATTCTTTATCACGGCTGTAAACTGCCGTGAAGTTGTGTTTCATCGTCGGAAAGATCGTTTCGTCGACGTAGTATTTTTTCATGATTCTTTTGAATAATGAATTGACCTCATTGATCAATGTGTTGCCACGGTTCTCGGGAACTCTTCGGCCTTCTAAATCTTTCGTCATTGGCAGTCTAAGTTTCAATATTTCGGCATACCGTCTTAATACATCTCTTGGCGCGTGTATCTTTATGAAATGAAGACCATTTGGTTCGGCTTGCTCGTACTCCAGTTGTAAACCCTCCTTTTCCAAGTTCTTTTCAAATACCTACAAATTCAAAATAGACTATCGGGTAGTTACATATAAAGAGCGTTCCATGATACGAGGGCAAAATTTTAAATACAGAAAAAGCAGATATTTTGCAGTTTTCTTTCGAGTCTGTTTAAGTAAAATTCAACTTACCCGTCTGCATTCTGTGCTACGATATCTTTGAGCCTCTGTGTTATATTCATCCCAAACAAGGACAAAATCAATTGTACGAACTTCATCTTGAAAGTATGAACTAAATGCTGGTTTGGAATTCGAGACCTACACAAGCATAAGATTAATTGTTTGTAATTGTAGATTTTGAGTCACACATATTATTGTATATATAAAATGTAACTTACAATTCTGGAACCTCTTCTACTGTCCCTTAAATCTGTACAACTACCATCAAGAATTGTTACATTTGCTTCATTGTTAATAATCAATGTATTGACATTATCAGGCTGCCGAATTTCTTCCATTGATATTGCACTGTGCATACTGTTTAAACTGTTCATACTTCCAGCATCATATATAGTATTGCGAACACTCTGATACAAAGTTTGCACAGAACCTGCATTTAAATTACTTTGTACCGATCTATAAAGACTGGCATCAGGTGTTTCACTTTTATCCTTTTGTATCCAAGGTATGGAAACTTCTTCATCATCTTCTTCCATTTTAATTGAACAGATCAGTACTCAAATTCTACTTATTTGAATCAAACAACGTGTACTACATGCAAGCCAGATAAAAGGAATTTGTGTATTTATAAGGATCACAAATCATTTACAAATAATTTTTAACTAATTCTACACTACCGTTTTGTATCGAACGAGGTAACTGTAAGCTACAGTGAAACTAAGAGGTTAATAATAATCATTAACTAATCATTGGTTCTAATATATGTAACTAAAAATGTAATAAAAATTCTAACGTATATAATGACCCCACGAAAAGTGCAATTTACATATGAAATAAAAAGTGCTAACAAAAATAATATTTTATTTCTAATTTTTTATGTTAACAGATATAATTTTTGTTAGATTTTCTACATACATGGAAAGCCAAGGTTCGAATATGTTATACTCTTACACAATTTTCATCAGTTGTCCATCGAAAAATCTTTAGTTCCGGATGTTGTTAAGATATGAAGCAGGAAATTATTCTACATCCGTCTCCGTATTGTAGGTCCATCATGTCTATTCACAATTTAACCTTTCTTTTTACATGAATTCTGATACGTGTTTTAATTGAATCATTCTATTTATTCCATTTTTGCGCGTGTGATGCACCTACTCTGACCGTAATAAATTCATGGTCCAAAGGCAAGCAAAAGCATGATTCTACAGATACGTCATGTGTGCATGAATTGCATTAGTACATATTGGATATAGGATTACAAATAGAAATTGTACTAAGTTACTAAGTGATCACGTGGTCATTAAATATTAGCATCATAATAAAAGAATTAACAACGAAACGTAAACTGTGACAAAATCGGAATAAATACATGACCCATTTCCTTTTTTAAAATAAATTAGAAGCAACTTTTGTAAAAACTAAGTTATAAACATAATTCCTTGTAAAAGTATTATTTCATTCGTTTAATCATTATGTACAAACACATAGATTTTATTTTGTATAAAACAATGGCAGTACAAAATTATTTTTTTAGTCCAACATATGAAAATAATTCAATAATATTTTTAATAGTGACAAATAATAAAATACATATAATGATAATACAAACTATATCTTATAAATGTTTCAATAATACATAAGTTTATGTAAACAGAGTATATTTTACATTTCCTGTACATTATATAAATCTATAATTACATTTTTCTTAATTCAATTGAGATTGAATCATGCATTTCCTATTATGTACAATTATTATAATAGAGATTATACTTCTTGCATAACTAAAGAATTCAGTTCATCTTCTCCTGGACATAAGACTGAGTCAATGTTATAGAAAGCAGCATGTAGAGTTATCAGGAACCAAGATACACCTAAAATAAATATAATTTGCATGTTCATTTTACATTCAAATAACATTTCTACATAAATATATATTTATTTCATTTACCAAGAACCCAGAAAAGTGCTGCACCAGCACCGACTAAATAAAATATTGGCAATGAACAGATTCCGATTAAACTATACACTTGAGCCAATGTCAGTTTGTGATTCAAAACCATAAGTTCTTGCTTAGCATGTCTTTGAGAAATTTTGTAACATGTTCCAAGGGATGCTGCAACAGCTAGCAGCAAAAGCGGCGATGTTATCCTAACATATGATCAATATTACATTTAGGATGAAATTATTTCGTAATAAAATAAAAATATAAAAACACATCTTACAGGCAATATATAACTAGTCCAATGAACACAAATAAATAATTACTCTGGAAGTATTCAATATTTCTAACAATCCTTTTACTCAATCTTGGTAAACTTGGTGGAGGCCTAATGTTGCTTGTGTTGAGAAACAAAGACCATGGCCTGATATTAGCTTTTCGATGTTCAATCCATTCATGTGCTTGTGGATACCCTATCTGGCTTAGTGGAAGCTTTGGTATTTGTAGAAATTCAAGCCTAAATGTTAAAACATATCATTCTACAAAATGTTAACAATATTGCATACTTTAGTCCTATAATTGTACTTGAAATAGGTTCACAGAGAAACTAAATTATTTCCCAAAAATATCATTTATTTACAGACTATGGATTTCATGCTTTTGTTTAAACCTGAAGTGAAACATATACACTGATTATATTCTTTAATAAGTAGTAATAATATAATAATACATAATGCAAGAACATTAAAAATACTTAATGCCATATGGACTGTTTAGTATAAAAATGAGCTTTTCTTGAATATTAATCAAATTGCACAAAGACGTTTGCCCCGTCCAATATGAATAAAGTAGAGATCGTAATAATGTTTAATAAGTTAATTATTTTATTTTCATTTTATGTTCATCTCTAATTACAGTAAAATAACCCATAAAAATGCAACATTCCATAAGCGTATGCAGTATATTTATTTAGTTAAATATAAAAGAAAGTCTGTCCATGTATTATTAACAGCGTGTGACATGTCATCAAGACAGTGTCGCAGTTGTTGATTCGTTTCTTTGGAGGTTAGTAAACATCTGAAATCTTTGTTCATAAAATCAGTATCTCTATTATTACCCGCTGTCAGATTTCTGTTTCTGTTGGGGCATTTGCATGTCACCCGCGACCTCGATTTCCACGTCAGCCATCCTTTCTTTTACCGTTCAAATCTTTCAGAAGCAACTACTGCGTGGACAAGGAAGCTACTATCTTCTGTTTTACTTGTTTCTTTTTTTTTTGTTTTAAGCGGAGCCTCGCGTCCCCACCGCGAGGCGTCTGCAGCCTCGTTTTAGAAACAACCCGTCGTAGGCAGTAAAATTCCCATCATATCGCACATCGAACTACTATGTTACCCCCACCATTAGGGCCGCCGCACTAACACACAGACACGCGTTTGCGCATACAAACGCTACAGGTTGCAGCTGCTCGATAAAAATTCTTTCACTGCCTCCTTCGTAAAACTTCTTTCACGAAAAGGGCTCTTTGTCTGGTTAAGGTAAAAGACGCGAAAGATTTTTCCTGGCTCGCGTCAGCCGGCCGCTTTCGTTCGAACAACCGTGAAGAAGGATTCTTCCTCGATTTTCTGGGGTGCGTTACGGTATATTCACTGCATGCTATTTTTTTTACTATAATAGAACGCTTCTTTTAAATTGAATATTTCACTTTGTTCGTCGGGAAATCGGAACACGCATCTACTCGTCTGGATTTCCCAAATTCTATAATCTTTTGGAACAAATTAAATATAGAGATTCTATTTCGTGTTTCAATTCATCGAACGAAATGTATATTTGTATTAATTTAAATTAATTGCTTCAATTCGGGTGAACCTTGGCACGATATACCTTGACTGTGGATGTTTACAATTTTATCGAATTTTCTGTCCATTCAAAATATATAGTAATAATCTTTGGACCGATCGTATATTATGCTGCAGTTGTTGTTAATAATCAGACTTAAGTAAAATATCTAATAAATTTGAATATCTCGTAAGTTTTGTTCAAGTTCGGCTATATTACTATAGATATAGAATTTGAGTGTGAATTTAAACATCTAGTATATCGATTAATTTATTCTTTATAAAAATGAAACAAAAACGTAATGAACTAACTTTATGTAATATATAAACTAAACATTCAGGGAATATCGTTTGAAATAGAACTCGGAAATTCAGTTAAATTAATATTAGTTATTATCAATTAAATCTGTAAAGATATAAATTTCTGTAAACATCTGTAGAGTGTTAATGAATTAAATAACAATATCGTAACGCATGTTTCCGCGTGTTACAGGCTCAAAGAACTTCGAAACGGTGAATGAGGTCATCGCCAAAGAGGCAAGATTTGTTTTCATCGATTATCCGCCGAGAGATCATCATCGGTTATTTTGAAGCGTCCTTCGGATCGGACTTTCAAAGAAATAAAGCGTGATACAAAGTTTTTAGAATTTTGCTGCGAATGGTCCTCACCCTTGGAAAGCGTGTGCAGATGACGCTACTATGTACGACCATTGTGAGTAACCGCGGCCAATAGGAGAGCGCGTTACGTCGCGGCCAATAGCCACCGGTTTGGAACGTCTCACGCGATTGGTCGCTCGTAATTTCCCAAGTAACATCGGGCCACCCGCCATAACGAACGTGAGCGTGGTACGAGCGATTGTTTGAATGAACGTGTCGAAACGTAATTGACAAGATTTTCTTAATTACTACCGAAATCAGTCGGGTGTACACAGTGCACACGGAACAGTTGTATGCACGGGAACTTGATGGTGACAGTCTGAAGTCATGGAAATTGGGCAGAAGTTGCATTTTGAGGCATGCGACATTCGGGATGAGGAGCTGAATATCAGCTGTCGCACGAACAGTTCTGGTTGTGATGTCGACGATATTTTAGACTCTTCGGCGGAGGATCTCGGCTGTTCGCCACCACTTCAACCGAGGAAATTGTCGTTTAGTAACACGATGGACTGTAGTGACAGTGAAAATAATCAAAGCGTTTTAATCAACAACAAAACTCCGATCGGCAACGTGACAGGTTAGTAGCGTCTCTTGATTTTCTACCCTACTTCGTCTAGCCTTTAAAAACATCTTTATTGCATCTCGTCCTTAAACGTGTTGTTTATTGTTCCGTTGATTCTGTTAGTGTTTGGTTCAATAACAGTAGAAATTATGTTTTTCTGTAACTAGCCCCTTACACTACAAATCATATTACATTATTTTCACTCTTTATTTCGTTCTGTGTTATCTTATTTTTTACTATTCGTTGTATCAGTGCTTGTAGACTGTGTATGTTGTACATTTATTGTGGAGAATACAATAAAGTAAACATTTTATAAAAAGAAGCTCATAGTCTACAGTATATATTCAATTTAATGAGACTCTGAATGAGAGAAATAAATTCGTTTAATTTGTATTTTTTTTGTAAATTAATTTATGAAATTGTCATGATTGTTATTATTTTGTTTTGCAAATTTCAAAAGTCTTGAAACTTTGAAAAATTGCATAGTGCATGTTGATACTGCAGTTAAGTATTTCATTTGGTCTTTGTAATTTTTCATTGTTTTGGGTGTTTGTAATTATTTTTGTATAATGTTTTGAATTTTTAATGTATATTGAGCATTGGTTTCATTGATATCTGTTTATGGTATGTTTATACCTTGCTTTTGGGTACTTGGCTTTTATATTGTTGATTGGTACAAGTGAATTGTATTTGTTCTTGAAAATGTATGCATGGTGTGGGAAAATTGATATTGCTACTAGACAATTGTTTTGCATCATGCATATTGTGCTTGTTTAAAATATCTTTGAGTAGTCAGTAAATATGATTAGACTGTGTACTGATGTTATCTCAGATTTTTAAATTCCCTGTTCCCAGAGCATCTAGGAGTTAAAAATACGTTTTTTCCTTATTTTATTCAAGAATTGAATACTTATAATTTTTATAAAATGGGAAGCTATTTTAATAAACTTGATAATAAGATTATATTTCCATGGATTTTTAGTCTTTCTCTAAATTTATTACAGTACATTGACTAAGAGAATTATTGCTCACATTTATCTAGCATTTTATTTTGTCGAACTTCGTTGATATAAAAATTGGGAAATGGATGTTTCATTGATTATACGTGTTAAATCAAGTTGTTTTATGTAGTTTACTTGTAGATAATATATTCCAAGCTAAACAAGAATGTGTGTTTCTAAAGAAATACAATAACTGAATTTACATTGTTTTATTTAATCTGCTCTATTCCTTCGGTAATAGTAGTAATAATAATCATAAATGTATTTTCATGTACGATAGTTTTCGCTTAATCGACGCAGGCTAAAATCCGCGTCACAACAGTTATACCGTCGGAGACGAGAATGCGAAATATTGCGTGCGAGTGAAATAGAGAGGAAGGTTCCGAACAGCTGTTTTGCGAAATGTAGCACAGATAACACGAACACTCGGTTCCGTGGTGGGGGGGGGGGGGGGGGGGTACGTGAATTAAACGATGACTACAGTACATGTTATACGGGTGATTTGTCACAATGTCTTACATGATTTTGATACTTTCAATTACAGGTACATCTAGAATTAGGATTCCTCCCCGTGAGAATGTGTGCTCGCAAAAAATGTCAATGGCATGCAGTCCACCCTATAAGCGTGTTAGGGCGTTGCGTTTATTTGACTCGCCTGCTACTCCCAAAACCTTAATGGAGAAGAGTGCGTTGCATCCTCAGTTCCCTTCCAAGTGTACTAGACTGTTTGCATTAGAGAAACCAAGGCCTTGTAACTACCAAACGAAAACTGACAACAAACCTGCAGCGAATGTGAACCCATTTACACCAAACGGAATGCTGTTAACTGCAAGGAAGCGTACTAGATCTAAACGTAGTCTAAATAGGTAAGTAAAACAATACGAGAATATATTATATTCAGTTAACATCTACTTTCATTATCGTCGCAAGTAAATGCATTTCCGAAATTTCACACGTGTAACCAATATACGATCGTTGTGTCCGTTTATGTTCGATTAGCTCTCCGGACATTCAAATCCCGAAGTTCGATCTCGCCGATTCTGACGACTCGGACAACGAGGAGGTAGAACAGGCAACGAAACGCGTCGCTTTACAAGACTCCAATATCCCCAGATACCATCAAGAGTTCCACGAACTCGGGCTGATTGGTACAGGGGAATTCGGTTCCGTTTACAAGTGCATCAATCGATTAGACGGATGCACCTACGCTATCAAGAAAAGTATCAAGCCAGTCGCTGGTAGTATTAACGAGAAGAACGCTTTGAACGAGGTTTACGCGCATGCTGTGCTCGGTAAACACCAGCATGTCGTGCGATATTATTCGGCATGGGCGGAGGACAATCATATGATTATACAAAACGAGTATTGTAACGGTGGTAGCCTAGCGGACGCTATCGCCAGCTTACAGAACGAAAATAAGAATCTCACGGAGGCGGAGATGCGACAACTTTTGCTACATGTTGCGGAAGGTTTAAGATACATTCACAGTATGCAGTTGGTACACATGGACATCAAGCCTGGAAACATATTCATCTCGAAGGAGAAGAGGTTACTCGCGGTTAATTACGATTCAGCAGACGACGGATTCGACGAAGAGGAAACCGTCGAGGAAGAGATTACGTATAAGATAGGAGACTTAGGCCACGTTACGTCTGTTAATAACCCCCAAGTCGAGGAGGGTGATTGTAGATATTTGCCGACAGAAATTTTACGGGAGGACTTTAGCCATTTATCGAAAGCTGATATTTTCGCCCTTGGGTTAACCGTTTATGAGGCAGGCGGTAGCGGTCCGTTACCGAAAAATGGACCGGAATGGCATGACATTAGGAACGGAAACTTGAAAGAATTGCCACACTATAGTCGCGACCTTAACGAATTACTTAAAGTAAGTATTGTACAGGGGTGATGTATTTACTAATTCGTACATCTTAATTCATATCATGTGAAGTGTACAGAATTTGGTCGTCTTCCTACGGCACTTAAAATGTATAAAGTTTCTTAACGTGTTTCTTTTATTTTAGTTAATGATCCATCCGAACCCTGAAATGAGACCATCGGCAGTGTGTCTCATTCAACACAGAGTACTGTGTCCGTTTGGAAATAAAACAAAGGCGCAGCTTCGACGGGAATTGAACGCGGAGAAGCTTAAAAATGAAATTCTCTCGAAGCAATTACAGGAAGCGGCGAAGTGTCTAAAAACCATTGCACCGAACGTGGCGGCCATGAGTACAATGAACGCTGGAGGCTACAAGTTGAGACCGACGCCGACCAGAACATCGATACGAGCAGTGGGTAAAAAAGTCAATCGAAGTAATAGCACTACGAATTTTTGAAAGTTCTGTGTTATATATTCTTTTTTTGCTGGACTAAATGAGGGAAGGGGGGAAGTAAAGGTGCTTAAGGAATAAATAATTCTTTTAAGTGCCTTGACATTGTGATATGAATTAACTCTAGTTTGTAAGTGAAAATACTGATCGATATTTGATGAATACGGGAACGCAAGATCGATATGCAGAGTGAAATTGCATGATAGTCATGGGTAAACTTTCTTGCCACGATGAAGGTATCGAATTGATGAGACGAGTGTGGGACACAAAAAGCAGGTAACTTCTTAACTCGTTGTATTTTACGCTGCATTTATTACTTAAACCAGTCGTGGATGGGTAATACAGTAATTTAATACTGTTAGTCCATGTATATTGTGTTTGATTCTTTTCTTTTTTTATGTAAGATAAAAAGTAGATACTGAAAGGTGTAAAAAATCTATTTCTTTACACGGTACAAGAATAATTTTTATTTACATAGTTCACTATGTGCCTTCAATGTTCTTGTTACAATCTTTTTTTTTACTTGCTTTGTACAATTACAAATATATACATCATTTTACAATACTTTCACTTTGTAGTCCAATCGACAGTATTATAAAAGAGGAATGTTGAAAAACAAAGGAATGAAAGTAAATACTTTTAATATCAGTTGTTAGTTAATGTTTTGACATATCATTATGTGATACTTGTTTCTTTCCATTCTTGTTTGAGAATTGCTGTAGTAACTAATCGAAAATACTAACCAGTAGACTGCGACAAATTGTTTGTTACAAGTACATTGTATTTTTATATATAGATGTTTACATATAATAATAGTTTGGTGTTGTATTTCGTCTAGTGGTTAATTACTGGTATGTCTGTATTATCCATCGTTTGTTATTATCAGGTTTATTTCGAAGTGTTCAGCTCATTAGTTTTTCTTTCCCTTATTTGCATTGAGATCATTCGTATTCGGACAGAAGACTGCTATTTTAAACATATCAATTAATTTTTATACTTTGCAACACGCATTTCTCAATAGTTTCTAGGGACATTTAGATTTTTTAATGTAATAACGAAAAACTGATATTATACACTGCCTGTGCGTACAATGTAAATTCTTGATGACATAGGAAAGTACTCACTTTTTTTTTCTTTACTAAATTTAATAGCCGATGTTAACAGAACTTCATCCAAGCATACTTCCTAGCCCTTAAAATTACAATTTCACTCTGTGTATGCTTTATATAAAAGAATAACTACTCTTAAAATCCCAAGTGATTCAAGAGTGATCCTTTCAACGTAACATATTTTAAGTTTAAATTATTTTTATAATATTTTTTTTATAGTCCTATATTATCTTTGGCATGCTCTGAAATTCTTAATATACAATTTTCTTTCGTGTTTTTATTACATGTATTGAATAAATATTGATGTATAGTAATTCGCGTTTCTAGTGTAGATGGTACTACTACAATTAGGTGTTCCTTATTTTATTTGCTAATATAAAATTCACAAAAAAAATGCATTCGTTTCAAATATTAAGCATGTATTCATTCTGGAAGGTATTGCAAATTTTCCATATTGGATAAATTATCGATGAACTTTTCTACTACAGCTTTTTTTTTATATTGTTCGATTCTTAATCAGGAATGTCAAAGAATAGTGGTTTATCGAAATGTTGTGAAGGTCTGTATTATATAAACGCGTTTCACGTATACCCTTGTTCTTTGGTATGACATCGGTCGGAAGTATTCTGTGTAAAATCGTTCGGCTTCTAGCTAGTAAAAAAGGATCAAAGTCTTCGTACCTTAATTTAACATTCTTGTGTCGCTGAGCATGCTAATATGTGATCTTTTATATATTTGCGTTACTGAAGCATTTCGATATTTATATTTAAACAAAAAAAAAAGGATTATAGCATGTGTAATGCATTGCATTACTGTTTATACATGAGACAATCGAACTGAAGATCTGGATATAACATTTCTTTTAATATCATGGGTATTTTGTTGTAGTTTGCGTTACAAACTACTTGTGTATTTTATTCGCCATGTACGAGATTGGTCCTTCAACCAACTCCACTAAAAATATTTCTCTTATGTTGTCGAAGTGTTAGAAGGTAATTCGATGGAATGCTGATTCCCTGAGTCTTGTAACTTATGTGTAACCTCGTTTACAAACCAATGTTATGTATTCAGTCGTAGACCGCGCTATGTATAAAAGTTAACGAAGTTTTTGTAAGAAAAGAATGTGAATAATCGATAAAGGGAGCGGTTTAAAGCTTCTAAGTGTGTGTGTGTGTGTGCCAGGAAGGGTGGACCCCGACTTATGGCAGTAAGATATGTGGTAATATGCTACATTTACATGCACTGTGAACTGTTGTTTCATTAATCTTATTATTATTAATATTATTATTATATTATTAATATTATTATTGTAATAAATGATAATTAACAAACCGATTTTGAATAGTTATTCATTTCCATTATTTTCAGGTAGCTAGTAATTGTAACTTAAGTTTGGGAAGTAAAAAAATTTCAAAGGATTTCAGACATGAGCTTAAGTTTACAAGTAGAAAAAAAGCTGAAACTGGTTAATGAGTACTTCACTCAAGTCTTTGACTCTTTAAGTGGCTTGTTAATGTTTGGTGCTTCAGTAAAAGATTATAGGTGACCTGCAGAGAATTCTAGATTTTGTTGAATTTGTTACGTTCATGATTGAAAATCAGAATACAGTGTTTATTTAAACCAAACAATGATAATATGTGAACAAATCCATAATATTCTAATAGTTCAATAAATTAAATATAAGATATTGTCAGCTTAAGTATGATTCACATTGAACATTGTTGTAAGTCTAGTACTTAGATTATTAAACTTACGTATTTGATACATTCAATTTTATTACAAAAACCATATGGTGGACAAAATTTGTTCGTACGTGAAACAAAATATTCACTTCTATATCACAAATTCCTACAAAACTATATTAATTACACGCGAATTTTATGTAATTTAACATTTTTGTGGTACTGAGCATTAAATTTTATAAAATACATTTCGATGGTAGTGATATTACGAGAAGGAATTGTTTATTTTATCGACGCATGCGTGATAAAATGAAAATTGATTCTGAAAGTGTATATTAGTTTCATGTTTACTCCAGTTTACTCATTTTTTTATTGTGATGCAGTGAGGGAGAATCGACGCACTGCTTGCATATAAACAGTTGAACATCGAATGCAATAGTAGTCAGAAAATTATCCGTTTTTTGTATTCTCGATTATTCTCGGCGAAATGTTAACGAATTGAAATGAATGTAAACCTTAGATTAATCATATAACAATTGAAAGAATATTTCTCTTCGTATTTTGTAAATTTTTCGAGATCAAACGTCTACCGGTGCATAACAACGTGTAAATACATGCAACCCTTACATTTTGAAGTTTCCGAATGAAATTCAACTGGCACAAAGCACTTTTATTTCATGTAGTTTCTTGCATATGCATAAGATCGAAAGAAAAGTGAAATAAGTCTAGAGTTCTTCTATAAATAAGTAACAATTACATTTCAGCATATGCTGTTTTATATTTCATTGCATCAGAAGTTTTATATACAAATAATGCTTTGACATAAAATGCATCTGTTTATTAAATTTTACTTAATCTTTTACTAGGATTATTAAATAAAATATTTTTACGGACACTGTAGTGGTAAATATTCTAGTATAGGCTAGTTGATAAGAGAATGACATTAAGTTTAATAGACACTGTAAAATTAATATAAACAATAAGATGTCTCTGCTTCATTTAAGAAGATTTTAAGCATGTTATAATAGGATTATGTAGACATATAGATTTTCATGCAAGCCTGCACGCACAGAATCTTTCAGAGGAGAACTGCATGAAATATTCTTAAAGAAGATCCATAAAACTATGCTGCATTTGGCTAAACTTGTTTGTAGGCGTCACATTATAATTTTTATGCAAACGGTTTGAGTCCTTTTTACTATTATTAAAATTGTTCATTCTAGAAATCATATTCTAGTTCTACTTATAACTAGATAGTTCTACTATCTAGTATAATAATAAATCTTTTAATTATTGCAGATATGGCTTGAGCTAAATAATAATGTATTTGAAGCTCGTACAAGAAGGTCAGCAAAAGAAAAGGAAAAATGAACTTTTATATAGATACGGATATTTTTTATCAATGCTTTTATGTATGGTTCTTGCATCTCTTAGACCGCATTTGGGTAAAACAAATGGTACATATTTATAATTAAACATTTGTATTTCTAATTGTGCAGGATCCTTGCTTTTTTATGCTGTGTATTATAGGTGTTTTCAATGGGAATATTATAATTCGATATTTCGCTGTGCCTTTAACATATTTGGAAGCAGGGTTGATATGTGATCCTAAAACGCTGTACTTAACTTTAAGCAATGGCCCACTTTTAATATTTACAATGACTTTTATATACGTTTTAATGCCTTTTTTGATGAGACTGGGCGTATGTCTGTTAACATATGCAAACGTCAATGTCTGGCTTTTAAAGGGAATGGAAGTAAATAAATAAAAATGTTCTCATATCGAAATTAAATTAAGTACAGCCAATTCTAAATGTATTTAGTATAATTTTCTGTTTTTAGGTACTTTACTGTATGCCACCGCCGTTTAATACGAGCCTCGTTTTGTGTCGACTAACACAAGCAGATTTGTCAACAAGTATTGTAATAACATTGGTTTCTCATTTTGGAGGATTGTTCATATCTCCTGTATTATTGTACTTTGTGGTAATTCATGTTTCGCTATTCTTAAAATTTCACTAACCAAGACTCCAATTCCGTTTGTATTAGTTACTTATGCAGGAAACGTTATTTTTTTGTTACAGTTAGGAGCCTCCACACCACCTCTAGTCGGTGTAAATATTAAAGAAACTATTTACAGTACAATTGTACCATTAGCCATTGGTATTGCGATTCAAGTTTACATTCTGAAATATGATTTCTGTTTTAAAATTAAATCACCGTGGTTTTCTCAAGGATTGTTATTAGCTACAGCGTATCATTGGTTTTGCGATGCTGTTTCAGTGGATGCATCGTCTCTGCAAGCCAGTGATGTGTTATTATGTGTAGTAATTGGTAAGTTTATTTCAATTGACTGTATTAACACGAACTTCTACGTAACGGGATAAGCATTTAATGTCAAATGTTGTTAATATTCTTATATAATTTTGTTGCATGTCTTTATTTCATTTGAACAGGTCAAAATATTTTTCATTTTGTTATAAGGGTCTAAGCACTTCAAAACGTACTACATGCATGGTTTCCTTCAATCCATTATGGTATCAGTGTTTTTTATGTTCAAGCTTGCGTGGGACAACTGTTTGTTAGCTGCTTGTGTTGGATATTGTGCTCTCGATGGTTACCCCGGGACATCTTACTAGCTGCACTTTTTACAACTACTCACAAGTCGGTTGGCCTTGGCAGCTGGGTTTTACGCGGTGCTTACCATGGTTCTGCCCATGGTCCAGCAGTTAACTTACCATTGTCTGTTCTACCCGTTGCACAATTATTGTTAGGTAGTTTGTTAGCTAGTTGGCTGTCCCCTTAATGTGAATGTTACGTGGGTAACATAAATAACTTCATACATATTTTTTTTTTAAATTGAGTGCATGTTTTTCTGTGTACCTTACTCATTTATGTTGTTTTATTTTCATAATTTTAAAGTATTAAAAGTATACATTATTTGTTATAGCAATTTTAATTCAGAGGCATCATAAAGTATTTCAGTACGTATATTAGTAAGCCATGGAAGCAAGAGACAGAAAATTATTCGGACATTACAATGATCGTTTTGACCAAATAATTTACAGGAATTGTATTAAATATTTTCCATTTATTTCTTTTTAACATAACAAATAAATCTTTTGAACTTCATTCATTAAACTAATAATGAAATGTAGGTATGTATAATGAGAAATTAGTTTCTAAAAATGCATTACAGGTAGGTTCTTCGAAATGCAGTTTCGCTTTATCCAATAGTTAAAAAAAAAGAAGTATTTTCATAATTTGATTCACTACACTGCACAACTGTCTTAGATGCTAGTGTTCAAATTTCAAATTGGAAGAGAAAACAAAATTTTACTTAAGTAGATGAATATTTTAAAATGTATGATGTTGAGAAATTTCATATAAATAATTCATGTACAAATTATAATTTAATTTTCCGAAAATGGAATACTTAATAAAAATACTGGGTAGGAGTTTACTCAGAATTATTTTTAAAATGTATCAAATAAGTTTATTCATTCGTATAACGAAATGCCGAAGGCGTTGAAACATAATCTGTGATTTTCTTTCTTCTAGAACTCACGTAGACTGTGTACGTGTCTTCTTTATTGCAGAATTTAATACTTACCTTGGAAACTAATATTAAGAATTTTTATGTAACAATTATATGTATATTATTTTTTTGTTCAGTGTAGATTAAAACAACTAGTGTAAAATTATGCACGAATAAGCTTTGTTTTTTCAATTCTAATCAACTTAGCTTCCATTAACATTCAATAAAAGGAAATCATGACAATTATACATTACACTGTACAACATTACAGGAACAATCTTTAAATAGTACATCAAGTGAAAGTAAAAAAGAAAGAGAGACAAAGAAAAACCAAAAAAATTACACTACTTTTCGAAGCGTTGTACGCTATTATCTTATGTGGTAATTATTATAATAAATTGTATTTGTATCTTACAAGTTATAAATATAGTTTCCTCACTTTCGATTGTAAAATTTCTGAAAATTATAAGTATTCTACTTATTTCTACGTTTGACTACTGTTTATCCGTAGATTTATATCTTCGAAAGAAATAAAGAGACAAATCGTCGTAACTCTACAAAAGGACTCTTTTTCTACGTTTGACTACTGTTTATCCGTAGATTTATATCTTCGAAAGAAATAAAGAGACAAATCGTCGTAACTCTACACACGAAAGAAAAAAGGACTTTGAATTCAGAATAAGATGTTTCCCATACAAAACATAGCGATTTTATTCTACAAATAATGGGATAAATTTGGTTAATTTTTTTTGTTTTGTTGTTGTTGCTGTTGGAAACTTGCATATCAGTTTTCTATTTTGCGCCGCGCAACTCACCACGGTATATACTTTCTTTTATACCGTTATAATGCGCACACGCATATATTTAATAATATTAACAAATAGTGTAACACTCATGATAACGTGTATGAGCTCGTAATCTGACTCTTTCGTGAAAATCATGGCATTTGATGCATCAAACGATGGTGCAGCAGTGGCGCAGGTGCTGAGCATATATTGATTTGCCCAGATCATCACACAGTCATTGTAGTTGGTACCAAGTTTTTGTCACGAGTAACGTTGGCGCTGCTATCGCCGCCAGCTACGCGACTCGCCATCTTCATCCTCCTCTTCCTCGTTCTCCTCGAGAAGCAATGCTTCTGCATTACCCTATTACAAATCAAAAGTTTAATATTTCCAACCACTGCATCGTATATTAAATGTCGCATAAAAGAATGAGTATTATCGAAGATACTTCAAAGCAAAAAAGTATCAATTTACTACCAAATGTCAATTTGATATTTTATTAATTTCATTATTACAAAGTCAATATTTTCGACTGTTTAATTGAAATTCTGTCTTCACGACACTGTGAAGGATTAGAAACTAAAATTACAGAAAAAGCGCTTTATTTTCGATGTAAACTTTCTTCGTCATCACTTGATTGCAATTTGATAGATGCTATGTAGAGTAAATACCTACAATATTGTTCCACATTGTATAGTATTAAGAACTTACTTCTACATCAATTTCTTCGTCAGTTGTAGGTGGCGCTTGTTCAGAGCGCGAAGAAAGTTGTACGGATGAATTCGTATTACTACCACCTCCGCCACGGTGTAAATGATGCCCGGAGACCCATGTAATAGACAGTAATCTATCCTGAAATGTGCGTCCCTTTAATAATGCCACCTCGGCCTCTTTTCTTGACTTAAAATTGATCACAATCGAAGGCGTTGCATCATCTACTATTTGATTCACTATTTCTCCAAATTGCTGAAATATACATAATGCAACAATTAATAATTATATACAGATGAAATAGTTTTAAATGAACACAGGATAGTTTTCTTATTGATTCTTCAGACAACAGAGTAAATTGATTCTTACTTGGAAATGCGCTAAAACTTCAGCCTTTTCTTCGGTTTCGTAACCAGAGACTAGAAGACTTGTCGGTCTGTGATCTACCGAAACATGGGTAAAACTCCCTCTACCGCGACCCCTATATGATAACGCATGGCTACCTCGTATAACCCTACTGGATCTTGTACCTCTGCCGACAGCTGGACCTGCGTTTAAACCCAACGCAGCAGCTTGAGCCCGCAGTTCGTTTAGTCTTTTTTGCAACTCCCCGGCGTCTTGTCCCTCTTGTTGTGCAGTCATTAAGTCTAACTCGGCGTCCAAAATCTCTTTCTGGGTCTGTTCTCTGGATTTTGCTTGCGTCTTGTTACCACCAATCTGACCGTTCGCAGCTAGGTCCTTGCGTAAATTGTCGATGGACTGCTGCATGGTCTTTATCGTCGCCATGATCGCATCCTTCTGTTCTGGATTTTTTTCAGCTTTATCGATCAAAGCTCGTATTTCTATCAAATGTTTGTCCAAAAGTTCTTGTTTCCGCTTACGTAAGTCAGCGGTCAATTTTATTGCCTCTTTACGTTTCTCCTCCTGTTTCTTCTTTAAGGTTTCCTTAGCGGCCAAGATCTCCTGTGTCTTTTTTATCGCAAGAACTTTTTCTTCTCTGTTAGAAGCAGTGGTAGTTTTTGGTGACGTTGGAACTAAACTTTGCGTGACTTGTTGCTCTTCAGTTGAACGACGAGTAGGAATATATTCGTTCTCGTCAGTTTTCGCTGGTGTGGTTACACTAGCGCCCAATCGTTCTTTTACAGAAGGACGGCATCCTAAATGAAAATTAGATAAGCAACGGAACTTTGTAAAGAAACACACATAAATGACTCTGAAAGTTTTGAAAACTTGGCTTACCTGGTGGTACGTTTTCGATGGCGCCACCAGCTGCGTTATTGTTAACATTGTTATGCCAAAACACTTTGATAAATCTATTATTCAACACAGCCTCGGTACTTCTGTATGCAGCTTTTGCTTCGGCTGGTAGCTGGAAGGTAACCAACGCTCCCTCGGGATCTCCGCCGAAATTGACTTGTATATTTACAATTTTACCGAATTTCGAGAAGTGATTATTCAATTGAGTTATGTTGTTCAGACTACGCGGGACCTTTTTCAATTCCAAAGAGCAGTTAGCTGGATTATGGACTACTCGTTGCTTCGGTCCAAGACGGTTGAAATCGAATGCTTGTTTACGCTTTAACGGATTCGTTTGAGTATGTGTAATCTCGGATGAGTTCGTATGCGGAATCACTGGCACGCTAATTAATTCCCTTTGTCCCCTTCCATAAATGCCAGGTCCTGGTTGGGGATGTCTTCCCCATGGCACTCGAGGCTCCATACTCGGTGCATCTGGATTATACTCGGCAAATGCATCTGTGGAAATTGTTTCTCATGACGAGTCATTTGTACTTTTACAGAAGTATTTTTTAATAAATCCTTACAATACAATAAATTTTAACGATATCCTTTGACGAACGCTTACCCATATTCGAGTGATGTTGATTTCGTAAATGAGGCGGAGGTAAACTAGCAAGAGGAAGGTGTTGCGGTGGAGCATTTCCGTTGGGTCCTTGAGGTGGTTCCGGTACTGCTGTTACAGGTACAGTTCCTGGTGCTTGTGCACTATGTGGACCGAATGTTAAAACGCGACTTAAAGCTACATCTTCTAATACAACAGGATCTGTACCGTGATCGTAAGGACAGAGATCACCTCTCATGCAATATCCCTTTTCTGTGAATACAAATTGCAGAATTTTTAACAACATATCCCACTATAGAAATTATATGCTGTAAAAGAGAAAGAAATTGCCCAATCAGATACCGGACCGGAAATTGAACTCGGGATCCTTCATTTGCATATGACTATTTGGATCGATAAGCTACCCAGACTTTTGCAGGTTCTTTCTCTTCTAACACATAATAATGTAAATAATCATTGAATAATAACCATCGAAATCTCTGCACCGCCTCTTTGCTTGGAATCCAGGTTGGTTATTTGATACAGCAGAAGCGACAGCGACGACACTTTGAATTGACTGACTAGTAGTAGACAACCTCATGTCTACGTCTCCGTGATTACTGTCTTGCGTTGGGGTACCACCACCAGGACTCCCCTCGATTCTATCCGTTCTGTCTACGTCCATCCTTTCAGACCGATCTATCTTTTTACGATCTAACGATCTTGACCGAGATCTCGATCGCAGAGGCGTCGGCGACCTGTTCCTAAATCGTGCTCTATGATCACGATTGTCAGGACCGTCTCGTATTCTTGGTCGTATCGGTGACGTACTACGACTTCTGCTCCGTCTGTATGTGAAACATTAAATATTGTAAACAGATCTGATGTTCGTGTACTTCACCATTCGATACGGAACATTTACAGACCTTCTATCGTGTCGTCTCGTATTTGGCGGCGATTCGTTCCTCCATGGTCGACTTCTGTCACGTTCTCTATCTCGACGAATATGCTCCCTGCTTCTGGATCTACGTCTATCTCTTTCCCACGAACGGGAACGTGATCTTGTTCTGGATCTCATTCGGCCACTTCTGAAGCATAAAAAATCACATTTTACCGATTCGTTTTAAATTTCTTCGACTGTCTTAGATCTGGAAAGAACATTTCTTAATATAAATACAGGCTATAGTGAACCAAAGGTCATTGCCTTTGATTTTAAAAATGCTTTCACTTTTAGACATATAGAAATCAATTGTATCGTTGTTTCTGAAAAACCAAGAATACTGCTGCTCTCTATACAGTCTGTAGTTTTACTAAGAAAAGGTTCTGTTTAAACCTAAGATATCATTGTGATCCCTTTGTTAATGAAACCTTACCGACTACGTGAACGTTTCTCCTTTTCTTTGTCAATTTTATCAGAGTCTGATTTTCTAGTTTCACGTTTACTTATTGGCATTGGCGCAGATCCATTTATTTGAGGGGGAACAGGAGGATTTGTAGTGATAGAAGTAGTAATAGGAATTGTACTTTCAGTTATTTTTTCTGCTGCTAATACAGGAGGTGGTGGATTTACACCAGGTGGTGTCCCACCACCATCTGGATCATTTTTTGCAGGTGGAAGTATGTATTCTTGAGTTTCCAATGTTTTGAATAATAATTCCACAAAGTTTTTGGTTTCTGCAAAGAAAGTGTAATGTTAAGACAATCGATTTATATAGGTAGTATAATTAATACTGCTCCAGTACAAAATATAAATTCACCCTGCTGTAAAAATACATCAAGCTGTTCGACCATTCCACCTCGCAATTCTTCCAATGTTTTATCCTTCTTAACAAGAGCATATACATATTTTGCTAATGCTGCAGGGTCAGCATCACAACTGTAAAAATAAGAAAAAAATATAAACATCTTGTACTCATGAAAATTTGATTTTTTCTATTATAATATTTAATCCATAAATTGGTCATTTATAGTTTAGTAAAGGCTGATTTTAAAATTAGACTTAAATATATTCAGATATTACTTTAATAGTTTTCTAATGTGCATATAATAACATATAATATGAATGTATATATGCATGTAGTAATCATTATCATTCAATGAATTGCAATGTAAAATAATAACTGATTGTGGATGTTTAAATAAACACAGATTTTTATGAATGAATTTACAAACATTAGAGCTAAAAAAATATTAGTGCTCTCTATTAAGAAATTATAGAAAAAGACTTTATTAATGTTTGTTAGACATTCTTTTACTATTAAGCAATCGTTTATGCTACAAATGCATAAAATCCACAATCTAATAATAACATTGCTGGAAGTTATTATAGAAAGGAATTAGTTTCTATCAAATCAATAAGTGAATAACTATTTATGCAATTGTAATTAACATATCACATAAAATATTTGCTTTACATGTGTACAATTAAAACATATTCATTGCATATTGGCACTAGAGGAGTACATTTCCCTCGCATAGTTTTCAATAGCCATTAAAAAGGGTCGATGATCCTACATCGCAGACTAATTATGAATACAAACTATTTACTACAGGAGAATATATTTCGTTTGACCAATACTGTCACCAAATCATTATGGAATAAGTCATTGCTTGAAATTATTTATATGAAGAAATTACAAAATAAATGTTTTCATAATAGTCGAGAAAATACATTTGGAATCAATGATTTCAGAGGGAACATAACAGGATCCAATTTGCTGCCTTCGAACTATTCGATAAAAGTTCGCTGCAAAATAGACGAGAAATGGATTGCAAAGAGGCATACTGTCGCTCAACTAGTTGTTAATGAAAGCATGGTAAATCTGGCGTGGTAACGTTGCCCATTGTGATCCCATCACGGATCACTCTAAAAACATACAAGTTACCGTACGTAAATACGAATCTGCATGGGGTATGAAGCATAGCACATGTACGGCCATTTACAACATCAAATGCATACACATATATACCTAAAAACTGTACTCGGGGCAAGCTGGCCTACTTACAGCGGCTCCAAGACGGCGGTGAGCCACGCCTTGAATTGATCCGGATTCTCTATAATCATTTTCAGTGAATACGCGACGAAAAACACATGGAACTTTTCAAAGACACACGTTAATTACACAATTTCTGGGCGGGAATAAGTACTCTCCTAAGTAAAGACAGTCGCCATTCTGAAATCTCACTCCTATACATGCACCGTTCACATAGTAGACACTAAGGTTTCTAGAAAATGTCACGAGAGTCGCTGGCGGCGATCCGTCAGGGAGGTTGGGTACGCTTGTTAGTTATCAACGTTGAATATGCTGAGTATAGATATGTGGAAGACGCTTTAAAAGTTGTCCTTTGCAGTCGCGATATTAACATATTCTGTGCACCATGGCATGATCAGAGAGGAAATGAGAGTGCTCACGCCCAGGAATTCGTTGTTTCCCGGCAAATGCTGTACCAAGCGGCCAATTCAGGAATAATAATAGGAATCTACTCGTTTTGACGCCACACTGAGATATACAGTAGACGCTCAATAATTTCCGGTTCGTTAATTGATCACTGGAAACGCCCCTTGGTCACACGTATTGGATATCACGTGCACGCACCCCTCTCTGTCGCACATGACGTTCAGGAGTCCTACACAAATACCATTACCATTGTAAATATCATTACAATACCATTGTAAATTGTACATTATTTAAAGATTTCTTCAATAAAAAACAGTAAAAATGTCCACTCCTATTCCTAATTTCAATTTTTCAAAAAAATAATAAGAAACAATAAATAATAGCAAAAGAATACATACTCAAGATTTAAAAAAAAGCGCGGGAAACTGCAAAATCAACACAATAGCGCCACTTGGCAACGACTTTCCGAACTAGGTATAGAAGTCTGGATTTAGTTCCAATTTCCGCCACCAGGTGGCTACCGAAATTTGGGCAAAAATAGAAATGTTCTAAAAAATGGTACCCATCTGGTGACGGGAATTGGAACTAAAGCCAAAACTTTTTAGCCTAGTTCGGAAAGTCGCTGCCAGGTGGTGCTATTGTGCTGATTTTGCAGTTTCCCGCGCTTTTTTTTTAAATTTGAGATTGTGTTCTTTAGCTATTATTTTTTGTTTCTTATTATCTTTTTGGAAAATTGAAATTTGGAATAGGAGTGGACATAGTGCTGGGATAAATGAATAACGGATATATATGATTTGACTGTTTCTTGTTGGAGAAATCGTAAAAAAATATACAGTTTACAATGGTATTTGTATAAATTTAACAATTGCCTTAAATGCTACTTATGCATATAATCTCCTTAATCCACTAGAACTCTTCTCCTTTCTTTTTTTTTTCCAAACTTTTCTCGTTCTTTTCTTCGCTCAGTCTGTCCGGATCCAGTACTTGTTCGTCATTTCTATACATTCACACCTCATTCTCGTTATTCCCTTAATCTCTATATCTAACCTTTTATACCCAATCCTTCTCTTCCTGAATCCGTCCTTGAATCTCTCCCGTTACTATCTTTCATTTTCTTATATACTCCTCTCGCTGTTCTCCGAACTCTGTTTCCACTTTCTGTTGTGCGTCTCTTTTCTGGAGATAAATGGATAATTGGAGGAAGAAAGGCGACGGCTCGCGAACCCATATCCATCCTCCATCGCCTTGGAACATAGTTGGCTGGTCCAGTATATAAGAAGATAGATATCGAAGCCAATGGTTGTCGAACATCTGTAACGTACAAGGGGTTAGTAAGAAGACAGGGAAGGGGTGTGAGAAACACAACCAGCCACCTCGACAGCTCACGAGAGACTGCAAATTTTCCCCTGGCGGAAGCCGAGTTTGCACGTCAGTGTACATGCATACTGCATACCTATTGCCAAGTTTAAAGTATGCAAGATTATTAGAAAAAGGTCTTGGGTTCAAAACCGACCGTAACTACTACATCTTTCTCGCAGTCAAAAAAGCAATCACGTTTAATATTATTATTATGATCATGTTTAGGAGTGGGGACAGCACGTTGGGGGTAATGAGGTCTCGTACGGTGGCCGTGCGACACACTCCACCGAACTGGAGGAAAGGGGCCGATCCTCAGGATCGGCAACACGGTCGCGTCGGTTCGAGTCACCCGGCGCTATTCGCCATTTTGCATCGGAGAGAATTGATGCTCCCCTTTTGAGAGTGTCAATTCTCTGAAATGTACTCTCCTTCTGTGAGTATGCTACTTCTTTGTTTCCAATAATTGCTTGGTATACAGCTAAACGGAGTGATTGATGGAACTTTGATTCCATCTATCTTTTCCGTTTAGCAACGCGGCAAGGTAGGAAGATCGATGAGTCTCGGTTTCACCAGTCCCTTCAAGGGGCTTCTGAGATGTTGGTATCATTTGCCTCTTTACGTGCATTCAGTTTAGTTACGTAAATTAAGTCCGCCATCAGACTAGCCTAAGCTCAAGAAAGAAGACGACGATTATCCGTCGAGGGATCTTTATTTATTTGGATTCAAGAAAGACGGGACCTGCTGAGGGAGATCAACATTAAAACTTAAACTGTATCAACGCTTTAACTATCATCAACACTAAATTATGTAAAAATTATATTTATTATACTACGTAAGAAATACAGTGAATTTTTAAACAGTATCCTCGAGAATCGTGTAAATATTAGAACGTAGCGTAACAAGCATCGTTTCTGAACTTCATTAGCCCAACATCGCGAAAAAGGGTTCGTTGAAGTGCAAGGCACGCCGCTCTTGGAATACATAATATTTTTCGTTTAAACGTAACAACAGAAATATTGATTTACCAATTAGCGTGACTCGACGTTTCCGACAATCTGTACGGATTCTTTCCGGGCACAGACTTTGGACTGAGCATAGGTAAATAGAGTAGCGAATCTTTTGTTTCGCAAATACTCAAGAGAAAGATTCCCATGTGAGCGGAAAATAACGGCTGCGGGAGTAATCCCTTCGCGAACTTTCGCTAATACCCTGCTTACATCATGCTTTTCCTTATCGGATATAATATTCGGCAGTGGGTCACTATAAAAGAATCGGTGTCCGCGGTTCCTTGACACGTTCCGTGGATACCACGATGTTTAAGGAAGTGTTACTAGTTCTCGCTATCGCGACCGGGACCGCGCTCGCCGATGCACTGTTGAACGTGGAAGATGCGGCTGACGCATCCGTCGATGTACTCGTGAAGGAGACAGACATCAGTAACAGTACAGGTAATTGAGCTAGATGTTGCACGTTTCGCGAATCTTTCATTTAGACCATAAAATAGTCTTTTAATCGTTATGTCTGGGCAACCATTGTCACCCATTACTCGGTTTCCTTTAACAATTTTCTGTGTTTTTGTAAAAACTATCGCAGAAAACACTCGAGATCTCCCATTCTTTGGATACTTTTATATCGGTTTATAGTTTTCCAAAATAAACATTTATACGAGAAAATTTTAACCTTTTCGCGACTAGCGCCGGTTATATCCGGCTTCAACTAAATGCTTCATACTGGCTAGCGCCGGTTATATCCGGCATACGTGCACCAATGGCACGACGATCCCCTCCCAGCGGCGCATCGCCCCACAGCCTCGTCGTCGCGAAAGGATTAAACACTAAAGCTTCAAACTTATTTATACGCTTGTTGGAAAATCGGGTTACGCCACGTATATGTATGTAGAAGATATGTTGTCGTGGGTGTAAGTAGGGAAGGGCACTTGCCCTCCCCCTAACGAACAAAAAGTTGTATTTGCTCTTCCTAAGAGGCTCCCTACTGGCTACGTTCATGCAGGTTGTATAGTAGACTCGTGATAATAACCCACTAGGGTGGTTCTAGGAAACGTGTAGTTATCGAGGGTCAATAATATGCGGGATTTCTTTACAATAATAATAAAAGAAACGAACATTACCCATTAGAATTCTTGATTGAATAATGAGTTTCTTCATAACGTTAAAAGGAATAGCAAATATTTCACTGATATTCGAAACTTATCCTTTAAAAGCTCACCATCATGTAACAAATTTTTTTATTTTTCAAATCCGTTGATTGAAACGAGCAAACAGTTTTGGCAAGTTCAAATTTTATTTTCAATTCAATCTCGTGGTAAAAGAATTCAATTGAAAATCTAACAAGAATCTGAAAGAAAATGATTTCGAATGAAGAAGTACCGAATATTATTGGAATATGTGACATTTTCACAAATCAGCGTGAATCTGACCACAAATTACACATCTATTAATTATAGGCGCTGATAAGGGCGAGAAGGATGAAGATTGTGATGATGACGATAATGATAATGATAACGGTGGAAAAGGAGGATTGCTCAACTTACTTGATGTGCTTAATTTGAATGCGAATATATTATCAAAGAAGGATGAAGCGGACGCAGGTATAAATTGCAAGATGATTCGTATTTGCAGATCATAGACGATCAGACTTCTTATTTGAAACAATTCAGCAGTTGCACGAGTCGTTGAGACTCTGACTATATATTGCACTTTTTATAATGATAGGTGGTGATAATGGCGGTAAAGATGAAGATTCTGATGATGATGGAAAAGGGGGATTGATAAACATAAAAGATTTGATTGACGTTTCCGTCGATATCTTGTCTAAGAAAAACGAAACGGGCTCAGGTATAAAGTTGCAAGATGATTCTTAGTTAACGATCATATACGATCTGAGTTCCTACTTGAAACACTTGAACGGTTTTATAAATCGTCGCGAGTTTGACCATAAATTACACTTCTGGTAATTCTAGGTGGTGATAATGGTGGAAAAGGTGATGATGATGACGATGGAAAAGGGGGACTGATAAACATAAAAGATCTGATTGACATTTCCGTCGATATCTTGTCCAAGAAAAACGAAACGGGCTCAGGTATAAAGTTGCAAGATGATTCTCAGTTGAAGATCATATACGATCTGAGTTCTTACTTGGAACAATTGAACAGTTTCACAAATCGTAACGAGTCTGACCATAAATTGCACTTCTGATAATTATAGGTGGTGATGATGATGATGATGGAAAAGGGGGACTGATAAACATAAAAGATCTAATTGACATTTCCGTCGATATCTTGTCCAAGAAAAACGAAACGGGCTCAGGTATAAAGTTGCAAGATGATTCTCAGTTGAAGATCATATACGATCTGAGTTCTTACTTGGAACAATTGAACTGTTTCACAAATCGTAACGCGTCTGACCATAAATTGCACTTCCGGTAATTATAGGTGGTGATAACGATGATGGAAAAGGAGGACTTCTAAACCTTAGTGATCTAATTGACATTTGCATAAATATTTTGTCGAAGGGGAATAATTCGAGCGCAGGTATAAAGTTGCAAGATAATTCCTAGATCGTCGCGAGTCTGACCATAAATTACACTTCTGGTAATTATAGGTGGTGATAATGATGATGGAAAAGGGGGACTGCTAAATCTTAAAGATCTGATTGACATTTGGATAAATATCTTGACGAAGGGGAATAATTCGGGCGCAGGTATGAAATTGCAAGATAATTCCTAGATAAAGATCGTACACAATCTGAGTTCCTACTTGAAACACTTGAACAGTTTTATAAATCGTAGCGAGTCTGACCATAAATTGCACTTCTGGTAATTATAGGTGGTGATGATGGTGGAAAAGGGGGCCTGCTAAATCTTAAAGATCTGATTGACATTTGTATAAATATCTTGACGAAGGGGAATAATTCGGGCGCAGGTATAATTTTGCAAGATTGTTCTCAGTTGAATATTATACAGAATCTGATTTCTTACTGGACACAATTGAACAGTTACATAAATCGTAGCGAGTCTGACCATAAATTGCACTTCTGGTAATTATAGGTGGTGATAATGATGATGGAAAAGGGGGACTGCTAAATCTTAAAGATCTGATTGACATTTGGATAAATATCTTGACGAAGGGGAATAATTCGGGCGCAGGTATGAAATTGCAAGATAATTCCTAGATAAAGATCGTACACAATCTGAGTTCCAACTTGAAACACTTGAACAGTTTTATAAATCGTAGCGAGTCTGACCATAAATTGCACTTCTGGTAATTATAGGTGGTGATGATGGTGGAAAAGGGGGCTTGCTAAATCTTAAAGATCTGATTGACATTTGGATAAATATCTTGTCGAAGGGGAATAATTGTGGTGCAGGTATAGTGTTGCAAGATGATTGTTAGTTGAATATTATACACAATCTGATTTCTTACTTGAAACAATGGAACAGTTTCAAAATCGTAGCGAGTTTGACCATCAATTGTACTTCCGGTAATTATAGGTGGTGATAATGATGGAAAAGGAGGACTGCTTAACCTAGTTGATGTGATTAACGTGAAAGTGGAGATCTTGCCGATAAAGAAGGGTAACAAATCTCACATATTAGTAACGTTTAATTAAAATGTCAAAATATGAATCTGATGCTTTTCTTGGGCCTACATTACAGAAAGAGTACCACTAATAGAATTTTTTAAGAATTAAAAAGAAATACCTGGCAATCAGTTACTAAGGAACAGATTATGTAAATAAGTAGTACCAAAACAGAACTTAAATAAAAAGTTAGCTAGAATTCTATTTTGTAAAGTAACGATTTTTATCGAAACAAGTGATTTGTATCATAAGTAGTCGTGAACCTGACCATAGATGGCACATTTGATAATCATAGGTGGTAACAAAGACGGAAAAAATGACGATGATCTTGATCTTGTCGATAGAAAAAGGTCACATTTCAGGTAATTAAGTTGGAAGATGATTGAGTGCTTACTTGAGGATCAATTCTATCAAAGTGATAATCATGTCTTGCTGTCCGTCAAACGTTGCAAATAGGTTGAAAGGAAATGACGGCCCAATTTGTTCGCTTAGTGATAAGAACTTGCTCGAGTTAAATGTAACTCTGCTGCAAAGTATATGTGTTCGTGAGAACAATAAATATCTACAAATAAAAACAGAAGGATTTACACGCTAGAGGGTCGTACAAACTTTTGTTTATGTTAAATTATTAATTGGTAGGTGGTGGCAGCAGAACTACACCAAAACCTGACGATAATGGAAATGGTGGCCAGGGAACTACACCAACGCCTGATGATTGTTGTGTGGAAAAGCCACCGAAAGGCTACACCGTCACGCCGGGTGTCGGCGCGCACAAATTGGTTTCTGCAAAGCAGTGCTGGGAAGATGCTCGCGAGGCTTGTGAAAAGGATGGAGGTGATTGATACAATTTTTTATGACAAAATCATACCTACCGATCTATCCGATTAAGATTATTAAAATCATATTAACCATTACCACCGTACATTGACTATTGCTCTCTGCGAATTCATCTAACAGTAGCAATACTGTATCGGATTGTTTTTGTTCATTCACTACACACATTCACTACCGCTACCTTTTGGTAACAGATCCTCAGAATGGAATCAGCATCTTCAACACTTTCATACTATACTGTGTATGATTTTAACACCCAGTTAACATAAAAGATACATACCCCAGTTCACCGTGTACGAATTTCCAGAATCAAAGCTAGATACAATATTTTACATTCGAAGTTTCATTTCCGACTTGAGTCGACATTCAGTTCCACGACGAAGAGCTGCTCCGATAGCAAATGTGTTAAACATTCTTAAATATTCAAATAGTGTTCTCGTTGATCGGGCAAAACTGGTCGAATCACTCCCGCTTTTTTAGTTCACATACATCAGGGACGTCGACTTTCGTGAACAAGAGCGACCATTGTATCGCATGATCGAAGTTGCTAACCACAGAGCCTAATCCATGACAAAATGGGATTAGTATCCTAGGCTTTCTCCGCTTTTTTAGTTCACATACATCAGGGACGTCGACTTTCGTGAACAAGAGCGACCATTGTATCTCATGATCGAAGTTGCTAACCACAGAGCCTAATCCATGACAAAATGGGATTAGTATCCTAGCTCGACTATGTCCATTCCCTATACGGCTTTGAGTTAACTACCCTCATTCTCAACATTCTTGGACGTCTCTCCGCAAATAACATCGATCATCCGCTGAAAAAAAATATCAATTAACACACTGACTAGCTTTGGTAGCTAACTCCAAACTCTAGATCCCAAAGAAGCCCGAGGCTAACTTCGGGGCTTCATCGTAAATAGTTCAAAGTGAAAGGTAAATACGGGACATATTCGATAGGTGACTTGGCGGTAATCGACTCACGTGCTGAATTGAGGCACCTGAAACAATTGTTGAAACGGAAAAAAGTGGACAAAGCCTGGATCGGTGGTTCCGATGAGAAGCTGCGCGGCGACGACGACAGCGACAGCGAATCCTCCGAAGTGGAGACCTGTCCTGTCCTCACGCGCAAGGGCGAATTATGCGACAAAGATTGCAGCAAGGAGCTCCCATCCATCTGCGAGGTCAATATCTGTTAAGCTGAAAAGACATCGACGAGTTGATCGAATATTTAGATGTCATTAGTGAATCAACATACTAATCACCTGGTCACGAACTGTTTGTACTCATGTTAGGTCTACGGAATGTAACAGCCAGTTCATACAATATGGTTTTTTGACCGAATCAATAATAAAGCAGCGTTCATACGATTCTGTATCTTCACCGAAAATTCAACTCACACATATGCCTATTTTCTTTGTTTGTACATGTGAATGCTGATTTCGGCTATTACCTAATGGGTTAAAATCCATATCGTCTGAAATGGTTGTTGTAAATGGTAGTTCGATCGTATCAGGGTTACTATTCTCCCAGCTGTTAATATGAAATACGTAAAATTTTTACACCATAATAAAGATTCGACTCTGTAATGCCGATGTGAATTTTAATGGATTGCATTTCGATCCATGTATCCAAAGTTATGCAGTGTATTAAAATTAAAAGAGCTATTGATGCGAACGGTGACGGATCATTTGTTTTCCTGTTAACCTAATATGTTATGTTTAAAACTATTTTGTAATAAAGATTATATATTTTCAATTAATACGTTGTTGATTATTATAATTCAGAGGGCTGCTTGAGCCCAGCTGAATTTGACCCTTGATGTTTATAGTGTTTAACAACAACGGAAATCGTTTTAGTAATATAAATACACGGTTGCGAATTGAAAGAATTGCCAGAGATACGTTCACGGGTCGACGGTGACACGTCCATAGGATTGCGTAGGTTAAATAAAGTGATAGATATTTCGTATGTGCTATATGACACATTTTACGCAACACTGCATCCAAACGGCGAAACGAGAGATAACATTTTCTCGTCTCGTTCGAGTCACGTGGACAAGATTTACTAGGATATACATAGATAATGTTACCGAGTACATATTAGTCTTGATATCTCACACGTTATCAAATTTCAGTTAGTTTTACGTCGATCCTTAATTTCGGCAAATTTTTACGAATATCTCACATAAAACTCTAGAAAGACATATTTGTGATGAATAAACTTCAAGTTATAAGAATGAATGTAAGATCGAATATTTTTGGTGAATATTCTATCTTATATGAACCTTAAAATATTTTAAGGCTACATATACAATAGAAAATCTTTGTTTATTATAAGGATACGTAAAATAAAAGTTTGTGTTTCAATTGCTTTTTAGATAAATATTACTTACTTATGTGTGATAATGCAGAATAGAAAGTATATTATTTGTATTTGAAAACATATAAGCCTTTGTTGTCACTGTTAAACTGTTGTACTAACAATGGAAAAATAATGTATTTCAATTAAATTTACATAATAATATTAGCGTGTTTATAATAGGAATATTAATCGTTATTACTTTCTTGTACTCGAAAAAAAAATTATACATCTGGCAGGACTCGAACACGAAACATCTTTCTTGTACGTTTATGTTTCAGCGAACGGACAAAAGAATTTGCGATCATGGTTCCTAAGGTAACATAGACAATAAAACGGTACATATGCGTTGTTCATTAATCCCATCACCATCTTCCTCCTAATTCCTATTACTTTATTCCTTCTTAAAGAAATCTGTATAAATAAGTGCAATAATAAGCACGTAATTAATTATCTGAATAAAAATAATATTTTAATTTATTCTTCTATCAACAATCTCGAAACTTGTGAAACCATAGTCTCGGTTCATAAATTAATATCAATAGTCTAAAAATTACATGATTTGGTAACGTATACGTAAGAGACCCCGTGTGTCGAGGCGTGGGGTCATAGAACCCCTGGTGGTGGCGCCAGAGACCCCGTGTCGTGTGAACGTGGGGTCATAGAACCCCGGGAGATGGCGCCAGTGACCTGTGTGGTGAGGAAATGGTGTCGCTCAAACAGATTTATTGAGCTATACCGTAAGATGATAAGTCTATTTTTATGCCTCATCTGCGGTGGTGCACAGGTGTGAGGTGTCAATGGTTGTGTATAATTCCTAAAATGATCGTTTTTATAACGTAGAAGCTGTTAAAATCACCGGCTTTTTAGCGCAACGGTCTCTGATTCCTTGGGACACAAAACTCCGTAAAATAAGCTGTCTATCTTATGTTTTCTCTGTGCTAAAATATTGAATATTTATCTATTAAAGTATACTGGAGATTAGGAAATGTAGTTGAGATACTTATTGAAAATTATAGAAAAACATATGCACATTTCAAATTCGATTCAACGGGTCTAGATATGAAACAGTTTGAACTATTGCGTAGAGATGACGTGACAGTGTTCTGTGTAAGATTCATTTTTGTTCTTTGTATTACTATAAATTAGTATATATATAGGGCATCAGGGAAAGGTGCGAAAGGGGTAAACATATTTCGAGCGCTTTTGACGCGGTGCAACTGTTGCGTATGTCGTTACGCTGTGTGCTACCTGAGGTCCGTGCTGTTAGATCTAATGTGAAAGTAGCTAAACCTGACGCATAAAAATCCATACGCCCCTGTTACGGCGCATTGTAATCATGGCGACTATTGCCACAACGCGGGTAGACGAACTCGTGCAGACTGTCACCCTTCATAATCCAAGAAAACTATTATTTACCGGTTACATCTTACCCTCTGTGATATTGTACGCTATATGGATTTACAGTTGGATTTTTGTCTACGGAATCGATGAATACTATGACGCAGGCCTAGTGGGCATTGCAGTTATCGGTTTGTTTCAGATTTTCATATGTTTGTGTTGTCAGTGGTCAGTGCACGTACATACTTTCCTGAATTGTAGCTCGGTAAGTTGAAATTTTATTCGTTGCTAGTCCCTTGTAAGTATATCGGTTCAGTACTCGCACGTGCGAGTTATCTCGTTTAGTACGTTTCGTAAACGTGGCAGCCATTCGAGCCGGCATTCTGCTAGTATCTGGTCACATCGTTTTTTGGCGGGCATGTTTGAATGGAAAAGTTTAATTAAATTTTCAAATACTATACTTTTTTCAGGCGAAACACCCTTATAAAGCAAAAATTGCGAAGGTAGTTCCAACTCCTAATAATGGAAGTTCAGAACTTGTTAAGCTGTATCATTCAGATGAGCAAGAGCCATGGTTCATATTTCAAAAGACCAAATACCTTTGGAGCCCACATAAGAAACGATTTGAAGGCCTTCAATTTCCTATTAACCATTCTGTTAAACACTATCGCGCATGGACAGGGTATATAGATCAAAAACAGATTACAGTTGCAGAGGAAAAATATGGCAAGAACAAGTAATTATCATAATGTTTGTGATCATGAGTTGTCACCTCTTTCATTGTGAATAATTCTCCTTTCATTTTATTCAGGTTGGATATGATGGTACCAGAATTTATGGAACTATTCAAGGAGAGAGCAATTGCACCATTCTTTGTCTTTCAAGTATTTTGTGTAGCCTTATGGTGTTTAGATAAATATTGGTACTACAGTATCTTTACACTTATTATGCTTATTATGTTCGAGTGTACACTTGTACAGCAACAACTTCGAAATATGGCTGAGATCAGAAAAATGGGGAACAAGCCATATATGATGATGGTTAGTGCAGAATACAGACAATAAGCAACTTATTAAAATTGGTTTTATAAATTCATTTTTATCAAAGGTTTATAGAAACAGAAGATGGTGTTCTATGTTCACGGATCAACTAGTACCCGGTGATATTGTGTCAATAACAAGATCTCAGAATGATAATTTAGTGCCATGTGATATGTTACTGTTAAGAGGGTCTTGTGTGGTTGATGAGAGTATGTTAACAGGTAATTAATTCAGACTGGAATAGTGTATTGTATGATTAATTTCTTTTACATGCTGCTATTATAAATGTTCAGGAGAGTCAGTTCCACAAATGAAAGAGCCAATAGAAGATATTGATGGAGATGGACGGATGGACATAGAGGGTGATGATAAACTTCATGTACTTTTTGGGGGCACAAAAGTAGTACAACATACTCCACCTAGTAAACATGTATCTGGCCTTAAGGGTATCTATTTAAATATTTTGTGCAGATTTTCTATTGAAATACTTTATGTGTGTACATATTTCCAGATTTGTCTTTATTTCATGTTTTAGCTACTGATAACGGTTGTGTGGCCTATGTGTTACGTACTGGATTTTCAACATCACAGGGTAAACTTTTGAGGACAATACTGTTTGGAGTTAAGCGTGTCACAGCTAATAATTTGGAAACATTTGGCTTCATCTTATTTTTGTTAGTGTTTGCAATTGCAGCAGCGTCATATGTATGGATTAAAGGTATACAATACAATGCTGTAAGTGTATAAAGGTATGATTTACATCAATAATCAAATTTCTATCTTTAGGAAGTGAGGATCCTACAAGAAACAGATACAAATTATTTTTGGAATGTACACTAATCCTAACATCAGTTGTTCCACCGGAATTGCCTATTGAGTTGTCACTAGCTGTTAATACATCCTTACTAGCCCTTTCAAAATTGGGTATTTATAAAATACATTAAAGAAGCATTCACATACTTGTCATTGTTTAAAATAAGAATACATGACATTTTTTCTGCAGGTGTATTTTGTACGGAACCTTTCCGAATACCTTTTGCCGGAAAAGTCGAAATTTGTTGCTTTGATAAAACTGGTACTTTAACTAGCGATAAGTTGGTGGTTGAGGGTATAGCAGGCATAGAGTAAGATTTAAATACTATTTTATGAAGCAATATCAAACATTTGCAGATACTAGTACTAAAACAATTATTTGTTTTTTTAGAGGGAAAGCAGTTATTATGCCACTTTCTGATGCACCTCTGAAAAGTATACAAGTACTTGCAACGTGCCACTCACTTGTACAATTAGATGACGGAATAGTTGGCGACCCTCTTGAAAAAGCTACGCTGAAGGCAATTAATTGGAATCTCACAAAAAGTATGCTGACATTACAATTTTGATAATTGAATCACTAATGCTCTAATAATGATATTATTACTTTTATATTAGATGATTCTATGATACCCAGAAAGGGTCAGTCTCCTGTCTTAAAAATTTTACACAGACATCACTTTTCTTCTGCGTTAAAAAGGATGTCAGTTATAGCCGGATACGCAACTCCGGGATCATCAGAAATTAATTATATGACTACTGTTAAAGGAGCACCTGAAATTATTAAGAACATGGTACATAATATGATAACATCACAATTTTTCTTCATAGAGTGATATAATTAATATTTCTTCTCTTTTTTTCAGTTATCATCCGTGCCAGAGAATTATGACTCCACATATTTATCACTTTCCCGTCGCGGAGCGAGAGTGTTAGCTTTAGGATATAGAAAGCTCCCTGGTCCTTTATCATTCCAAGATTTAAGAGAACTAACGCGAGAAAATTTAGAACAAAATTTGACATTTGCTGGATTTGTAATCATAAATTGTCCACTTAAACCTGATTCTAAAGCTGTTATTAAAGAAATTGTAAACGCTTCACATTCGGTAATTATTTTACAACCATAATTTTATCTTTAATTATTCTTGCTATAAGTAGCATAAGAAGTTTATATTGATTTTACAGGTTGTTATGATCACTGGGGATAATCCTTTAACGGCTTGTCACGTGAGTCGCGAATTACACTTCACAAAAAAACCAATTACTCTTATATTGACTTTGAGTGACGAGGAGTGGAAATGGGAAAGCGTGGATAGAGAGATAAATCTGCCTATGGGTATGAAGAACGTTGATCGAGGCAATGAAATTTGGCGGGAATACGCTCTTTGCATAACTGGAGAGGTAAGATAATAGACCTAAGAGGATACTTCGATGATTGCCAAGAAACTTCAATTCTTATCGCGTTATTTATGTATAATTTACAGGGGTTAACATATTTAAAAGATCATGAACGAGAACTTCTACGGAAATTATTACCACATATTGTAATTTTTGCAAGGTGTGAACCAAAGCAAAAAGAGTTTATAATTGTATCTCTACAGAACTTCGGATACTCAACTCTGATGTGTGGAGATGGTACTAATGACGTCGGTGCTTTGAAACATGCCCAAGTGGGTTAGTTGACTGATGGAATTTATGTATTTATTATACATGAGGAAATTATGTATATTAATAAATTGTTTTTGGTAGGAGTTGCTATTCTTTCTAGTCCACCGGAAAGAGCGCCTACACACAAGCACGACAGCACAAAGAATGAAAACGTGATCTCGAATTCAGTAGCAGCCAATAGTCCAAGAATGAACTCTAGAATGGCTGGTAATGCTAGATATAATACTAACATCGAAAAACTATTGAAACAGCTGGAGGAACAGGAACAGTCTGGTATTGTTAAGCTAGGTGATGCGTCAATTGCTGCACCTTTTACTAGTAAAATGTCATCCATCGAGTGCAGTAAGTTTTCTTACATAAGGAGATTGAATAACAATAACAACCTATAATTGTGTCCCGTATTCATTTACAGTATGCCATGTTATCAAGCAGGGACGGTGCACCTTAGTTACAACTTTACAGATGTTCAAAACTTTGGCACTTAATGCATTGGGGCTAGCCTATAGTCAGTCCGTTCTGTATTTAGATGGAATAAAATTCAGTGATGCACAAGCCACGTTACAAGGCGGTCTATTGGCTATCTGCTTTTTGTTCCTATCAAGATCAAAGCCGCTGAAAACGCTGTCTAAACAAAGACCTCTGCCAAATATTTTTAATCTGTACACTATAGCCACTGTATTGCTCCAATTTGCTATTCATTTTATTTCTCTTGTCTATCTAGTAAGAGAAGCGACTATATTATCTCCAAGGTAGGGAAATATATATATAGGACAAAATAGATGTTTGTAAGAATTCTAGCTTAACTTATTTTTTGTTTAATTTGAACAGAAATGATACGTTGTCAGCTATACTGGCTCCAAATCACACAGCCACTCAAAATATATCTCTAAGTGCAAGTACTAGCGACGATGATGAACCTTTCGAACCAAATCTGATAAATAGTACAGTTTATATTGTTGCTATGGCGATTCAAGCCTCTACTTTTGCAATTAATTATCGGGTAAGTCAACAAATTAACTATGTATTAATGAACATTATATACAGTATGTTAACTTTCGTTTACATTTTTTCTATAGGGTTATCCATATATGGAGGGTTTATTGCAAAATAAAGCTTTACTGTACAGTCTTATAGGTATTGTTGCTGTTATATTAGGACTATGTGGATTTTCACCTAAATTAGCAGCACAATTTGAAATCGCGGAATTCCCAAATGATGTATGTGAATTTAAATATAATAGTAACATTCATGTCAATTTTTCAGGTACTAATTTAGTCTATTTTCTGATTATAGTTCCGTAACCTTTTAGTTCAAATACTAATAGCAGATTTTGTCCTTGCCTATATGGTGGACAGAACCTGTTTATGGCTTTTCGGAGAAGGAAGAAAGCAAACACTGTGATCAGAATATACTTTCCGTATTCCACTTGTAAACTTAAAAACGCGTGAGATATTAAACCAGCAAATTCGTTTACTTTTCGTTTCATAAAGAATTGATTGTATGTCTTATGTTTAAACATTTTATGGATTACTATCATTTTAATGCCATGTAAAATAATAATTTTTGAAAGACTGACTGAAACACCAATCAGAGACATCATGTGGTATGTATGTATATTATTGAGTGTAAGTATTACATTGCAAAGTGAAATAGAAAAAAGTGAACACGTAATGTGAGTATGTACAGAAAGTAGATAAATGATTCTTACATAACGTCATGATTATTATGCATCACCGATTTTTAAATGTTGTATTTATATGGTTTATTAATAGCCCCAAAAAATTTAGTGAGCTAATCTATTTCAAATTATAAAAACAACTGGATTTTAACATCATTTGATGAAAAATTATAACTTAATACATTTCACTATTTGCAGCAAAAGTTATTTATAAGTCAATCCAATATTAACATTTTCGAGTATCAATATGCGATGGTAGAGAGAGTCTTACAGAGTGTTATATCTGTAAGGTCATCTATTCAGACAGAACCGATTTTCGTTTGTATTATTTTTCTTTTGTAAACACAATTGGCAGTACACACGATTTACGTAGATTTGAGATAACTATAAGTTCAACAAGTAAGTGTAAATTAAGATTCATTTTGAAGTTTCAAGTTTTTGTTGTGTACTGATTCATACTATTTAAATATAGGACAGGACAAAATTTAATAGAATGTTTAATGAAGAACAAAAAATGATGTCAATACAAATTTGTATTGTGCACCTTATTAGCTGAATTTCTAACAATAATCAATGCTAAAGATATTCTACTAATAATTGTGGTATTTGTCGTTTTTTTATATGAATGTTACAATTCTATGGAATATGACAGCATTTCATTTAGCGAAATCATAATTATATAAGCAAAATTATGAAGAAAATTTTCAAGTTTATCAGGATCTAGAATAAGTTTTATGGTATATTGAGTCTCCTTGAATTATAAAAAAATTACACTTCAGTTGCTTTATTCATAGTACATCAGCTTCACACATGTCATCGATTTACATTAACTTTAAGAGAAAAGAGAAACATCTTGTTGATAATTATTATACTTAAGCTTTTATGTATCATACTTAGGAGTTATTGTTTAGTACATTCCAATTTTTCAGTTTTCAATTTAAAATGCAACATTCTATTTATTTATTTCGATGAGAGAAAAACATCTATGTTTTTTTACATTACATAACAAATATGACAGTGCCTACTCAATGTAATGTTTAGTGTATCTAACGAATGTGTGTATCTCGATTGATATTACGATCGCATTATTGCGAACGAACAAATCGAACCTCTTACGTTACAAACGATAAATATTTAAAGTTTAAAAATCCTGTACTGTATAATGTTACAAATTTCTACTGTATTGTTTTTTAGATCAAATATCCTATAACAAAAGCTAACTGTATATCGTTGTCTGATGAACGTTTGTAATTCTCTATAATTATGAATGATAAAGTAATTTGTTGTAAATATTGCACTCAGCTTGTTTTTACATTTTTACTCAAATGTTTTAATATTTCCTACACCTCCGTGTAAACATATAATATGATCTTTAACATGAATTTATAACAAACGTGAATGTGTAAAAGATAATCCAATGCAAACGTTAATCTTTTCGTTTCGTTAGATAAAACTCATAAGATAAAGAATAAATTTATGTGTTATTCTGTATTCCTGCATCAGTCAACAAAATCACTGATTTACATAAACACTCGTCGAGAAAATATATTTTAAGGAACTAGGTCATCGAGGACAAATGTAATTAGGATTCATACATGGATTCGAATACGTATGCATGTATATATTAGGTATATACATATACACATATACATACATCATGGATAATCATGGGGAAGGGATGCGTGACTCGCTTCATCCATGCGCTTAGGACATCTGTGAGGTTATCGTTTTACAGTGGAAGAATGTAAGTTGTAAGTTATTTGGTGCTTACTCAACATCGTTTCATTAACCTACGACCTACGAAATTGCGTGAAACAGTTTGTAAAATAATTCTTCTTTAATTCTTGTATTCATCGTAACGATACCATACTCGAACGAATGACCCCATCCATTTCGGTATCGTTGTTCATTGTTTCACGATACCGTTTGAAAGATTGCTCCAGCTCGCGACTACGAAGCAGAATTCTATGTTTGTTCGACGATTGATTGGATAAACTATCGTTTAAATTTCGCTCGGTGCTCAAATCGAACTGGAGGAGTCAAGCATGGGATTGAGGAAACCGGTTAGCTCGGCGCCGAGCCGAGCCTCGACTTCACAACAGTTCGTTGCTGGTCACAGCACACAGTTGTTCGTGACGTTTTACCTCCGTTCGATTATGTTTAATCGTTAGTGCGTTAACTTTTTCTTTTAAAACATTTCAATCGTCCATAGTTTTCATGGCGCATTCCCTGATACGACAGAAGCCCAGTTTTTTCTTTCGATTTTAGTATTCATTGACAACGTTCCCGTGTCATCCTTCGCGTAAATAAGGATCGCCTTCGACTGTTTCGTTCAATATTTTCAATAGTATACAACAGATTGTGAACTGATCCTCGATATGTGAATATTTAAACAAAAATACTATAGACAGTTCGACAAATATTCCGAATAAATTGCTTCGGATGAATCATTCTATGATAAAATGTTTGTCAGTTGACACGTTTTGAAACGTTCGATCATTAGTTGTTACGCTTTATCAATCTTATCGTTCAATTTATTTATTTATTTCCTTATTACAGTTATTTATACACACGACTATTCCAGGTAACGTGGAAATTGTTTTTCTATGCTCAATTTAAAATTTTTATGTTTTCAGTGTTACATTCGTAAATCATTGGTTACATGCTTTTTTGTTCAATTTAAATTTTCAATAAGCTGTTTTGTTTGATATGCATTGAAGGAAATTTCGTAAGGTAATTAGATGCAGATAACGGTAATAAATTTGTTAATTAAAGTATCGAGAGAAGTGGTTGTTTACATACGTGTTGGAGGTACAAAAGAAGGCGGCGCATTTTTGTTGAAAAACAAAACGTGCGCGAATATAGACGAATTGCTTTCTAGAAGTGAACTGCTTTGCGTAATTACGAGCCGGGAGGAAGGAGACGGTTCAACAACAAAATAAACAGAGAGAAAAGGAAAACGAGATGTTGTGGCGTGTTCGGTAGAAAGTTACCTGATTCGATTCCGTTACCGATCGTTGATCAAGATCAACGTAATTCTGATAGAAACACAAATCGTAAAGCGTCTGCGAAACGCGGGTAATCGTGATCCTAATATTTTCACCCGTGGATGGTGCAGAAGTGACAAAACCTTGGAAGCGAAACGAGACTAGCAGTGGACTGCCTATCGCTACTAAATATAAAGAATACTATTTATAAATCCGAGCAGTGAGTAGGTGTTTATCAACAGTCGGTATTTCAACTTTTCACAATTTACATATGTAATCTATATCTGCCGATAACATCACACTATCATCATTCCTCATTGTTTTCTTGCTTCCTTTTTTTTGGTTTAATAATCTGTTGCTTTGTATTGCATGCTCGGAACGGCTAAAAAGATCATTTTATATAATAATGACGCATGTCAAGTAAGAACGATATTCAGTATACATACTACTCAGTCCATTCTTTCAAATGTAAGATTATAGAGGCTAAAGAGAATAGAGGCTAACAGATTTCAAATATAACGTTTAAAAGGTTATACAACTTTGAGAAAAGTCATTATTAATAATGCGATTTGAATGAAAGTTGATATAATTTTTTCCAAGTGCTTAATAACGTTGGAAATGAATATTTACTCGAGTACATTCTTTTAACCAATATATGTTTTAAAATTCGAAGAAATTCTTTGCATAAGCACTTTACCATTTTGAAATAACATTGCCGACGTCAGACTTCGGTTAAATTCATCACTCACAGTAAAATGTTATCATTACCAATGTGATTATAAATGTAATGCTGTAACAATCCTTTCGACGATATTTTGAACTCAACAAAATTAATTTCGAGCATAATCTTCTATTCTTTGTATTTCATAAGTATATAATTATAGTTTCCGTATCGATGATATTGAACCTAATCATTTAAGAAAACAAACCTAATTTAAATAGATATGGCACGAACACATATAAAAGTTCCTTTGTTATTAACGAACAAGTGTTTGTATGAATAAAAGTTTACTTTTTATTTTCGTAACTGTCCGCCATTTTTTTTATTCGTTACTCGGTATAAAATTTGCCCAAGCTTGATCGCGACGAGACAAAGGAACGTCGGAATTCTGCTTACTGGAAAAACAAAGCGCAGAAACTTACGCCCATGACGTGTCGTATGTACGGGAATTGCTGACGTTATATTTGTATTGCAATTATTGTCCGCATTCCTGGAATAGTCTTCCATTAAGTCCCTCCACGTCTTTCACTGTGTTCTACTCAAACGGTCTACTGACCCGTGACCATTCATATTAGCCGGGTTCTAGTCCTACTGCCCCGACAGGCGATTGTTTTCTGCACAATACTGACATCTATGAGGAACACGTTGCACTAATGAAAAGTCGCGCCATATTTGACTATCTAACCATCACTTCATTTTTGCTAAGTGCCTCAATAAATGTAATACTAACGACTCTAGTTATACTTTATTAAGTAAACAGAAAGAGTTGAACGCGTTAACGATTCTATTCTTGTATGTGTCCATAGGGATTGGTTAGAAAAATGCAGAGACTTTTCTAGAATAGGAAATTTTCAGTAGTTTAACTTTGGTGCTTAAGAAAATAGCCGATATTTTTAGGGAATCAGAATTGTTGTAAGAAACTATAATATTTTTATGAATCCATCTATTCCGATGGTTTTCTAACTTTTATAGTTACAGAATCGATATACAGAATGGTTCCATTATTGGTGGTATAAACAAGGGAGTGATTTTTGATGAAAAAAAAATGAGTTTAAAGATTCGAATGAGAT